CCGGGGGTGTTTGTTAGGGAAACAAAAAAGTTCCACTTATTTTCCAGATAGCAATAAGACCCCCCCCTTTTTCGTTTTTTTTGGTACGGACATTTTGGGAAACACGGACGCTCCATGCTCGATGCCCGGTTGGTGTTGGGATACATGGGGGTGGTTTCCGTCAACCCCGTACGAGCACTGTACAGTAGGGAAACCCAAGATTCCAACCGAATCAGCCCCCCCCCCCCCCCCCCCGGTGTTGGCCATCGGGGTTGGGTTTTCGTCGCTTGGCAACGACGTTGTAAAACAAGCCGCCCCCCCCCGGTGGTTGCCATCGGGGTTCTGGGTTTTCGTCGCTTGGCAATGACGTTGTAAAACAAGCCAATTCACTTCGTGAACTCGGCAACCAGGTTACCGTTTTTTTTTTTTTACCTCGTTTTTTTTTTTGGCGGTAACCATAATGGTGGTCGAGTAGATCATGTTGTGCGGGGTCGAGAAACCTCACTCCGCGCAACGGGGGATGATCGCACCACGTTGTGTTAAAATGGTCAAGCTTCCTCGAGGCAGTTACACAGTGCTTACTACTGTCTCTGGAAGTGAAAGCACCAGAAAATAAATTAAGTCATACGTAGCTGTCATCCATACGCAAGGAAGTAAGCACAAGATGCCGAACACCCTTAGCAGGATGCAGCTCACCCTTCATGCGACTCGCCAAATACCTCACGGCGCTTCGCGCTTGGTGATGTGAGAGCCTGGTCCGGTGAGAACCCGGCGTGCTCCGTCCCGGCTTTGTAGGGATGCGAGGTCAATGGTCAAACGACTACGGCATGCACGACTATGAGTACACCCCCCCCCCCACCAAACACACATTTTTTTTTGGAAAACACCTACGCTCAACGAATCGGACAGATTTGTTCGGCGCAACATGGGCAAGGAGGCCGCCCGGCGGGCGTTCGGCGCCACCCGCGCTCTGCGGCGGGCGGGGCTGGTGGGGTACCGGCTCTACCTCGCGCACGCCTCCATCGAGCTCCACGTGAACGGCGAGCCGGAGGTCGCGAGGAGGGTCCTGGAGCACGGCCTGTCGCAGCACGAGGGGTACGTCGCGGAGCCGGAGTACGTGCTCGAGTACATCGACTTCCTGGTGCAGGTGGGGTTAACTTCCCCCGGTTGCGTGCTTCATGCGACGCGTTGTTTGCTTCATAGTACAACCACCCTGCAAAGGCTACTGGACCGCCCCTCGCCCGCGAGAAATTAAGTCCTGTGAGGAAACAGAACAAGGGAAGGGGGTACGCAGACTTATTTCATGACCCAGCCTTCCCCGATTGCATGCTTTATCCAACAGTTTACCTGATAGAAGAACCCTGCCAAGGCTGCTGGTACAGATGCATGCCTCTTTTGTTTTGTTTTTTGCTGGGAAATCGTAACCTCAACCCCTAAGATGGGGTATGGATGCATGACTATTTTTTTTTTTTGACGGAAAAGCGTAACCTCAACACCCTGTAGTAACACGACGCGATTTTTTTTGTCCCAAGACGCAGGGTGAACGTGTTTCGCCTACAGCAAAGTGGAAATTTCCTATTCGTGGAAATCACTTGCCGCCTTCAGAGACAGGGCGAAGATTTTCACCTAGAATGGAAATCACATTTCGCCTTTCGCCTAATGTGGAGATCACATTTCGCCTTTCGCCTAATGTGGAGATCACATTTCGCCTACAATGTGGAAACCACTTTTCGCCTAAAAAGGAAATCGCTTTTCGTTAAGATTGAAATCACCCGTTCGCCTTAAGTGGAAAATCGCTTTTCGCCTAAAGTGGAAATCCCATTTGGCCTAAAGTGGAGATCGCATGTCGCCTGCAGTTGAAATCACATTTCGCCTAAAGATGCAGGCCGAGACTGTAGGCGGAGAATTCGACCTAAAGTGTGAGTGAGAATCCATTTTGGCGCAGGGCACCAACGCTGTGGAGATGGTGGAACCAATAACAATCAGGGTTCGCGATACAACTCCCCCCCCCCCCTCGCGTCTGTTGACTCCCAGAACCCCAAGAACCGATTAGCCATCATCTACGATCGGTCCTGTGTGGAAAAAATGAAAAAATGCTCCGTCCTCTCGACGATGCGAGGTGAATGGTCTATCCACTAGCATGCAAACCATGAGTACCTTCCCCCCCCCCCCCCGGCGTCTGTTTTTTGCGGCCCTGCAACCCCCCCCTTCCGGTCAGCGTAACGACGAGGAGAACCTTCGGGTGCTGTTCGAGCGAGTGCTGCACCCGTCAGCTATGCCTGCGGAGAGAGCTAGGCTTGTGTGGGAGCGGTTCGTGCAGCTAGAGCTGTGCTTGTCGAGCACGGGGGGGAGTTTGGCCAAGGCTCAAGATGTCGAGAGACGCATGAACCAGGTGTGTTTTGTTGCTGTGCTGGTGGAAGTCACGGCTGCTGCGTTCTGCTGTTGCTACTGCTGCTGCTGCTGCTGCGTGCAGCCGTGCGCTTGCTCGAAGAAGTACTCTGAGCAGGAGTTGGAGGAGTCGAATCGATCCTCCCAGTTGCTTGAATTGAGAATCATACGTCCTCTTCTAGCATCCGGCTTCTGACAACAAATCAACGCCCCGTGCTGCTTGAAAATCGGCAAGGAACGAAACGCTCTTGTTGTACAACTGCTCTTGTTGCTACCGTTGCAATGTCATCAACGGAACCCTCACCCCTCCCGTCTGCTAGTATGCCATGCCGTCACTCTTCTCCCCGGGATAGTGTCGGCTCAAGCGGGTTTCCCGAAGATTTTATTGTTTTACCGTATGTTTCGGCCGCACCGTCTTTGCGGAAGTATTAGGGTCAAGAACTTCAGCCTAGCCGGTTCTTTTGCCAAGCCGGTAAACCGGTGTTTCTCCGAACACGGATCTGGTCGAAAATTCTCACGAACGTTGCTTGGAGTCCCGGGTGAGAGGTTGAGCCTGAACCTGTACGAGGGCTTGTGGACCCGAAAGCGCAGAAGGACAAACCAACTCATATCACCGTTTTACAGGAAATGGAAGTGCGACAGCGGTAGAGAGAGTAGATTTTGGTAGTCCAAGGTGTACTCAAGCCTCCGTCCCCGCGCTCTTCGATGTTGGCTGTTTGCCCCGAGGTACCCAGGTCTACCAGGATAATTCTGGCCCGTCGGGGCTGCTGGCGTTGTGGAAACGATGTTCTGTGGCGGGGTGCGGGATGCATCCGGAGGGAGAGGTGGACTCGGCTTTTAGCGACAGGTAATAGTGAAAGCCTTGAATGCGCCTACTAAGTTGTACCAGGAAGGACTGCTGCTGCTGCTGCTGCTGCTGCTGCACGTTTTCGCAATATATGGTGCTTTGAACCACACTTGTTGCTATTATTGTTTTTTGTTTTTCGTTAGAACCTGTTTCCCCCCCGCTGTGCCGACCGTTCTTTTTTTCTTTTGCAGCGTTTTTTTCGAGGCTTGAAAAGCTGACCTAGCTTACACATACCCATGCCTTGCTTTCGCCGCCTTCCTTTCCTCGACCCGCTTTTCGTTTTGTCCGCAGGATGTTCTTCGAGAGACGCGAAATCTTGAACAGCCGTAGAGGCGGGAACAGGGGACGGGATGGGGGCGACGGGACCAACCGAGACAGGTATTATGCTGTGCTGTACAAAACGCGCGGTCTTTGCTGGTGTACTATTCTCTTCCCTCCCGCGTTCCTGCAAACATGTGTGCGCCCGCTCCACGGACCTCGCAAGAGCCTATAGCGCGGCGCGCGTGTTCAGACGGTACCTACCCATGGATGGTATTCGTCGCAATATTCGTCTTCGTTTTTTGTTCCTGCTGCTGTTCTGTTGTCCTAATACGTACACGGATCACGCCCTTGCCCTGGCTGCCTGCGGAGGATGGCGTTTGTTGAGGCTTTTTTGCTCCGCGTCGGTACACGGTGTTGGGGGGGAGGGTCTTGTGGACATGCTAGAAAAGAGGCGATAAGTTCGACCTACCGCACGCCACGGTGCTCTCAAGCTCGGCGTGCTCGAGTACAATCCATCATGAACCACATCATCCACCGTTGGGTGGGACACTCATCAACCCCCCGATGCGCGTAATTCTTGCGTCGCCACCTGACAGGAGCAATCCCCAAGGGGGAAATAGCGGTGGAAAAGACGGAGGCAAGGACACCGGCAGCGGAGGGGGCCCCGCGAAAGGGGGTTCAGAGAAGGGGGGGAAGGCGGGGCGGGGCGGGGACGACAAGGACGGCGCCCCCGATAAGAACGCCTCCCCCGGGGGAGGCAAAGGGAGCGGGAACGACGACGAGGGGTGGTCACGGGGGGACTCGAGCGTATCCCCGCTGATCCCGCCCTTCATGAGAAAGCTGTTCATGGCCCTGCCGCGCCACATCGGGCCCCAGCCGGATGCTGAGGGTCTCCTGAAGGCGCTGAGGGAGAGGGCTCTCCCGGGGAAACCGAGGTACTCTACATGGTACATGATGTTTATCCCTTGTGTGTTTTTCGGTGGAGAAGGGGGGTCGAATGATTTTGCCTTCTTTTCGGCTGCGTGCACCTGATTGCCTTCCGTGAGGAAGGGTCTGCCTCCCAAAATCGATTTTCTGTGTCGATGCGAGTTGCTGTGTTGGGCCGACAAGCTGAAACGACTAGAGCGACGTGGAAAACCGGCCGCCACGACGAAATATTTACTTGCTCCTGCACCTGTTGCGCGTGTGTGTACATAGTCCCGGTGCTCCTCTCTCGCATTCCCCCACTACGCCACGGCCACCGCCACCGCTATTTCTCTTACGGGATGAGTCTTTGCTTCTGCCGATTACACCGCGTTTCACTCACGATGATTTTGCTGCCACCCCCCCCGTTCTAAATGATTTCACCCCGCCGATTTTCGATGATGTCCTCCCCCCCGTGCGCTAAACGAATTAATTTATCCCCGGCCCCGCCGCCCCGACTTCAATATTTCCCTGAAACGGACAACAGTGCCGGCTCCGGCGGCCACAAGGGCAAACGGCGGCGAAACGACAGCGACGACGAGGACGACGGCGCTGGCGGGCTCGAGGCCGCTCCTCACAAGAAGCCCGTCAGGGACATCTTCCGGCAGCGGATGCAGGCCAACCTCACGCCGCACGACGACTGATAGATAGGCGCTGCTCGCTTCAAGATGACAGTTTCGGTTGTTGACGTTGCTGAGAGGACGCTGGTCCTGATGGTGATGATGGTGCAGTAGAGTGCTATATCTTTCGCTTGTCCTTGTCAGGATTCTGAACCATGTTGATCACGGTTGCCGTGTCTTCTGGTCGCGGGGGAAACCTTCCTTGATGTGAAGGGTGCGCAAGGCGCGCCGACCTGGGGATTTGAGGCGCCTTACGTCCTCTCCCATTCCAGGCGGCGGAGGTGGAAGGCAACGGATGGATGTTGTTTCCCCGACGTTTTTGTCGTCTACTCTCGGCACTAGTGTTCCGTGCGTGTCGCTGCTGCTGTTGTTGTAGGTATGTTGCGGTTGTTTGCGTCTGGTCGAGAATGAAAGGAATCTACGTACTAGGCCGTTCGACGATTGAAACATGACAGACTAAGAAGGTGGAAACGAAATGTCAAGGTGGAGTTGTACAACATCTTTATATTGTTGCGAAGGTCGGGGAGGGAACAACGTGTGCAAGCAGGCGGATGCGAGACGTTTCAGTTAGTTGTTGGTCAGAACGATCCACGCTGAGCGTGGGTCTCCCTCATCAGCCGTTTTCTTTTTGTCCGTGGCACTTCTAATCGCATACTGCTGTAGCCCTCCCCTGGACCGATCCGGTCTCAAAAGCCCATGTCAACCCAGGCTGCGAACGTCGCAGATAAAATGATATCGCCTCGCCAGCCGCCGATAACAATTTGGCAGAGAAGCCATCTTCTTTTGTCGTCGCGCAGGCTTTCCCCCGAAAATTCGACAACCCAGATACATGGTACGCAACTATTCTTGAACCTTAACTTTCAGCCGACTCGCTTTAATGTCGGTCGGTGCCATGGAAGAATGACTGCAGTGCAGCACAACAACTATTGAGACCGTGTTGGGAATTCAAAACCTTAACGGTCAATTGCTAGTGTAACCTGGTGTGCTCGACACCGCCAATATACGGCGAATCTATTCAGCTCTAGACATTTAGTCTAAATCATTTGTGTGTTCCCTGTGTGAACCCCGCTGATGTATCACACGTATACATCGAAAAGCGTGTACACTGGCGCTGGAATACATATGGATGGGGCGAGTACACACACAGCCAGGTTAGCGCCGTCGGTGCTGACACCAGTAAAACACACATATTTACGAACTGAAGCAACAAAGCCCTCGGGTAGTTTTGCGCGGCCGAAATTGTGCCGGTTTGGCGCATGCGGAGCAATTTCGGCTTCAATCGCTGGCAACGCCACACACATTTGCCTGTCCGCCCGTCCGTAACCACTGACGAACACTCCTGACATCACTACGGTGCTTAGTCAAAGATAGATGCGCCGTCGCTAGATGCGTGTCATACGGCATCGGTAATGGGATAGGCCAATACCAGTCCGGTGGCCAGTCCAAGAAAGAGGCTCCCGTTGCCCGGGTCGGGGGAATCCGGAGGTGCATGGTGGACCCAGATGCATTTAATTCGCCTGTCTTGCCTCACAACCTACAACAGAGCAACATTCGTGCAAACAACACACGGTGAAAGGACCTAGGCTGGGTGTTTTCTCGCGTTCGAAACAAAGATGATAGACATGGCGACGAGGGTATCGTGTGATGCCATCCGCGCCGCAGTTCTGACCGACACGACACGATCTTCGACGCAACGAATACTTGGCGGAGACCAGATGGTCCCGTTAGCTGACGGCGGTCTACAGTCAAGGCTCACGCCATCGATCTCTTCTAGCACCCCAACAACAAAGGATGAACAGTCATTGTTATGTCCGTCGGCATACATGGGCGCAGCCAACGACGTACGTCTACGAAGAGAAGCACAGCACACGCACACGACCCGAACGGAAAACAACCTTACGCGGCTGCTGCTGGGGAAGCGCTGATGCGCGCCGGGTGAGGATGTCTAACCCCCCCCTTCCACCCAGAGCGGTATTCCCGTCAGGGATTGGGCAGTAATGGGCTCATGAGCCACGGGGATGTCCCGTTGTTTCAAGACCTTCAAGACTAAGCACACACGTGTCCGTACCGCGAGAAGATGACATCTTCGATATCTGAGGGCTACAGTTTGTATAGAAATGGAGTAGACTCGCGTACCCGCTGGAGGCAAAGCGTGCCCAGGCTCCAGATCCTCACGTGACCCTCGTCTGAGGCAGAGAAGAGGTGTGCCTTGGTCAGCGATAAGGCCGTGATTGCCCGCTTGTGCTCTCGGAAGGTACAGACCTTCGTGTGCCCGAAGGATGCCTTGGGGACATTCCACACCTGATTATGTGCCGTGGGTCGGACAGGTGGTTCCGACGTTTGGTTTTGGAGGTAAGGACTTTGAATGGTAGTCGGAGAAGTATGAGAAACATGTTGGGTAGGGCTGAGGGGGCTCAGAGAGAATTGAAAGAGGAGCAGGGCTGCTAGGCCGGTGGCGATGTGTAGGTTCGTTGTGCGTGATTACCTTCCGCCGGTCGTGGGACGACGAAAAACTACCGATATGCCGCGACATGACTGGGGTAGTTTTCAGCCGTCTCTTTGGTCTGCATGGATTCAATTGCAAGAATCTCAATCGTCCTAATACATTATTCGAGATGCTAGCTGACGAGGGTGGGGTTGGTTCAGGGTTTTTTGTTTTGCCATCACGCGCGCTCGTTCTGAATGTCTCCGTTCACATTCGCATCCGTGTTTGATTGCCAGACACTTGTATCGACCGCCTACACTATTTTCGTGGCCACCATCGAACACAGTCAACAATTTTCGCTGCGATCTCTAGTCAATAATTGAAACTTGGTAGGGTATGAGCATGTTGGGTACAAACTGACAAGCTTGCCTTTGCCGAAAACCTGTGGCCCTACTTCGTTAACATGTCTCCTTATATACCCCCCCGTACATTCTCATCTCCGTGCCTGGATTGTTCCGTCCCTAGCGCCGGCGAAGAGGTACTTGAATTTCCCGCCTACACCCCCGCAGACCATGTGCTGCACTGGATCCTTGCCAAGGTCGAACGTTTCCTATTTCAGCGAGACAAGGCGAACACGGCGCGAGGGTATGTCTACTGTCTGACACAAATTGATGGTCGAGTGAGTGACGCCTTGTCTCGCATTCCGTCTTCCATCGTGACATATTGCACTCTGCACATCGTTCTTGCGAAGGAAAGCCAGCCAGCGGCTGGAATAGCAAGTCATTCGGCAGGAAGCCGTCCGGTCTTGACCACCTGATGTGTGCCAGCCAGTAATTGACCTACGCTTCTGAATACCGTTGCGCACTGACTGTAGGGTTGGACAGGAAAACGAAGAGCAAGATAATGCCAAGAACCAGCTCGACCTAGACACCCTATCCTGTTGAACGCGATCCAAGTACAGCGGAAGCATCGTTTCTCTCATGGGAGCAACAACATGAAATCCTCTGTCTATCGCCACGCGTTTTTTCATCGTTGCCTACACGGACGCAGCCCAAGTTGAGGTAGGGGTAGACACGGGGGCCGGATGAGCACAGTGAGTACACTAGGCAATCAACGACCCATTCCTCTCAGCAAGGAAAATCGTGGCTCCGCTCTGCCCGGGCTTGGCCAAAGCCCGCTTGTCACAAACGACCGCTTGTTTTACCTGGACCAAGATCTCGCACGCGCACCTGCTCACAAAACCACTGGGGCTTCTCGTACAGGTGGCATCGGTGTTTCTCGGGCCTCTGGCACACGCGCCCGAGGGCAAACACGACGATGCGGCCGATACTGCTCCCCACGTAGAGGTGGAAGTCGGATTTTGTCACCGATTGAAGCTGCGGGAGGTAAACGTGTGTGGGAGAGTTTGTTGCAAGACTCTCACAACAACAGGTATGCCCTTGGTTTGAAGGTTTTGCGGGGTCTAGGGACATATGGGCCTGCGCACCTAGGCCTGCCGAAGAGCCAAGAGGATACACCAGGTGATTGCTTGCATCCAGCAACAATTCAGTTCCCTCACGCAACACCCTCTCCAAAGCTTCATACGTACTGAATCCTCCTGTTTTACTCCTGTTTCCAAGTTGATCTGTGCACACGCCGTATTCATTGTGCGCGAATTCGAAACGTCCCCCGTCTGCTGGCTGCTCACCGTTCCGCAGTCCGAAATCTTGGGCTTGACCGTGTGCAGGCAGTCCTTCGTCGCGAGGTCCCACACCTTTTCACAGAAGCAAGGGATGGATGGATGCCAACTTCCCGCGCAAAAGTTACACACACGGTATCCACCATGCGCCGTGGCAAAAGGCTCGTGTCTTCACACGTGACGGCATGGCGTGGCTAGTACCTCCACGAAAGAAGGCCTATCTCGAAACCGTTCCAATCTACAATCGACAAGTTCCGTTGAGCCTTTCGGAATCCAGCGACAAGAACAAAGTTGACGTTTCCGCAACACAGTTTAGGTGGAGCCCAGCTTGACGGCCGTAGGTGAAGCGTCGTAATTTTCTGTCATTGGGGCATCATATGGCTTGGTGATGCCAGATTCATATCAAAACAGCTGGTGCTCCAGTGTCGTTACACAATCAAGGGGTTGAAACCGTTGATAATACTTCTCAACTTTGTTTTGAGCCAAGACAGGAGTCGTTATTGAACTCTTCTTGATTGAAGTGATGCAAATTTGTTTCTATGCGGACATTTCCGAAACCTCCATGCAGTCCTTTGTCGTCCAGTAACATTCTCTACCTCGCCATAGATGTTCTCGGCTTAACTGAGTACCAAGTCTCAGGAAGTCGCTGTGTGAGCTAGTCTACATCTTATCCGGAAACGACGCACTCCTGTCGGTGTGTACGAGACGGTGTTGAAATCAATCAGTGTTTGGTCGTGTATTTGGTCGTGTACCTTGAGGTATCTGTCATCAGAAACCGAGTACATGTAGCAGGAGTGTTGGGGCGCCCCGTGGGCTTTGCAGAACCCGACGGATGGTGCCGTAAACGCCTGCCACGCCAGAAAGCAAGAGCTTGTGTTGGCCGAGTGAAAAGCCATGTTGGGATTCTTGCGGGGCCTGCAGTAATAGTACGCAGTACTAATGTAGAAGGTGTGGTGGTATGTGCATCACAAGGACGTGAGGAAAACATACGGCGAAACAGGCTGTTCATGTGATAGCTGCTGTTCTGCCCCGCTCAGAAGACCCAGACTGACGACGCACTTCTTACGACGACAAACGTCACGTGCCAAAAGAGGGTCCGATTCAGCTCACCACGTCAGTGATGTAGCCGTTGTGTTCCCACATTTGCGCAAGAAACCGGGTGTTTTTCACCTCGTGCGCCAACGACCACTCTCGAATTGATCCGTTTGACGAGCAGCAGATGATACTGCAACCAACCGTGGGAAGCATCGCGTGCGGGGTCGGAAGGACGGATGTATCAGCTGCTTGACGCTTCGTTTCGAAAGGAGGGAATTCGAGACTAGACGATGAGGGTGCCGTACGTCGCGGTTGCTCGTCTTTGTGTTGTTGAGGATATTTGTTTCCGGTTCCTTGCTCGGACGGACTGCAACGACCTCGTTACTCTTGGGGGAAATTCAAACGACCGATTCTCTTCGTCTCGGGCGCTTAATTTTTCTGCCTTCAACGATTGGTGCACACATTTTTTTGAGAGTTCAGACACAGGCAACCAACCCCTGTCTGTCGAACAACGAAAATACCGGAAGCTTGGGGAAGTATTCATGGAGATCTGGGTTGCTTACACATGCGCGCACCTGCTGTTGACCGGTAGAATCATCGTGAAGGGAGCCGTATCGCGAAGGCAGACCCCTGCACTCTGCCACGACACTTCGATTCTGGGAGCCGCGTCGCCCTCTGAATGAGAGGTCTCAGAAGACTCGCCGCTCTTCGTGGACCCGCTACCTAGGCTAGGCCGCATGCAGAGTTTGAAGGAAAGTTGAAATGGATGTGTGTTCAAACAATGGACCCCTTGGCCATGAAAGTGTACTGCAGGGTCCTTCAATTTGCACCGAAACGCTTCGGATGAACTGTACTGATACACGTTTAACTCGTGAACCGCAGGATACCAGCGTGGAGAATGCCTAGCCCGCCACATGACCCCAGGTGTTCGCACAAGCTCCACTACATGACCTCAGGTGTTCGCACAAGCTGGACCTACCTTCAGACGCTGTCGATTGTTCTCGCTCCGTGTCCACCTTCGAACAAGTTCAACGGAATCAAGGCATAGCCCAACATAAGTTTCACGGAGTACAACAAATACCGTGGCGATCATTGAACAACATTTGCCTTGTTGGAACTAAAAGAGAGGTCTGGAGCTCAATATGTTCTTCTTTTGCCGCTCACGGGAAAACCTCGAGAGCATCTTACTGGCGGTCTCCCTTCATAGCGCGAGGTTGTGAAAACGGTAGTCTCAGAGCCTAGAATCGTCAGAAACCACGAGGCGGGTCCCTTGAAGGGCCCGTCCAACAAGGCACTCCAACCACCTGTTTAACTCTACCGTTCAAAAACAATTAAGCAAGGAGCTTCGTTCACTCTTCCTCTCGCCCATGTGGACGTGGAAGATCACCAGACCTGTGTGCCACTTCTACTGTAGTACATTTCCAACTGCCCAAACGGAGGTGGAAACAACTTTTAGGGCTAAAATACGAAAACAACCACGCAAGGCTGCCTAAAAAGCTGACAGTAGTCGCTCTATGGATTTAGCTGGGGGAGCGTTTCTGGCTCATTTCATTTCGGCATCGTGCAAAGGAGGCGGGCTGCACCGTCCGTGTCTCTCAAGTGCATGCACCCAGGGCACCCTTTTCACCAAGCGCAACCAACACATTTTGTCCGATCGAAGTTGGGCTTGGCGCACCTCCGTCTCTTGGCGCCTCCAAGCAGTGACCCTCCGCTGACCGGCGGTGAAAAGCTGTCCAGGGCTTCCCGTCGGCGGCTGGTGGAAAAACATCCCGTCGATCTGCAGCGGGAACCATTCCAAGTTTTCCAGAGGTCTATCATTGGCCCTACATATGATGGAGTGCCACATCGTTTGGAAAACCTTCCACCGAAAAGTTTGTGCGCGCTTTTTCGAGGTTGTCGGAAGTCTCCCACACACCCTTGCTCGAGGGAAATTTCGTGTCGTTTTTCTTACAAGTATCATTGTAGAATGAGAAATTAACGTGTAGGTCCTGTGCTGTATTATTTTCGCACACTGGTTGCAAGTGGCATCCTAACTTTGAGATGGACATGCGTACGTGATGCATACGTTTGGAGGGCCCCACATCGTGCAGAACGCGCTGACTGATGGTCTTGCGAACATGACCGTTGGACTGGAGGTGTCGCCTCAGCGCTCACCCTCCGCCAGGGTAAAAACAACGTCAACATACAATACCAGGACAAACCTTGTCTTGACAGGCATCAACTTGCGAGCCCAGCTCCATGAAATGCATCCCGATGTAGGCGGGGTGCATTGGCACCCCCTCTTCGTTCCTCTGGTAGCACTCGCGATGCCTGGGTTAGGGTTAATTTTAGACGGCGCCAAAGTTGGCACGGTGCAGCGTTGTCAAGCTCGAACAGTACAATACAATTTGCGAGAAAAGCATGCTGGCCGTAACGACGATCCTCGACGACCCTTCCTTTCGTCCCTCTGGTACCTCAGTTGATGCTGCTCAACCCTTCGGAGGGAGTTAGAAATTAACCTATTCTGTCGAAAGTAGCAGGGGCTGTCACAGAAAGAGTGGTCTGGTCGATCTACGTTGTACATGTAGGCTACAGTAGTGCCTCGGTTCTCGGTCATCTGCTGGAAGGATTGCTGTGGGGGGACACCCCACACGCTGCCTTTGGGGGACACCCCACACGCACCCTCTCCCACGTTGCGGCAAGGAAAGGAACTCTCACCATTCTTTTGAGGTATGAGCACAGCGGGCAACAGTCCTGCTGTCCATGTACTCCAGGAAAAGCCTGAGCACGTCTGATCGAATCACGATCGTGTTTTGAAGTGGACGTGATAAGGAAGAGGGGAAACGTTCCATGTTTCCGCGACAACCGAGCCAAGCCTTGCGGTGCAAGCTCTGGCGATTCTTGATATCTAATACCATTTGTATGGAGTCTCGGTGGTCTAGATGACATGGGGAACAATTCATCATCAGCGTAAACAAATCAGAAACATACAGATGGATCTGGCTGGAGTAGCACAAGACACAACAACCGGTTACTCCGAGAGCTCTTCAACGCAGGAGATATGTATCACAAGAATACGGCGGTGTGGACTGCACGCTCACTATACCGTATTCATACCGTAATAAAATCAATGTCGTTGTGAAACGACAATACATGCCGACACATATATTCTACGATTTGTGACTACATTAACTTTTGTAGTGCCTGTCGTCGGGCGTTTCACCCGTTCTCCAGGGGTACGCAAGAAAAAAACATTTTCGGTCTCACATGGGGGTGGCGGTGTCCGTTCCAGCGGTGGTCGATTCTCAAATTCGAGCTCAGCTCCCTCGAGGGGCTCTGTTCTTACCGTAACCACCCCGACCGCCTCGTGCTCGAGTTTCCTCCCTTCCTGCATGGAGGTTGCAGTAGTTCGGTCAACACAGTGGTGTGGCAGTTGCGCTATCAGGACGACCCACATGGCAACACCCGAGCTTTCGGACACACACGCGGGTGCGGTACGCTAGGGGACAACCATATTATTCTTGCTCCCGGCCCACAACGATTCACGTATCTTGGGGGTCCTCGAACGAACCCCTCGTTCTGTCCATTTGAAAACTTGCGAGTTCAACGAGAGCTGTGGGGAACGAAGTTGGTCTGGAAGGAGATTCTGCTATGTGTTCATGCAGTATAGCACCTGGTACCGACTTCTGAAGAGAGAGCGGCAAGCATCCTCTCTGGTACACCCCTCGGTTGTTCTTTCTTTCAAAGGGAAAACCAAGCTGCTCGATCAGATTGATTCTCGACTGAGTTACTCCATGGCGCAGGGGATATTTGATACGCAACCAATAACGACATGCAAATATAGCGCGTGGCGAAATATGGATTGATGACCATGTACGCTACATATTTCCTTGTTGCGTTGCGATCACAGTAGAAGTTGCTTGAGGGACCAGATCGATCTCAATCGGACGTTGTCTGACCTTAACCCCACTAGACGCAGAATCGTCGACCGACCGCACAACTGCAGCTGGCTACACACGCACAGCAACCAAGGCTCGGCACCCCGTTAGGAGCATGTAAAGGATGCTGCAGTCCGAACAAAACGCAGCACACGCTTGAGAAAAGTGGTGATTTGTTCATCGAAACAACCACGCGAGCCGGTACGAACACCGTGCGGTCTGTAATGATACCGTGGTCGCGGTTATATTGCTTCTGTTTGACGGAGGTGCCTCTGACTACCATCGCTTCCATGCTTGTGGCCTGTGGTGCACGCGGTTAACACCTACCCTTAATGCCTTACATTTTTCAATTCCATGCATCACCTGAAGCGGCACGAACGCCGTGCTGTCTGTAGGAACGCCGTGGTTGCAATTACACCGCCGGAAGCACGCCGCTCTCGCCCATGGGGGTGTCTCCCGCCGTCGCCCCTCTCCAGTCACCTGCCGGAAATTCACAAGTGGACCGCAAGTATCAAGGCTACCGGCGCACGTTTTGCAAAGGATCGAGCAATGTGTTTTAGTTCATAGGGTACACGCAAGATCTTATTCCTCGATATTGAAGGCTAGCACATTGCAATATTTATACTTCCTTCTTCGTACATCCCTATAATATTCTCGGAAAGAGGATCGAGATCCCCACCCGCTCCACATCGACAAGACATGGACCATGAAAATAGGAAAAACCGAACGTAGCTACCCATAAGGCCGATGTGACTTTTCTCGTTGCACCCGGCCGGGGGTACGTCCAGCGATGACGCTGGATAACTGCTCTCAGGCTTGTCTTTACGAATAGCAGGAGGTGGAATTCGTGTCCTAGACAAATAATTAGCTGTGTTCCGGTAGGACCATGGGCGCAGACTTGTTCATGAGCGTTCTCGACGTCAGCGGGGTGTTGACTCTTTTTCAGCCAATGAGGGGATTGGGATCGTTAGGAATCAACGAAGTATGCGCGGGGAAACAAGTCAAACTCACCGCCTGCAGTGCATTTCCGGCAGTCTTGGCAATTGCGGCAGCCCTAGCTGCCAGACGATCTCCCAGTCCTAGCAGCCCTTTCTTCGGCTTTTTGGGAGTTCCGTCTTCATCCTGTCGTTGGCAACCGGACGGGGGTTGTGCCCGCGAGAAATGTTGGAAAGTACGACACAGGTCTCGCCAAGCTTGATCTCACTCCATTTGATATTTTCGCACATGGTACATTCTTCTGGTTATCGTTTCCGAAATGAGGCGAAAGAGGGCACCAGAAAACTGCGGTACCTTTCCTCGAAGCAAGGGTCAATGAGAATCTCCCCCGTCTAGAAATTTCGAGCGGTAATTTAGCAACTGCCACACTCATCACCTCTGGCATCTATCTCCATTGTAAGCTCGAGCTCATCAAGCACAGTACACGTAACATTTAACTATTCTCCGGGGGCATTGCTCTTTGCCCCCTGAACCTCCCTCCCTGACGGAAAGGTGTTCTGCAGAGACATTGCTACTGCATGATCACCTCGCTGCCGGACGACTCTGAGGAATCTTCGCTGCTTTCGTCTTCTTCGTCCTCCTCCTCGTCCTCCCCTTCCTCTTCTCCACCGCCGTTGTTACCCTGCTCTTCTTCCTCTGACGAATCTCCTGACGAATCTCCTGACGAAGACGACCTAGGCATGGGTGGAGGTTTCCGGGGTGGCGCAGGACACATGGAAAAGCGAACACGGTGCGCGTTCGCACTCGTCAGCGGACTCGAAAGCCGCAGCCCGCAAATAACAGCAAGAGTGTGTCGAAACTTCTTCACAAATTCCACACTTTATCACCCAGTGTTGGTTGGCGCAGTCCTCCTCTATGTACTCTACGCCCGTCGGCATGAACATACTTGGAGATTCATGTTCCGCGGGCCGAGAACACGTGGTTCAATTTTTCGGTTGTATAAAGCTTGTGGTAAAGGCATCACGTTCGACGTATGCATATGTGGTGCGGAAGGTGCCTCGCCCTAATTTCTCAGCACCCAAACTTCTTGAGCGCCGCAGCTGCAGACTACTCAGTGCAATGTACACTTTCTCATTGAAAAACATGACCTGTTGGCGTAGCCATCAATGTTTTCCTCTCTTTGCAGTCGAACAGCTACCCGCGGGACCGAACTCGCCTATTAGATGCTGGCTGGCATTCAACCGACCATTTTTGTTAGCGATGCATGCCACGACATCATCTCCACTCACTCTTCGTCGTCGGTCCCGTCGTTCCCTGCCGTCTTTCGAGGCTTCTTCCATTTCTGAAGGGATGGGAGAAATCGAACCAGGTCAGCGCGCACACACGAAATTCTACTGTTACGTGATGTTCGTCCATCCATTAGCGAGAATAGAGATTTTTCGATCGATGACGTGATTCTGCCAAAATGCAAACTATTAGCTCACGACGCGCTGCAAGTAGACTGGTTGAGGGGGGCACGTTGGGTTGCTCTTTATGGTAGGGATATGTCTGACTGACTGCTGGGTACAAACCTATTCATCCCGGATGTACAGAAGCACGCCGGATTGGAGAGCCCGCTACAGACAGGAGCAATCCCTGATGCAGCATCTGATCAGAGTTGAAGCTTAAAGAGTCAGCTGTACTCCAAGGTTCAATAATCAATCGCTCCAACAAAAACAGCAAGGACCGGACACCTTATCTCCATTGTCACAACCTACACCCCAAATAAAAAGTACGGCATAATTGGACGATTTATGGGAACAAAATCTTGTCGATAAATCTTGATCTTGGCCAAGATCTGCCAGTTTCACGATTTATGGGAGCAAAATCTTCCGATATATCTTGGCCAAGATTTCTCGAGGCCCGAAATCTGCCCTTTCGAACAAATCTTGACCCAAGATCTGTCGAAACGAGCCTTCCGACAAATCTTGAGGCGGCGTAACAAATCTTGCCTCAGTGCGGCGCGATTACCGAAGGTCAGTCGACCTAATCGTCCATAACGCCATGAAATCTGCACGTGGCACATTCGCAAGGGTCTCTAACGCACCCTGGCGTCACTGTGTCGGCGCCACGGGCGCCGACAGCGAACGAAAACAACCAAGGCGCGCATAAAAAATGCGTATTTGCCCTGGCTCGTTCCACGTGCGTCATCACCAGTCTGTCGAGGAACCGTTCAAAGAGTACTTTATTTTGAAGTAGAAAAATAGAGCAGGAGGAACGTTTTGCCAACACTGCTCTGTCGTGTGCGACGCTTCTATCTCTTCATCGAATCACCCCACACCCAAACCGTTTGCACCCGAGCCAAATCCATGGGTGCAGATGACAGCGCCGGAGGTTTGACCTCGGTACACCTGCTACATCGTGAGATACGTGCATGGGTGTCATCGGCCTCGGGTTGATGCACTTTCTTGTCAGTTGGACAGCAATGGAACAGTTTTGTTTCTCCGCTTGACATGAGCTCGTGGGCAACGGATTCAATTTTGCACCCCAGGTAGGCGCCCATCGCTAGTATCCACCCACAGTGTTGAGGCGATACAGCTGGGGGAGGGATGCCCCTTCTACAACTGCGTCATGCTCACTTTTCGCCACACCTTGGCATCTTCCGTGGACCAAGTGGCCGTTGTGCCTTTTTAAACTTCAAGCAGAAGAGAGGAACAACACGCCGCATTTTCAAGATTCAAGGTTTTCCCCCCATAAATCGCGATACTGCAAATCTTCGCGGAGATATATTGTGATCAAATCTTGGGTCAAAATGCCAAGATATAATTGCAAGATTATGTTTCCATAAAGAAGGGTCTAAACCTGGAGAGAGTCCCATTGTCTCTTTGTCCAGTCACACCAAACCACGCTTGTACATACATCCTCGTTAAACCCTTGTTGTTGGGAAACCGTACCCGTCCCAGTCCTAGTCATGGGAAAATCTGCAACCTGCGAAATAACGAAACTCCCCCGGGTTGCTGGCTGCAAACCCCGCGCATAATAACCACGCCCAGAGAAGAGAGAGGGTGCGCACGCCATGCGGCGCAATGCGGGGCAACTGGGGCTCCGACATATCACACATTCTCCCTATATAGTAACACGTACATACCAAGAGATCTCAGCTTCGTTGATCGGTGATCACCACCGAGTAATCGACTGTTGTGTGGTGTATGGTATGTAAGGAGAGCTATATAGCGAGCACACATATTTTTCAGTCCAGTAAATCCAGCACCAATAAATAGTAGAAGTTGGGCCTAAAATGACTACAGTACCACATTTGTGTATGGTTCTACCGTAGATACACGTATTTAGAAGCGCGGACGTAATTACTCAGTCTGTTCAACTTGGAGAGAGAGCATTTCAAATAACACGGTGGTGGTTCATTGCTACAGTACATGATGCCCGGACTCATATCCATCCGTGGATCTGTCTGTCTGTCTGTCTGTCTGTCTGTCTGTCTGTCTGTCTGTCTGTCTGTCTGTCTGTCTCTATCTCTCGTCCATTGTAGCTAAAAGCTGCAGAGCGATGTTTTTACAGCTCGAAGCGCAGCTAGCTGAAAACAGTATCTACATATTTGCAGCGCATGAAAGATATATCCCAGGATCAGGCACAATCACGAATTCGAACCCAGGAGCCACTCTCTCGTTCATTGGCTGACTGAAGTGAAATGTTGTTTACTTCGTGCTGTCCACTTGTTTCAGGCATGCATCGGGGTTGAGTGTTTTCGTCCCTCTAACGCACGCGTGCTCTCCGCGATTTTTTCGTGTACACCCACTTGTCCAGGAACGGGGTGGGTATATACACCGTACCCATTGTCAATCAGACTACCACCGTACGTAGACTACGGTGTAAAATGGCTTGCCTCTATTGTAACCACGTTGTTGCTATCTCTAGTGACCCGGGTTCTGAATTTATTTGAATTGGTGCACCTACCGCTGCCTTTCGCTTCCGGCGCTTGTTGTTCACGATGAAGACGTGGCAGTGCTTTCCAGTGGAGTGGCGGTGGAGGCAAGTCCTGCACGTCTCCCGCGGTGCACCGCTAGCCCGGCGTGGAGCGAAACACTTGTCGCAAAAGTCTTCCTCGTCAGGGTTCTGCTCCTTGCACTGCTTGCATTGCCACCCTCTCTGCGTTGCCACCACCATGTCACCATATGGTGACCTTTGTGTATAGGCTTAGTCTAGTCAAGCTGATGCGTTGTGTTGCCGTAGTTGGCGAATTTCCACAAGAACACTACATACATACATCATATTCTATTGTCCACGGGGTGTTATTGCATCACACGTGGCCTGCGTAGAAGGCCAACCCCTGCGTTCCGTGATGTGTTGCGCGTTTTTACTTGACAAAGCAACTCGAGACAAAGATTCCCGACGGTTACAATATGCGGCATGACTATTTTTTCGTGTCTTGCCGAAGGAACCCGCGGAACGATCTCCATTCCGAGAACGGTTCTTCAGTTCTTCGTAACCCGCCGAAGAACGCTTCTTCCTATGTAGGAGGATCAACAATGCCCCCTCGTTCGCACAGGCGACGATCGCACGCTACTACATACAGACACACCACCGCTCCATACCATAAACGGCACTACCACAGGCGACCGGCGTCTCAGCAAACTACCCAAAATGGCGACTGGACCATACCCTTCCACGGATGAGTACAAGCCGGTGAGAGCTACCGCGAAGGGATGCTAAACAAACACTAAAAAAGCCTGTTGGCGTGTTGTTGTGTTGTTGATTCGTTGCGAGTAGCTGACAACACCAACAGCACCAAAACGGTAACGCGAAAGGCGGCCGGTTGTAAGCAGGCCGGGGATTGCTTCACATCAGCTACAGCTTCTCGTCAAGACTGTGGGAATGATGAATTGGATATCCGCATTTCCAACGGACCAGCCAGGCCGACCTCACTGATGCTGCTTGTAGAGAGAGCCTGCATGCAACAGCAGTGCACGGTTCCCACGTTCCCCTCCCACACCGATGGACCAGCGACCATATCCCCTCTGGAGAATATGACGCCCATCAATAATTGACGCAACAGCAGTGCGGTGATCTCGGAAGGTGTGTGTCGACATCAGCTGGTCGAAATGGGCGTTCGCGGAATTTTCCCCGCCGCCGCGTGCTGTGGGTGCTCATCTCGGCGCCCGTCCCCAATTTTCGTGTTGCGTTCTCGCAGATCAACAGAGCTGAGGCACCCCCCACAGCCTACGCCGTGACTGGCCAGCCTGTTCCCCAGGCTGCGGAGGCAGCGGTAAGTGACAACCTACAGCAGTTAAACTAGTTGCGATCTCCTGAATATGTTTGTTCCACACAGCTTCGACCCAAACAGTTTTACTGTAAAGTACCTCTGGTAGTTGAGAGTGGCGACAGGAGTTTTTTTTTTTTTTCTTAATTAATATGACACAACGAATCCATTTTGAATCATTGAGAAGCATTTTGGAAGAATAGAAGTGCATCTAAGCTTGTGCAGCATGTCGTTGAACGAACAGCCCCGATTCCAAGACTATTTGACCGACTTTTGTCCGATCCCCGCACATTTGAGGGTAGAGATCCGATCCGAGGTATGTTGAAGTTCAAAACACCCATCCTCTCTCTCACACATAGTACATACATACAGGGTAGATTGCATACGAGGTGACTACGACTGTCGTGGTCGTGGCGGTGGACGACACACGTGCGTGTTACGTTTGTAGAGAAGAATCTCATACTTCAAGCATTGTTCCTGGGACCGTTGCTTGCCCTGGACCGCCAAACGTCTCACCACCAGTACTTATTACTGCTTGTGCCGGGCTCGGAAGCGCCTGTTGTCGTTTGCAAAACGCTCTCCGTCGCGAGTTTTTCTAAATATGAGAAGCAATTTTTCAGAAAGCTGTAGTACGTCTGAAACAACCTGTTCATACAGACGAGTGATTGGCGTGTAACACGTTTGTACGGTTGGATATGGCGTGGGGATGTGGGACTAATTGCGTCAGAAGACCGATGACGAACGTGGGGTGCGTTAGACCTGTACCGGGCACCGATATGTACTCGCCCCCGCTCACAGCAGCGCGCCCCATGCATACCGACGGTAGTGTTTTATGTTTTCGTGCACAGCCGTGAAAAGTGATATACGAAAGGGGCGAGCGGGGGAGGGGAGTGTTGATGTGTTTGCACGGGGAACGCCTCAGGATATTGCGTCTGTACACATTGTCTCATTCGCTTGTATAGATAAGAATGTAACATGCATTGGCCAATAGCCCGATCTCATTGAGAGCCGGCCTGATTAAACCCCTTTGGCCCCGCGACCGTTGCCCCGCAATCCCCTTTTTCCGCGAAGCCTGTCATGGCCGCACCTGGAGCACCCACCACCGGCATGTGGGTGGAGGAACGCTACTGTGGACTGACCACCTGGTTGATAACGGTCGTCGGCAGTTTTCCGTGCAGTTACTTCTGCCCTTGCGATCGCAGGACGGTGTGGGTCGCCGGAGGCAAAAAGGTGAGGACACCAATGTTGTAGCAAACGCCAATCATGAGTCAGTAACGTATCGAACTCCCACGGAACTATCATCTCGATCAATGACGGAAGTTGCTGTTGGTATCGCAGCGGGAGGAGGACTTTGCCTGTTTATGGGGACTTCACCGGTTGAAGTACTTGTACAGCCAGAACAAAAGTGCACCAAGCGTGGGGTATATTCGTGGTGGGTTCCTCGTGCCTTCGCGGCAGTTTGGCTGTTCAATGGGCATAGCGTATCGGAACTATCAGCCGACGTACCCTGACGTAGGTTATGTCGCCAGTCTCAGATACCACCACCAATCTAGAAAGTGATTACCATCAGACAGAGGACGCTTTTTCGAGAAGAAACGCTCAACAACGTCCAACGGGAGTCATCCTCGCCGAATCACCACCCGATTTCCAATGCTGTCCCTGCTGCTGTTGTTGCTTTGCCCCCCTCCAGTACAACGAAAAGGGAGCTATAGTGGACGACCAGCTGTTCGTCAACCCGTTTCAGGGACGATAGTGCGGAAACGGTCGATGTATATAGATATCATTGTGTCTCTTTCATAGTGTTGTATCCCTAGCCTTGACACCCAGTGGCACCTCGCGCCCATGTGTGTCGTGTAGCTACTTGATTTGTAGGCGGGCCATCTGTTTAGTTTTGTTCCTGCGGAAATTTTGGCGGTTCTGTTTTGTTTGGAGCTGATTACATCGATCAGAGAGTCAACGTGGTTTCAAGTTGAACTTGCCATGTAGTCAGGACGTTTCACAGCATCACCTACAGGGCAACGTCCTGACTACATGCTGTGAATCCAAATCACTGGATTGAAGCCAGATTTGACAGCCCACATGTCAGGTTTTGCAACTTTCAAAGAGGTTTCTATCCATTCCTGTCCTACGACGTGCGTAAGCATCAAGTAGCGATATCGCACAGTTTAATAGCGTTTGCTTCCTGCGACCTCACACAAGCAGCTGAAGATTTAGGATAAGGTCTGCTGTTGTGCATCGAAGGTTGTTCCTCGAAGCTGGCTGAAGAGTTGGGACTTGAGCACTCTTGTTCGTCAAATGGTGTTCGGAGATATTGATATAAAACGCGCAAACATCTTTTTCTCGCTGGAAATACAGCAGTGTGCAGACTGGGAGATCGATCACGTCCGGACTGTTTCATTGGTACCTTGGGTCAGCTTTCGTGTGGAGATTCTCGGTGTTGGCTGGACGTTCTGGTCGGCCGATCCGTCCCCCAAAAAAGTAAGAATCGTGCAAGGCAGAAATGCACGAATGAATGTTGTACATCTAGGTATGTCCTTCTTCTGGGATTCTCTCTTGGTTTTCGCTTCCGCTTGGTTACGTGAAAGAGGTTCGGTGGGTTGGTTGGGTCCGTTTTGCAGTTGAAGGAGGAGGAAATCGCCTGAAGAACAAGACTGGCTGCCCCGGTGGTCGGTTGTCGGGAAGGACCTCGAACACCTAGTTTTGGCGGTGAGATGTGTTTTCTCCGCGTTGATGAGTACTTTGAAGGGAAGAACAGGTCCAAGTGAAGGAACCATTTAACCCAAAGTTTGATGCTCTTCTCGCGATGCAAGACTTGCACCGCAAACGAAATATCTTAGAATTAGAGTCTTCAGTTCGGCCCGTGACGGAAGCTCATTTGCTAGAGGGCGCCGCCCCCCTCGGGTTTTCTAGCTCGATACTTGAACGATGGGATACAACGGAAAAATTCAGTTTGAAGCTATCGACGCGGCTGACATCAATATGCGTAGAGAGATGAAAATTCCCTGATGCATGCGAAGGGCACGATGGGTTCTTCGGCTCTCGCAGAACCACAAAAAAAGGTGAGTTCATCATTGTGTCAGAAAAGCCCCTGACAAGTCCGCCGAATCGGGGCCAGAACAGTTGGTTGTGGACAGCTATTGATGTTAGTATGACTCCCGCGATTTTTTCTGCTGCCAAGACGATGCAACCGGTCAAGGTTGCTCAGGGTGACGCCTTCTGCAGACCCTCGAGGGTTGGTGTCCAACATGCGTTGACGCCTATTATGCACCCTCGTGTGCGGAAAAAACTTGTTAGCAAGTCGGCTTTTGGGAAGGATGAAGAGGCAAGTCGCTCTCGGTATCGGGGACAACTCAGAAACGCTCATCATAAAACAGCAGCTGCCCGTGTCCTTCGCTACGCAACAACGTGTGCCAGACGACGGAGACCTGTTTATTTTTTGTTTTTCCACCGAGGACAAGAAGTACCTGGTACTGTTTTTCAGGCACCATTTTGGGGATGTTCAACTCCCACTGACCCGCTCCCTTTGTTGTCGAGGACATTTTGTAATAGCTGAGTTTGCCCATCCTTACCGAGCAAGATGGTTCGCACACAAAATGCCATCCGAGACCTCTCCCAAGCCCCTGAACACGGTCCTTGGCTACAATAGCCAGCTGCATCGCAGTGACCGCGAGCCGTCCGCTATGCCTAGCTGCTCTTTTTCATCGAAGCACAACAGACGAAGTCGAAACACAAGAAAAAAATGGACCAAACTCGCAACATGAGGACTATGCAAAAGACTGTGAGGAAGCAACCCACCAAAATCTAATCTACTTGTATGTACCCTGCCGCTCTGCCCCGTTGCCTTGGTATCTGCACTACAAAAACTTCGCCACGAACCATGAGGCAATCGGTACAAACTGTAGCCGGTTACGTCCGAGTGAAAGCGTTTGGATTGGCCATAAGCCCAGAAAAGAGACTTTACCTACCTACAGTAGCCTGGTTCATGCCAGACCATGCAAACTGCGCGCCACTCTGCACCCCTCCTGCACCTGGCTTCAACACGGACGCACTGAACACGAACGTGACAAGGCGTGGTATAGACACAGCAGTTTGATACTATTTCTACTGCAATGGTTTCCTCCTCCCCTGTCCCTGTTGCTTCGTGGGCTAGCCGTACCCCAAAACTATCGCGTCGGCGGCTGCAATTCTACAACCTACCCATCGACTTAAGGTGTACCAAAGCAAGGCCCTTCAATCCTTTTGTGGATCCAACCTCCTGGGGTTACCAGTACTTCTTCTCAGGATCTCAGAGAAAACAAACTTGACCATGTAGCCTAAAACCACAACCACAACACCCACATAACATTTCAACCTACTGTGCCATATTACAGATAGAAACCTACCCACCGGTTGGAGCCTCGAAATAGCTCCAAGGGTTGGGCCAACCGTTCTACCGCTTCCCAAACTCCTTGGGCTGCTCTTCCTCCCGTGTCGCAAGTGGTAACGTCTAGGGGATCAACAATCAAAACAATCTATTTCGGAATTAAGTATCTGTCCGCCACACAAAACTCGGCCGCCTTTGTTGCCTCCTTGGCCGATCCAGCACAAGAAATGAAGGACGGCCTCATCCGCGTGGAAATACACGCGCCTGCCCTCCCGAGGGTCTCCGTCTACTAGGGGTTGCGGCACCACCACTAGACGAGAGCGAGCCCTGGGTAGAGGGGTTACCGCGTCCCGCCAAGCTTTCAACGTCACCATCCTCTCCTTGGCGTTGTAGTCGGGTCTGCCCTTTGCCGCCTTGGTGAAGACCCCCCATACTCCTTCTTCCTTCATGAGACGTAGTTCTCCCACGGCCAAAATGATAGCCCCACCAACCAGAGAGGCTCCGGTTCCCCGATTGCCGCTGCTGGGGCTGCTGCGGTGAATGATGTCGTGTTTGGACCTTGCCGTACGAATCATTCCCGTTACTACTCCAGCCGTGTTCCTCGCCCTTCGCCTGTTTCGTTCCTTCTGCCATCAACTCGAGGCTTGGGTATCCCCTGCTCCGGTGTGTTGACGTTGATTCATTGTGTTTGGGGGATGGGTGGTGGATGGAAACACATATGTCGGACGAATGGGGTCAGAATAACAGACAAACATACGAGGAGTAGTATAGAGTTCTACCTATGCTGCACTTGTACGATGGTTAGGGTGTGACAATGAGGCCTTCCGCGGTCTCCAGCCAAGGTTTCTCAAGTTTCCAGGAAAAAATGAAGGCGTCATTGTGCGTGCTTAATTTCACAACAGCGACAGGTCAAGACTGATCGAAATAACCACGTGTTTGGGCGGGGACACGATTTGATGTTTCTTTTTCATGAGATGTGGCACTGTTGGAGACTGTGTAAGCACAAACGGGGGTAATCATCATGAAATCGTCGTTGTTTTGTAGAGGAGATCCCTGCTTGTGAGCTAGCGCTGCTTGAGAGCGGATCCGTCGTGTGTGCGCATGGCACACAGCAGTAAAACGTGGTTCGGCAGGATCTTTGGGATTCGAATAGTTGGTTTAGGTGTTCGGGCGGGAACACGGCCAACAGCACACGTTTTTTTCGGAAAGAGCATCAGGCAGGCGCAGGCTATCCGCCTACACTTGCCCATGGACGAACGGTCGGGCGCAGATGAGCTCCAGTTCATATTTATGTCCTACGCGTGTAACCTTAGGTGCGCTGTAACGGCCGCGGAGGCATCTCCTTGATGCCCACCGTGCTTTCCCGTCTACCGACCTGTGGCAACGGATAGCATCCACCATGGCACCGTGAGCTCCTTCTGAGGCCCCCTCCACATTGACACCGGCCATGGTAAGCTCCCAGTCGTGGGCCTCGCAAGCCCTGGTATTTCGCGCACACATGAGCCACGCAAGGGATGGACGCCACCCATTTTCGAAACAGCTTCCGGGGAAACAGAAATCAAGCCATCGCGGACGCCAACTCTGGCCGTCTTTTGTACTAACCAGCGTTCCACGGGAGAAACGATGAGCTGAGACATTCTTCGGGCGGAGATACTTTCGGAGAAACATCACCGTTGCAGCATGCCATGGTACTCAGCGCTAGGGCGGCCTCGAGGGCGGTATTGTCAGCGATGGGTTTTCGCGCATAGAGGGAAAAAACTTGTTCTCAAGCTCTTCCAATAACCCCACTTGTCTCCTGCTTTGGAGAAGAGAAACAGTTGTCACTATTTTTGTGACCTCAACACTCCAGACGGTCTCGAAGTGTTCGCGTCTATGGCCTGATGAAACAGATTGTACAGGTTCTGCTGCCGCCGGTGAAGGTGTTTGACAGCTTAGAAAGAATCGACTCAAACCGATCCGTGTTAAGAACCTCACACACACTGTTGGGATCGAAAACCCACCTGAGCAGGAGATGAAGGGCCGTGATGGACCTTTCTGCCAATTCTCCACCCTCGTCTCCCTCCGCGCCGGCTTTGTTGCACAAGGCCAGTCCTGGTGGAACAGGGTTTGGGTGTGACATCAGACACACAGTGCTGAAGTGCCGCTAATCTGAACACCAACGACGATCAATGTGCCACGGTTCTGAGCCTGACGGAAAAAAAAACGCCTCGAAAGGCTCACAAACAGGGGAACAAGTCCGCCGCGGATAAAACAGCAACAATATCCGTACGCTAAAGGCAAAATCCTTTTGTTGCCAAAAACCTCAATTACCTTCCACGCTGGGCCCGTTCGTTCAAATCACGCAACCTTGGTTTTGGATCCCAGACTCAACATGGTCTTATTCTCGAAGAAAACAGGTCCACCTTGCGGTACTTAGTCCACCTTTTGTAAGGTACCGTCGCAGAATGCATTTTCGCATTGGTGTGAAATCCGGGTCATTCCGGTTCCAGAGCGGTCACAGAGCGAATGTACGTAGATAATAGAAACGGGTGTTTGTGGGGTCAAGTACCCATGCCGTAGGGATGGCATGGGCTTCGAATGTAGTACAAGTATGTATTCTTGTTTGTCTGGCAGCCTTGGACATCTCCACCAGTGTTCATGTCACGGGCAGCGGGTATGTTGTTTCGTGGGACCCATTTCAAGCATCACGTGGTTAGTGCCGTCTAATACCAGCGCATGAGTAGCTTGTTTTACCTTCGAGCATGATGTCCATGAAAAGACACGCTAGCTCCATGGCCTGAAAGGTTGGTACCGTGACGCAAACAAGTGGGGCAGTTGGAGCTGTTGAGATGAGGAGATGGGGAAAGAGAGGGAGATGGTATGCATAAGTCGATGTAATGTGATTTGCTGGCTTTCCATCACAAGCAAAGGAGAGTAAACGGGGCTCATGGCGTCGTGACGCAAGAACGAAGCGGAGGCTGGCACCGTGCGGGTGTTGAATCGGGTGGATGAAAAGGTGCTGGTCATCACACGAAGAGAGGAAACGGGGAGGCGGGACCGGGCGGGGTTGGCGGGCAGAGAGTGAATGGAAACGTGCAAGAGGCGCTCTGAGAAAGAAGTAGAATTGTGCTAGTTTTATTGTTTGGCGTTGGCTTCGATTCCCTTCGGTTTGATATTGTTGGTGGTTTAGTCCCGCTTTCTCTGTTACTGTCTTGATGTATTTCTGCCCGGGCCGTGCTTGATCGTCATCAACCTGTTTGACCGGAATTCGTGTCTTAGCTACAACCCGTTTCGGTGTCATTGTGCCTCGGATCCTTCGCAGTACTACTATACGCCGTGTTAGGAGGTCACATGTGTTGCCTGATCGGCCTTGCGAGAATACAGCAGAGGGGGGGTAGGCCGCGTGGAGATGAGAATAGAGTAGCGTTCTTGCGTCTTACACGATGTTCGGCTTGTTTTAACTTGCGTTGGACTTACATTGATTTTGCAATGCTCTTTCCACACCTCCCGGGTGTGAAGTGGGATTGGCTTGTTGAGTGAAATCTAAAGGTCCTTGGAGTGTGGAGATAGTTGTTGAGGTTTGATTCATTTGAAGTGGCTCCCTGAGTCATAATCCTGTTGTAGATTGGCTTTCGAGTGAGCTTTTTAACGGGGCCGAACCAGAAGAGGCATGATATTGCCCCAAGTGTTTTCGTGCAAACGCCTACTGCACGGACAAAAACCAGAGTGTTGTCCATTTGAAGGAAACATGTACAAGTACTCGCTGAGGTTTTGACGGGGTATGTATCGGCGACAGAACGTGAACTTTCCGCGGTGATTTCAACTGAGTAGTCTTTGCGGCCTTCTGATACATGTGATCACGGATGACCCCTTCTTGGTTGTATAGCCTACACAAACTGTTCCGATATTCACTCTATTCGTTTTCTTACCTGGGTTAGCAGCAGCACCGGGCCTGACCCTTGACCGCCATCCCAACCCCATAGTAGGCCATCGCGTTCGTCTGAGCGAGCACCCTCGGCCTGATCATCCACGATGGGGTTCAGGAGAACATAATATATGGAAAAGGCACCGGGGTGGGCTGGATGAGAGGTTCGTGATTCATTGTACGGGGTTTGCAGAAAAGTGCAGAATGTAGGACAGAGGCCCTGACCACAACAGTCCACGGTACGCTTCGACGTGATGGCGCTCGCTTGCCTTGCAGCAGGAATGGACGCACGTCGGGCACACCCGTCGAGTTGGGGCATACGGAAAGCTAGTGGGTATTTCATTCCATGGAAAGCTAGGTCTGGGTATTCCCGCCGAACATATCATGGGTGAGTGGGCAATGAGAACTCAAGCACAGGAATGGCTCGGGTCCTCTGCGTTTTAGCGAGCAGACCCCTTGCTTCAACGTTCAAAACTCATACAGGGACCAACGGCCGACTATACACAGAAGAAATTATTCAATTTGGCTCGAAAAATTGCTGACAAAGCAATGCTGGACAACGAGCAGCACGGGAATCAACTACTCGGAGACAAAGTTCGACCCTTAGCCGACGGCCGGTGTGAGAAAGCGTGCTTCGCCAACCTCACCTCGGCATCCAAGCTCCTTACAGGCGTGGCGGCCGTGTCGTCGTCGATCCTGCACTTCGTGATGACGGCCGCTAAGCATGCCAAAGCCAGGGCTCGAGCTGAAGGCCCTGTGATAAATGGGGAAGCTTCTCAGTCGCCCAGTTTGCTCAAGCCAATTGGCCACCTTATGAGCCACATGTGGTTGATTTAATTCAGAGCATTGCTTCGAAATTTCATCGTAAAAAAAACAACAACGTCGATGATATGGGAAATTGGTACTCCTTCGACTATCTTACGCCCTGTGGGGAGACAAGCTTCGCCTCGTCGGAGACAGATTTGCCGCATGATCATCTGTCCTCAATTCATATGACCCTTACGAAATGGACAAAATTCAGCCAAGAATGGCCAAACCCGTCGGGTCGTTTTCAAACCCGGACAGACATACTTCATTTCAGCGGTTTGCAAATGTGAACCTAGCTGGCCCTTCGTTCGATCATCACTATGGTTGAATTTCATTTCCCCGGACTTTCCGTTTTATGAACCCGGGATAGAGGCAACCGTCCACCTGGACAGCACACCGCGTAAGAAAAGTTTGCTCTTCACCAAGAACACCGTATGGAACAGGATTACTCTGGAGGAGACATGATAGTACAGTAATAGGTGTCGGACACATTCTGCAGCCTCGCCCCTCTTTGTAGCGGAGGTATCAGCTCGGGAACGGGCAAAGGATGCGCTCGTGAAACAACACCCTTTCAGCAACTGTCTCTCACCGACACAGCTGTGATTACCTACCTCTTTCGGCTGCATTCGCCCCCGACGACATCAACGACGGCGGTTTCACCGCCGCCGACGCAACTCTCATTAGCACAACCACCATCCCAGCGTCCACCAGCGCCTCGGCTCCATCACTGTCTGAAGGGCAACCAACCCCCCCGAGAAACACGCCGCCGACGGACACTTGATACGCCAGCGCGGCGCCCATTCTCATGCAGCTTGACCGATGTGATACCTGCAGCAACACCGAAAGGGCATGGATGGGCGGGAAGAGAAATCAGTGGGACATACAGTAGCTTTCGAAGTACGGTGAAGCAGGTAAAAATGTGTTTTTCGTAGGGAGGCAGCCGTTAGGGCTTCGCGGCGCTGTGGTGAAGAGCGAAAACTAGAATAGGGGGGAGGAAGGAGTAAGCGGTTAAGTTATTCATCGTGGCTCCATCGCTTGCTACAAGCGAAGAGGCATCGGGTGTGCCAGAGATTTTGATGTTCATCTTGACTTGAGAAGAACAACAAGTGATGCGAATGAAGCTAGAGGGCAAAAGTTATCACCCCAAGGCATTGACGCCGCGACATTTCTTGCTGAGCTAGAGCGGGGGTGTTGGAGCAGAAGGTATGACGGACATATCTTCCACCGACGGCTGAAAGGTTCAAGGCCGGAGTTAGGAAAGTTGGTCCCTCGAAACGTACAACATCAGCAAATGATCACTGTAATTTCCAAACTGTGTACACTTCCATGCTGTTCTACGGCAAAATACTGCCGCACAAAACGGTTGTATACCCGCTCCTGAGCCGCAGAATTACCTGGCCGAGGCGTGCATCGATGCGCGAAGTAGGACTGCCCCCGCGCCCAATCAAGCTCGAAACGACAATACTCGTGCGCCGTGACAAGCTTCTAGTAGACGAAGAGTCGGTCATCTCATCGATCCTGGTGCTCGGTCCTTCGAGCCCGCTCGCCGCAGCACTTTCGTCGCCAGTTTGGGATCGGCCGGGGTTGTCACCTTCCAACAGGGTCCTAACCTGAAGAGACACACAACGTTGCGTCGAGGAATCCCTGTTCGCTATCTCACCACGTCGTCAGCTACAATGGGAATTGACTTACGTACGAATTTTTTGTCACATCAAGCCGTGCACTGGTGTATTGCAATGCGCTGGGGACCTCATGAGTCATAAGCGGCAGGCCGAGACCCCGTCCATCCATGTTGTAGGGGTGGGCTATGAGAAGCAGACGCGATGCTCACTTTCGCGGTAGTCCCCGATGGCGAATACCATATCGATCTTGCTGGGTTTCGCTAGAAGCAGCCAAGCTCAATCTATTCAGACATGTGGAAAACGGGTCGAAACAAAACGAGTAATGCACAAACACAGCGTACCCACCTGAGTCAAGAAGTGATTCCTAATTATTCCTGTCAACAGGATCGGCAGGTGTTGTGCCCTCCGCGCCACCGCGACTGTCGATATATCTACTGCACCAACTCCATCTTCATCGCTTGCTGAACCGAAGAGGGCATTCGAGTGCATGGTAGGACTCGTATCCCCGACGGGACCACCATTTCCGCGACGAGGCCCTTCCTGGCCTGTTTCCATACGGCAAGGGGCGGCGGAAGGACAAAAAATACCCTATCAATGTGTTGCGTTCGGTTCGACGTATCGTTTCTCGTGTCTCTTAACGGGACGATATTCACGAGCCATATTTTCGGTGTGGTTGATTGATCCTTGCAGTATTGGGCCCTTCCTGTAAGATACAGGCGCTTCTCAAGTCTCAAGACTCATCGAACTTCGTGCGCTGACAACTTTGTGAGCCGTATGGCCAGGAGAGGTTAGTCTCTACGAGGAAATCAGGAGGAAAAGGGACGAAGCGTTGAGATTATTCGTGCTTTTTGTAGGTGGTGGAGGAGACGGCCAACGCTCCAAGAGGGGCAATGTGGAACCAAGAGCAAACAAAGGAAACGGGGGGCTCTAGCAGAAGGGTTTGATAAAAGAAGCACATGCAAGAAGAGACAGCGTCGAGAACGTCAGGAGAAGCTCCAATCAAGGGTTCAATGGCCACGGTAGGTCAGTCGCAAATCAACGTCCGTTCCCCTTGCAGAGGGTCGCCGGAAGGGCAACAGTCACACTGATGGGGGATACTCGCTTCAACGTTCATGGTTCCCTCTTTCGTATCCACTCGCCTGTTGTCCACCACGCCACGTTCTTCCGCGACCTTGCTACCTCGACCGGCCCCTTCCACCTCTGACGCTTGGTCGCTCCGCCCCCTTTTTTCACACTTTCCCCGCCAGGCCGCCGGTAGGATGAAGAGGAAAGAAGGAGCGGGTGGGCCTCCCTCAGGGCCAAGTGGGCGAGTGTTTCGAAGCCGCGTTCATAACGGCCGCTCTCACAGTTGAGGCTTTTGCAACAAGCGGCGAGATATACGGCGAAATTTCCGCCCCCGCACATCTCGAACGCCTCTGCCGGGATGCGCCTTTCTTCTCCCGTCGCCAACGACTGGCGGCTCTTTACGTGTAGGCCGTTCGATACACGATGGATACCACTACGCCGGGCTTGGCCTTCGCGAGCAGCGACGCCCACGCGAGAGGGCGCCCCGGAGTATCGCTGAGGCGTTCGCTCTAGCCGAGGAGAGCTCGCGAAGCTGCCGCGACTGCTGTTGGCGTTGCTGGGCCACATCCCTTGGTGGGAGTTTTGACGGCGGGGTTCTGACATAACCATTCTCTCCGAGGGCGCTTCGTCAGACGGCAGCAGGGAGGATGACATGGGCACCGCCGACGTTGCTGGGCCCGGCCCCCTACCGCCACCTCTACCCGGAAACGAGGAAGGCGTCAAAGGCGGTGTCTCGATTGCCGCTCGCATGCTACTGCTTCGAGCCTGTCGTGGTCGCGCCATACGCGCTAACCGCGACCCCGCCTCTCCTCCTCCGTTTCCCAACCCCTGGAAGACCACACTTCTCTCGGATTGGGTCTGCTTGGATTCTGGGTCGTGCTTTGCGCTGTTGCCCCCACCTCGTGCTACCTCCTCTTCCGTCCCTCCCAACCTTCCCTTAACCCCGCCGGTGCGAGCGGATTTGGAGCGGTCCTGCTGTGCTGGACGGCTGAGGGGCGGAGCGACGGCGAACGAGGACCTCCTTCTTCGTGAGGCCGTAGCCTTTCCGGCCGCGAGCGCGGCCTCTACCTCGGTCACAGTCGGGGGAAGAACTTCGTTGACTGCTCCTCCTCCTGGTGCTGGTGCCGTTGTTGGTGATGAGGGTGACACCCTACCGAGTGTAGCCGAAATCATGCCAGGCACCTTGAAAGTACGGAAAACGGACAACGCAACGCTCACGGGATGAGGGATACTGCTGGAGAGCAAACGGTGTGGCCAAAATTTCCAAGAGTCAAGCAAACACTACCCAAGTTGCGGCAGCACCGAACGAGAATAGCACGAGCACTTTCTGCGGGGGAGGATCGACAGCGTCGGCGCAAAAGTGGCACGGCGGAGAACGGCGAACAATGCGAGAAACCAGAGGGGGTAGCGGGGCGGAGACCAAAGGGTTGATCGACGAATTGCAGAGAGAGGGGCATCAACTCCGCGAGCACACCTGAGACGGTGGCGACCCCAACCGAAAGAGAGCCGCCAAGAGCAACAGCAGATCAGACACCTCCTGGGATACTTCATACTGCCCGAAGACCTCCTTGACGTCGTTGCTGTGGTGGTGTGGCAACTTATGGTGGTGGTTTGTGAAGGTTCCCGACCCGTGTGGTGTTGACGGTGCGCCGGCCGCCGGTCTTGTTGCAGGCGACGGAATTGCCCGACTCAGCGTGGAGAGACACGCTATGGTTAGAAAACCCCCTCCCATGGTCCGAAGCACCTCGTCGCCCTCCCCCCACCAACCACCATAGCCGTTGCCGGGCTCCGCAGGAGACAAACACGCCCCACTGCTCTTCCTGTTTCGATGTTGAACTTTGGAAGTTGTCGGATTTGTGGTTCCTCCCGGTGCTACCGGTGCCCTCGTTGCAGTGTTCGTATTGGCCGCTGCCCCTTGGTCGTGGTAGTGGTGGTGGCCAGAGCGGCCATTGATCGGGCCTCCGAATCGTGCCACCCTCAACTGCTCCACTTTCTGGTGCGCCGTGTTGTTCTCCTGGCCGGCCGCTGCGGAAGAGTCTCCATCAGCAGCTGCCGGGGAAAGCGGGAACTCCACAAGTACTCGAGCTATTTTTATGGACAGTTTCCTTGGAACAGAAACGGTTGATGGGGCGGGCGCCGCGTGAACGGGGGAAAGGAGGGATCGACGGTTACGGCGAACACTTCTGGCGAGGAAACAATTTACCAAAAACCGCCGTGGCGGAAGGGAAAACAGAGAGTAGAAAAGTCGCACTGCTGTAGGTCGAAGAGCGTTAATAGCCCTTTAAGAACTCAATCAGTTAGAGGTTGTAGGTCCAGGAAAGTATCGCGTGCGCTCATCGGGAGAGGCTGTACAGTCCCGGGGGACGAACGCTTACTCGGTTTTAGACAGAAAAGTGTCCACAAATGCACTGGGGACTCTTTCCACGCTGAAGCCCCTTCAGCAAATCTTTCAGCACTGGGCTATACAGACATTTACCAACAAGGGGACACGCGACTTGGGAGGTATGTCTACAGCAAGTCGGAGGTCGAGAAGAGGCACACAAGCAACATGGTATCACACAGCGTACCACCTCACATAAGCATGTTAGACCGAGGTTTCCAACGCGCGTTTCACACAGCGAAGCATGGCGACGACTACGGTGCGGAAAACAGACACTTCCCAAATTGTTCCCATTTGGGCTTCCAGCACCAAAGTTAATTTTCCGAAGGATTCTTCTTTCCTATTTGCAGCTTTGGTGTGGACAAAGTGCCGTTTGAGCTGTTGACATAACAATTGTAGGTCAGTATTACCCGTGGGGTGACCCGTGTTGGGCAAGCTGGTTGCCAAGAACGATTGCCGACCCACCCCCTCTGGAATATTGGTCGAAATCCGCTTTAAAATATGAAATGCCATCGAAACACTCTCTGTTCTCGGCACCTGGCTTCATTCCAGCTTTGTCGTCGTTCTGTCCCCGAAGAAGTCAGAGACCCCGTGAGGTTCGAGACCCACTGCCGCACACTGGTCATCGAGCTCCGAAGTGCCTCCCCCACTCCGAACAAGCGGGGAAAAGTCCCGTGAGGCTTTTTGCAGAACAGGAGAAAATCGTTAGACAGAGGTCGGCCAGGCAACGAGCGACGGGGGTGGCTGGTTTGACCAATTGAGATTGCGCTGGGCAAAAGGTGTGCGCAGCGCCACCTGACTGACACGAGCATGATCATCTTGAAATGCTCCTCGGGCATAAGCACGGGCTGTCAGAACTTATCCAGACATGTCACCGGACCATCCACACGTGCGACAGTAAGGACGATACCAAGACCATGCCGGGTGCGTCGGTCTATCGTGGGTGTGGCTCGAGTACGGGCGGCATTTAGTTCTGACACCGACGTGTCAGGTTTATCCTTGGGGCGAGATGCTCGGCCTCATCTTCTACGACAAAGATTGCGAACACCTTTTCTCAAAGCGAGAAGGCCTTGACAAGAATCTCGATGCAACCTTGACCGGAACTTCATAGGTTTGGTACACACCTTCATATACGGTCAATGCGTTAGTACGTTCATCGACTATCATTCTCGAAGTGGTTGACAACCAGACTACTTCCTGAAGAACCCGCATCCACGCATGGATCGGCTACGCGAATGTAGCGTGACACACGGTTCGTCGACTTCAAAGTGTGTTGGTTTTCGCGTCAAGGCCCTCCGAACTCAACCACGTGGAGCACACCACGCATGAGTGAAAACATTGTACAACAAGTTTGGACTGTTGAGGGGGCTTCCTCCTGTGTGACCCCTTTCGGTGCGTCGAGAAATTGCACCGAAACGTGTAATAGACCGACGTCCGGAATGAATGGGATGGCACCAATAGACAACGCCTGGTGTCTTGCGACATCGACATGATCGAAAATAGAAACACAAAATGGCAGGCCGGTCTGTCAGGCCGGACTACATTTGTTTGTCGTATCTCACCAGGTATCTACAGGAAGAAGAACGTGAGACGGACCCGGGAAGACACCCACTCAAACGAAAAGTGCAAGGCGTGTACAGCGGAATCCAGAGTAGTGCCAAAAGAGAGAGAAGTAAGAGCTGGTAACTGCTGGCTTTGCCTTGCACTGTACGGTCGATTGCAGTCTCAAGGTCACGACAACGACAACAGTGGCCGGATGACTTTTTTGTGTAGTCGCGACAAACCTGAGCTGATGCTGAGAACCGTCGCCCTGGGAAATGGGCAAAGGAATGCCTGACGTGCGTTCTCCTCCCGTCCGCACTGATAATGCCCGCGAGGGACATCAAAATGTTTGCCCGCAATAGCGTCCGGCAGACGTGAGTGGGTTGGTTCTTGCCACCGCAGTTGCCACGTTGCTCGCCGTCCATCAGCAGCTGACGGAGCTTTCGGAGAGCCTCGACGGGGGGAAGAGGGGACGTTTCCCCCTGCCGAAGGGTTTCGTAAAGGGGTTCAAGAGGGCCTTCGGTGGGGTACGTGCAAAGGACGGGTAGGACTTACCTACCCGAAGGGAATAGTACAGCCCCGAAAACTCTAAGTGGTGCAGTACACGAAGGAGCTGTGTAACAAGTTTGGTGTATGCAAGAAGGGGGTCCTTGAGTGTGGTGGCTTTGCGCTAGAAACGCATTCTATGGATGGAAGAATCAATAAACACGTTGAAACGAAAGCTTCAAACTACGTAGGCAGCAGCCGTCGAGAATTACAAAGCTCACCTGCCGTTTGCGTTCAAAGAAACTGTCTACTCCTACAAAGCAGTAGGCGCGTCACCTTGTCGGCGGCGTGGAGAGAGTGTCTGTCCCAAATGTCAAGAGCGTCGGTGATGGACGCGAGAACCGCAGCAGCTTCCACCCCTTCCGCCCTCGACGCCAGCTCGAGGTGATCCCGCCCCAAAGTCGCTGCTTTTTCTTTCAGGCGTAGCAACTGGCGGGCCTGCATTTGCTCAATTCCCTTGTCCTGTGGTGTTCGGATCAAAACAGACCAATACAATCATTAAGTAAGTTCTAGCCCACCCAGGTTCTCTCAGTTAACTTCATAGCCTTCGATGGCTATTGGTCATGAGTTTGAGCATCGGCGAATTGCGACTTCCGCATTGTACTCCGGCACTTTAGCACAGCAATGCACAGGAACGTTTGCCTGTGACCATGGATCGGATCTACTCTGATACCAAGGACACGTTGGTTCAGTGTGTAGACTAGTGCATGGATCGGTCAGAGAGAAAGCAAGATTACGTTTGAGTGAATTTCGCGTAGTGGATCCAGGGGCACTGCATTCGTAGCTTGGTACAGCTGTTTGCCCTGAATCCCAGGCCGACAGAAATGAGACCCACGATGATCGGTCACCCACTTTGGTTCTCACCCCTTCGCTCGATGGCCGTTCAGAATCGCCTGAGGCTGCTTGATGCGTTGTCGGTCCAGCGCCAGCGGGGTGACTATCCAGACCCGCAAGCCAGCGCGGTAAGGAAGGGAACTTCGGACACCACCGAAGGCCATCACGGCGAGACGTGCTGTTTCTCTCGCGTCGTTTATTGCGCTGGTGAAGGCGTTGCTGTCGCTGCTGCTGACTGTGCCACCGGGCGTTCATGTATATAGCCGTTGCCTGCCCAAGCGCCAAGCACAGGAAGTATAACGTACCGCACCATACAAACGTCAAGGTCAAGAAGTCTAGGCACTGAATCGCCGTCGCCAGTAAAGGAAACCCTTCAGCACTATGCGCGCAACTACTGTGGGTTCTGTGTTAGGCTGAATTGCCGGAAAAAGCAAATATATGGCGTATACCCCAAAAGACGGCGTCAACACTGAGGGGTACCGTAAGGATGCGGGTCTCCGCACAGGGGTGTTAGCGTTATTCAAAGCTTTCTTACTCCGCAACTAGGAGGGTGCGAAGGCCAAACAACGTCTAAGGAAAGACCACGATGAAATAATTCCAAAATCGCCCTTTTCGGCAGTGTTGCCTTCCTAGTTGTCGAGTGGTGAAGCTTTGAAAAACGCTAGTGCCCCTGTGCGGAGACCCGCATCCTTACGGTACTTAACATATCTACATCAAGGGGAGGATACTGTAACAGAGTATGGACACATCACGACGTCTCATGTCTCACGAGACCAAAGCGGTCATGGCTAGGGATTATGAAACATGACCCCCCAAATAATTTCTATTCGGGTGCCGGGCGGGCGACGGTAAACGCGAAAAATTCGCGTCGAAGCTGCAAAAAAAAGTATCATCCAAGTCTTCCAGGGAGTTTTCGCCCCAACATGTGATGCCAAAGCCAACCAGATTTCCACGTCGCACCTGCGCCCTGCACCAATCTGCCGTTGCAAGGCTCTTGAGCTCCTCGTACAGGTCGTTGAGGAGCGACACTAGCAGGTTGAGCATGATCACCACCACCAGCACCGTGAATAAGGCTGTGAAGGAGTACCTGGTGGAATATTCTGTCGTTCTTAGCCAGTGGTGGTAGCATCGTGGCGTCACGATGGCAATCTAGCGCATGATGCGTACGCTCACAGCCTCGGTAGCACAGTAATACCCTTGCCCTTTGGACTAAGTCTGTAGCGGCTAACACACCACACCAAGAGTTCGCCATTGCCACAAACAAAGCAAGCAAGGTCGAAGACAAGAACCTGGTCTACGGGACTACATGTAATGATGTTTTTGTTGGAGTGGCAGCGACATTCAGCAGAACAGGCAGTGTGTTTGGTTTGGTTTACCATGCTGATTTGATTCTGGTGCCGTCCTTTCTCAACGGCCGTGAGCTTCAACGACATCCCTTTTCGGCATGCAGCTACAGTGTCGATCGTTGCTAAGTTTCAGATTATCCAACCCACCTCCATGACTGGTAGAGGTTCTCCGCGCGAATATCGTCGAACGTGAATTCTCCCAGAGTCTCGGGGTACTGAGTGGCCACTGCCGAAGATATGCTCTTCATCAAAAACTCCAGCTCCCCGAGCAGAGTGTACCTGAGAACAAAGCAACCAGCAAAACATATCAAGAGGGGAAACCGGAAACATAATGATGAGCCCAGACCAAAAACCATCAACAACGGCAAGCTCCTCCCACTCTATCCTTGACTAGGTCGCATAGGGCATCCCAATGTTCTGGACCATACCCTCTGAGTGCGCTCAGAGTTCGTGCCTCTGATGACATATGGTCAAGGATGCGTACGAGAAGCCAGATACATCGACGTTTACTGCAATCATGAACGTGATAAAAGCGGAGAGAATCTTCTTCGTGACGAGTTCATTTGCTGCCGGGAAAGAGCAGGTGAAACATTGACAATGGGGAATTTGACGCTCACCGGGCGAAAGCCCACGCCACGTAGATTATTGCGAGCAATGGCAGGAAGCTTCTCACCAGTTTTCCTGGAATATTGGGTCGACGTGCGCATATGGAGGTTCGGGAACATGAAGCACTGCCTGGTGTTCGGCACGGGAAACCGTCGGTATTGCCATGGGAAGGCACCACGAAGCTCTACGGCAGGTTGGAATCGCATCCCGGAACACGTGCCGCCACAAGCTCTTTGAAAGAAAGCATGATTGCAACCGCATTGATGAGAAGATGCAAATATCTGACAAGGCCGGATCGCACACAACCGGCACGCCTTCATCTAGAACCTTTGTCACTCGGTCGTGTCTCCGCAATTCACCAAAACCTTTGTGCGATTGTCAACCACACACAACACGTCGACTCCTTTGGGCACGCGGGACGACCTTCGAGCACCTCACCATATCCATCAACAACCAGGGACACCTACGATACCTATCATGAGCGCGATCATCTTGACGAGGAGGAAGAAATCCTGAAACACGCCCTGCAGGGGATCCATTAGCTTCACCCACACAAGAATGACCATGGTCGCGACGCACTGTCTCTCCACGGCCACCAAATCAGCCAAAACCCTGAAGGATGGGAGAGCGTACCGCCATGCAAGGTTGACCTTGGCGCGTTGGTGTATTTGGAATTATTTTTCTACGCATTTCAACTACAGGAGAAACCCACCAAGAACTCCGTTTTTGTTTTCTGGTGTGCGACATCTGCGTTGATATATGTGTAGCTCGATTTGTGTCTTCACGCAACAGTCGTTAACGGTAGCTCGGCTGCCCACGTCAACCACGTTCGCTATGACTATGGTTAAAAACAACAGTGGGTGCACGTTGGTTCATCGCATCATAAATGAAATACATCGATGCGTAGTCTGCCCAGGGCGCAGAAAGCATCGATCAGCGCGAGTTTCTCGCGAGATGTAAGAAAACGCGGCCTTTAATCTCATCTTGGGGGCCGGTAGGTGGGAAAGTTGGTCGTGACACAAACCACGATTCCAGGATCAGCGTGCCTGATATCAGTCTCTTGGTCGTCCACCAGGTCCAGGTCTGCGACGGCGGTGCTCTTCGCGACGACTATGTAAAACAATACCCCGTGCCCAACGATGAGCACGATGTCCAAGAGATTGGTCACCGCGAGGAAGTAGTACGGCCCCTGGGTGTGCATTACGTACGGTAAGCGTCAGGCAAGACAGAAGAATGCGGGAGGGAGGCGGAGAGCGAGACAATGGTGAACAGGGAGATAATGAAGATGCGTGTGCAAGTGGAGGCGTCTGCGAAGAGTCCTGACCCAAGAGTACAAGCTCTAGACGAACAAGTTGGGGCTTGCAGTTGTAAGACATGAAGCAGGCAACCTCGCGCGTGGGCACCTGTCGTCTGAGCTCCATCCTCTCCTTTCCTATGTTGACAAGAACGAGCACGAGTAGAGCCAGTTCCGCCAGGAATGTCAGCCTGGAAAAAAACAAGCCACCAGCGCAACGCAATCATTAGTAAGTCGCGCACATGTAGAATAGCTACCATACCGTTTGTCCGGTTGTGCTCACAGAACATAACAGAAGCAGCTACCCTCCACTAGTTTCCGAGGAATTTCTGCAACAGCGATGAAAATGCCTAAACATATTCTCTGCGCTTATTGTATGGGAATAGACCCATGCCGGCATGGCTAAGAAGCATGCTCATTCATCCAGCACATGACTGTTTCTCCTGTCGTTCGTGTTTGAGGAATACCACACAGTATCTCGATGAGGAATGGGTCATTGCTGCCGTATAGCGCGTCAATGAAGCTAGACAACTCTCTCTCTCCCTCTCTCTCTCTTGCTCACCCCGTCGCTCTCCTCTGCCACACGTAAACATAAGCCGCGACCCATCCCGAGACTGGACCGCACACTCCTTCACGCCTCACACAACCTATTTACCTGTCACCGGTTATTCCTCCACCGTCATGTCCGAGCTGCAACCAGTAGTACTGCGCGCCCCTGATGTTGTTGCAGGCATTGTTTAGGGCCATGGGAGCGGTTGTGTCGTGAATTTCAAAGCGCGGCGATTTGGCGCTGAACATTTTCCAGGCAACGCTCAAAGCATCAAATGATTTATTGGTCGAAATAGCTCAACAACCTTGACGTAGAGTCCTGGATTGCCTGGTATAGTCCTTGACACCCAGTTCAATAGGTGTGTTCCACGTTGGCAACCTTTATGGCAAAAGACGCAGCTGTGGGTTCAATACGCAAGCGGCTGCCGTTGGCGTAGCAGAGAGGGGCAAGAGGAAAACCTCATCGTCTGCGGTGTTTGAGCCATTGCTGCATGGGCTGCATCACTTCATTTCACAAGCCCGTGGCAAAGGGGAAGTATTCCGTTCATTCTTGTGTTTGATTTCGCGAAATACGGTTACACATACACGTCAACAAGCGAGGAGACCCTTTTCTCTTTCTGCTCACCTTGGGCCAAGCATGATGTTGCGAAGGGTATGGAAGGAGTTGAAAGTGCTGAACGTGACGTAGGACGGGTGGGTCAAAGGAACCCCGCCCTCCGCGGGTAGCTCAATCAGAATACGCACGTACATCAGCTTCCTGCAGCCACACGTAGTAGACATGCGCAGCTAGTTTGAAAAGTATCGAAGATACAGGTTGAAACATTCGCTACACTCGTTACCTTGCTCCGTCCGAGTAGATAAAATATCCATCCGATGTTTGTCAGGCGAAGCGAGCAACTGGCTGTGGAACGGCTCGTGTGAAACTCAGCCTATGAGCACGTGCTGCGAATTGGGATAAGCTCTCTTTACAGATAAGGGGGGGGGGGCGGGCAGCATCTGTGACAATGGATACAAGCACATTTCAAACTGATTCGCACTTTCATGTGGGTGTGGCTTACCATCCCTTATCTGTACATTGGTGTGACTCATGGAATCCAGGATGCCCCAACACAAAAATGGCCAGTTCGGCACTGCACCACAACATGCACTAGGGACTTTCGACGAAGTTGATCTACATCTGGCACAGCGGGGCAACCATTCCCTGTTACCTACACATGTGCTTTGACACAACTTCTTATCTCGTTACGTTCGCACACCTCGACCAAACTGTATCCAGCCCCGGAAAACACGGAGGAGTGCTGGGGGTGGCACGTGCTCCCTGAGTCGCACCAAATGTCCCTATTTGACTGTTCGCGTGTCCTACTAACTAATCTACGGAACTTTCTGGTGTCAGGGGAGGGTTGGCCTACGTTTGGGGCCCTGAGGACAAGACAGGTCAGCGTTTTCTGTGGAGGTGCAAGTTCCAAACCTCTGATCGGCACGTGAGGGTTAGCCTGCAGATTCGCGATGGTATCAGACTTGCCTTCCTGAAAAGCTGTGGATGGCCAGCTCCAGCGAGACCGCCCGAGAGCTCTCGTCGATCCATCCATCGGCCTGCAGCATTGTTAAATCGTCAGCAGCCACACCATAGATTCCTATGACTTCCACGGAAGCATTCATGGAGTCTTTCCTCGAAACCACGCAGAGAGTGGTGCTATGCAAAGCTACCATGGCTTCAAACGATGCATCCATGGAAGCTTTCATGACTTCCACAAAGCCAGATGGAAGTTTCACAAGAAACGATGACAAGAGTTATTTCTTGTTGTTTTCCTTGTTTGCTATTTTCCCGCTTTTCTAGGCCACGTGTTGGGGAGAGACACACGGAACGCACATCCTCTCGCCAGTACATTGACAGCGAGGCGAGGAGATAACCCTTACAGATCCGTCTCTCTCCTCACAAATAATACCAGCCCGGGGACTACAACTGTACACGCCTGCGTCCCGATACTGACCAAGTCCCCGAATGGTACACACCATTCTACAACATCCCGACTTGAACCGAATATTCCCGAACTTATTCCCCCACCTTCGAAAGAAAAGGGATGGGAGGGCGGGATTATTGCTACTGTGCCGCCACTTACGTTGGGCGGCCGCTGCTTTCCTTCCGTCTTCCCACGTGTTCTGCGGCTTCCTCTCGTTACGCAACTTGCTACAGCAAGGGCATGCTTTCCTCCACAGGATGGCAGCGGGGTTACAACTTTCTTCTACCCATGACCCCGGGTTTCTAAACAATAACTAGTCTTGGACCGTAAAAGCAATACCCCTGTTTTCTGTCTGTTCGACGACTAATCGTTCCTGTTTGTTTTCGTTGCCTTTGTCTCTGTTTGGGTTACGTTCTGCTAATGAATTGACTTCCTTCGTCCAATGAAGAGTTGGGATATGAGGTGAGGACCGATGTCACAATGGTTTTTTATTGTGGAGACAGCAGCAGACCCGACGCAACAACGAGACCCTCGAACACAGATTCCATGTTACCCTGGACTAGAGGGGTATACGCCCGAAAAAAGGTTATACGTCACATCTGTACGACAGCTCACTTCGAGTTCTTCCATGCCTGACTCGGCTAACCCTCGGTCCACAGTGGGGATGTAGTGCACGAATGCTCCCGGCCCGTACACTCCAAAGGACCCCTTTATCTTGTCCTTGTGAGCATCGGGAACGTACTCGTACCTGTGGGTGGGTGTGGGTGTAGGTACCATTAATTGCTCGATGGCTGGGGGCATCGAGGCGCTGTCGGCTCTCGCATACCATAGAAAAGGTACCATCACATGCGAGTCCCGACATCCTTGGGCACTCTATTCGTTTTTCTCGCTGTTCGTTGCAGAAGGAGCCGAGCTCTCACTTATGCACCGCACGCTTGCTTCTACTAAACGACTTCAGCTGACTTGGTCCTCGCTTCCTTCAAGTACTTCCGATTTAGCCCTTACTTCACGTGATCGGGCCCGGGGCGTGTCCATGCTACAAACGAACAAGGGGCGACACCTCACTTGAAATTTGGGCCGAAGGGTCTGGCATCCATGGAAGCTGCGTGACAGAGTGCCGTTGCCCCTGAGTCTTCGCCGCAGTAATCAGTAAAGCAAAACTTGCTGCTGTTGCTGCTTAGTTCTTCTTCGGCCAAGATGAGTGGCCAGGTCTGATGGTCCGTGCAACCAAAAGAGGAGGGGGTTAAGGGTTGCGGGGTGGGTAAATGACGGTGATGGCGCTTGTCACAAGCGTCAACGACGGGTAGCTGCAACACGTTCAAAGCACGCCGCACACACGGCACCTCGCAAGAATCGGACGCCGTTCGCCACTGACTGAGCCTTGGTTGTCCCAGTATGCTCACGGCGTTCCATCCTTGGGAATTCACCAAGGTGTCTCCTTCGTACCAACTGCAAGAAATCCGACGAAATATGGACGGCGGGCATCATTTGATTCTGTCAGCGTAGCGAGTGCCGCGGGTATTCTACGCAGTTTTCAATGCCCAGTTGGGACTGTAGCGTGGACAGTACGGTCGGGCTTCGGCATCTTGGATCGCCTTGTGTGTTCTCTGTATCACTCGCTCAAAGATAGTTCCACGACCGTAAGTTGTTTTGTTCTCGGTGTGTGCCGCTGGGAGCACGGTAATCCAGTTCCTTGAGCGAATGGCAATGGTGCTCCAACGAATTTTCTAGTCGAACACCTGTTGTTGGTATCCGCGTAGACGAGGTCAACGACAGGGCCTTGCAACCATTCCCAGATGCTGGCCGCGGAGTCCGTCGTACCGAAGAGGGACTCTTCCTCGTCCCACAGACCAGACCCGATTTCGATCGCCGATCTAATCGACCTGGGAATGGTCGATGGAAAATAACGCTTGTCACACCTCAACGAACGCTTGTCACACCTCAACGCTTGTTCCAACTCTTTCTAGGTCAAAGTCGGCAAGAGGTTCCTGGATTGTTGAACTTGCTTCTACCGATGATCATGTTAGCTCCATGTGATACTGTGATTTCAATAGAAAGCCATCCTGAGGCCCTGGTTCGCTTACCAGGCTAAAAGAAGAAAAATTATCGTCGTCTACTCGCAGTTGAAAGGGGGTGGGTTTCGTTGACATACAAGCACGGGCAAGAGCTGAGCCATGACAGATTTGTTGCCTACGTAGGATCGCACCTCTAAAGAGAGGTCGACCAGAAAAATTACCCAAGTTACATTTCATTCATGGCCATGCTGGAGGCCTCGACCATACACATCCAAGCCTAGTGTGGAGAACCTCGGGGAACAATCAAGGAACAAACTCTCTTTTTCTTACATGGTCAGGTGGTAGCCGTGAGGCATGTTCCTCCCGGAGTTTAGCACCGAACACAGCGTAAAAACGACAAGGTAGACAAGGTACAGGAGCAGCACCCGAAGTGCCCGAATCCGGTGGCCTCCCTGGATCCATTCCTCGTGGACAGCCTGTAGACGGGAGATTGGGGCAGGCATGGGATCGGCCTTACTAGACCATTCGGGCCACTGCCCCAGAAATTGACAACATTCGTGTTTACTACTGTGAAATGTCGCTATTATAGTCGTTTGTTCGGACCCTGATTCAGGTTACACGCAAACGTTGTTCTGCAGCGCACGCATTCATTTTTAGCACAAGAAAGGTTCAGCACTTCCTTCCCTCAAGAATACCCATGAGCACGCATTTTTGGCAGGACCAAGTACGAAATTGGACGAAACGTTGATGGGCAGTCTAGAAATTGGCGAATAATCTACAGAAGAGCCGATGCGCACACGGTAGCACGTACCTCCTGAACACGGGCCGAAGAAAAAATGCTCCTTCCGGCGTGGTATCGTTGCTTGCTCTGCTGGTAGACCAACCGTTGCCTCGCCTGTGACAAACCAAACCGAATCGCATGGCCGTCGTCCGGGTGAGATGAATGTGTAACACGGAGGATCTTATGTCGACCCGCTACCGAACAGTCTGCCCTAGAAACCTCGTGAGAACTAATACGGAAAGGAGAAAGTCGAAGAACATTGATAGACAGATAGCAGCCACTACAAAGTATTCCTGAAGCCGTTGGAGGCTGAGCACATGATTTTGAGATATGGGCAGGTTGGCGCCCGACCTGTCTTCCATCAAGATTCTCATCGTAACAGGAGAAATCGCGAGTCGGCGTGGAGAACACAGGCGGAGCCGCCCATAGAATCAACCCGATAGCGTTTGATATCACCAATTCTCGGCTTCTAGCTTAGCTCGAACCCCGCCGTAAGTTCTCCCTTTCCCCCTAGACTCTTGTTTCCGAGGGCAATCGACTGCGCAATATGCTGAACCGTGCTTGGCAACAAGTTGCCAGAACACTTCAAGCTGGACGCAAAGACGAATTTGGGACACGTGAAACTCCTGCACGGCAAATTTTTCACGTGCGGGAGGGGCAAGTGTTGTGAACGTGACAGACATACGTTACGGCACATGCAACTTTCATTGCTCTGCGAAAGGTAAAAGCATGACCTGGGCGGGGCTGCTTTCGTTCCAAGGATCCGTGGCGCCTGTGATCCACAAAGCGGCTCTTTCGGGCAACGACTGCACGGAAGAAAATATCTGTCGTGCCCTTAGCAATCTGCAACCGGGGTCGGGGGAGGGGACAGGTGAAACGTATCAACAACGCGCGCGTCTCAGCCAAGGGCCCTCCGCATTGCAAGAATGGAACACCCGCAGGTTGGGCTTCAACTTTGGCCGGGAGGAGGGCTCTGTGTTTAGTTAGAAGTACATTAAACGTTGGTATGCCATAGTACAGTATCTGGAAATTTGATTGCGATACAAATACCTATGGACATTCAGTAGTACTCAATATGCAGTCGTAGCAAAGTCTATGCAATACAGAGCTTACAGGTTTTACGTGTACGCCACACCAAATCCTATACAACAGAACAGTACACCCTCCGTCTAGTGAGCCTGTTCGAGGCGGTAATTTGAGTCTAGGGGGGGGGGTGGATACGGGTGTTCCGTTCTCGCAATTTGGAGGGCCCCTTGTCTCAGCGAACAGGGTCCAACGAGTAAAGTTCTACATGACGCGGAAATGTATCCCATTGTTGGGTGCTTGCATAACGCCATTTTCGAGCGCGCAACGAGACTCTGCCCCCCCTCCCTGTTCGTCCGTCCGTCTCTGGCTCACTTATACTGCAAGGTATCCTGGACTGCCTGCATGATGTCATCCCGACGCTCGCCGAAGTACTTGCGAAAGTCGAGAGGTTTGGAAGCAGTCTTGTCCAGGCTGTGGAGATCGGCACCATGCCGCAGCAGCTGCTGGACAACCTGGAACGAAAGGGGGTCGTTTTCCTGACGATGGATACTCTCAGTCGATGAAGGACTCTTTTGTTCGGCATCACATAGCACTCTCTGCTCTGCTGAGGTGACGGGCGTGAAGTGCCGATCTGAACTGCACAAGAATCAAAAGACTCAAAGCTAACCCTAGGGACTCCTCACATACTTCCACGACGCCAATCGCATGGACTAAACATTCCGTCGAGAATTAGTTATATTTACCATGGAGGGAGCTGCGATTTTGGTACTACAGTACTACGACTTTAGAACAGCTCTCTTTGGATATCGCAAGCATGGATCCAGCCAGCCAATCGCCGAGGTTTTGTCAAGCGACTGTGCATCACGATACTCACGTCCTCTGCACCTTCCCTCATCAGGTTAAGGCCCGCCTGTGCCGTACAGGAGGTTGAGCTCTCCGACATCGCCAGCGCCCGGCAGGCGTAGTGAAGCGGTGTCCACCCCCTTGCGTCCTCCGCAGTCACCATCCCTCCCTGGCATGTGGTATACGACAGCACGACAGATACGTACAGTCAACAAAGCCTGCATAAATGTCGCTACAGAGGTAAGACCGGTCAAGTGGACTGGACATGCATCCGGTGCCGACAACATTGTTTGCGTGTTTCAACGTGTTTAGCCGCCCAGCACATACATCGTTGCCAAGCGTATTGTGCAACACGTTTGTGAGCAACACGACAGTACGGGTGGTCAAGCTAGGTGTGACATCCCCAACCTCCACCCCACGCTAGCAGCAGAGTACATAGGATGGACGATGCCGGAAAATATCGTACGCCTCTCTAAGTCCTAGCCCTGCGGCATTGCTTCACAGAACCTCTGAGGAACGCCGAGGGCCGTCGTCATCTCACGATTGATCCGCACGGCATCGTACCTAGCGCAATCACACGCACTACCAGACTACATTCGACTGAATCAGCCCCATCAACCCCCACCCTATGTTGTTCAAGCCATGCCTGCGACATGAACGAGATAGCGTTGACATGACACTGCCTAGTGCAAAGAAGGCCTGCCTGGTTCTCCTTGAGCAGAACACTGACGATCTTCATGCGCAAATTGAGGCTGGCGATGTGAAGAGGGGTCATCAGCTCTTCGTTTTTGGATCCTGGAAATAAAACGGGAACGGTCACGGGAATGCCCAGGAAGGGCATTGAAAGGCAAGGCACATGGTGACGAAGAAGAGGAACAAGGTAGTTCCATACGACGAATCCCAGCAAAATCAAGTCAACGTGGACATACCAACGGCACGAAATAAGACGGTGCGAAAGACGAAGGCGGAACCAAACCTCAACCCCACATGAGATACCTGAGTTGGCGCTGTAGATGATGAGGGTTTTGACGATGTGGATGTGTCCGTGCTGGCACGCGATATGCAGAGGAGAGTTTCCGCGAGCGTCTCGGATATTCACCTGGAACATACAACACGGACAAAACTGCCTGTTGCTACTATCATTCGAGAACATAACTTTTCGGGTCGGCAAGCTTTCACGTACTACCGCCCCGAACATGGGAAATGACGAATAGCTGTTCCAGAGCCACGGTGCTTCCGGCAAGACCTCCGGGTCTTCACATTTCCCCGAAAGTTAAAACAATACCAGGTAAATCCGAATGAAATTGTTTACCTGAGACTTTGCTGTAAGCAAGTTCTGAACAACCTGATGCCTCTCCTCCGTGTCTGCCACAGCGTGGTGAAGAGCTGCCTTCCCAGAGAAATCGCGCTGGTCCAGCATCGCCTGCTCAAAACAAGGCTTATTCTTTACTTTCTGGTGTACAGCATTCGGACCGTGCGTGGTGACTGAAACAAAAAACAATTCATTTGTGTGAACAGTTTTGTGTAGATTGAAAGACTATTCCAGCCGTCCTTTATTGTGTATTTACCTGGAGGTCAGAGACAGCACTGGTTAACCCTCCACCTCCGCTTGGGTGTCGAAATAGGCGAAACGAGGAAGATCTCTTGTTACCGTCCTCGGTTGTTCCCGGATCCCTCCCTCCACCGCCGCCGCCGCCGCCGCGAAGCTGTGCGTTGGAAACGGTTCCAAGAGGGAGAAAAACATATGCCAGGTACGCACATTTGACTATGGTGATTGGGGAATAGCCAGGGGGCATAGTCAAACCGAGGCCTTTCATCTTCGAACAGCAAATTCCCAATGGTTCGTTTTGAAAGAGGTCGTCCGGATACGCATGCTCGCAGACCTCTTGAAAAGGAGGGCTGGTTCATTTCCGTACTTTATATCTTACCTTTCTGGCGCTGTTCAGCCGATTCCGGACGAGCTCGCTGTGGTGTGCCAAGAGTAACTGCGTGATGGCATCGTGTTTGCTGATGACGCTGTGAAGAAGAGCGGTTCTGTTTAGCGTGTCGGTCACCGCGATGTCCACCCCTTCCACGAGAAGCCTCTCTACCAACATCTGAAAAATGAAAACACGATTCGAGTCATCGAGAGGGTAGCGCTGAAGGCCACACGAAATCCAAGCTGAGAAAAGAGACCGCTGTTTGCGAAAGCGCGAATGTGACGGCATCAGGAGAACACTAGGGACGCGAGCGCCGGTTGAGCGGGTAAGCTACACGACATAAAGTAGTCCTCACCGACCTTGCACGTACTCAAAGTTTTGTGTGAGTACCGGCCCCACTGCAAATATGAAACCAAGGCAGGATTGTTGCACGAACCACTCACACTTTTGATGTCGTCTTCTTGCCATCACTTACGTACTCGGACAATCCGCCCCGCCAACCGACTACAACAACAAGGTCAACCACCATCGCGCGGATATTGCGATACCCCCCGTTGTTCCTACCTCGTTGTTGTCCAGCACCGCTGTCATGAGGCTGGTTCGGCCGTCTCTTGGGTCTTGAGCATTGGTCGTGTCGCAAAGGTCCAAAACGAAGAGGTTGCTGACGCCCATCGCGTCCTACGAAGATCAATGCTAAAGAGATTAATTGTTGCGCCTCGACTTCACATTCGCGCATGGCTATGCGGCAACCGTAGCTGCCTGGAGTAACTCCTCCAGACTGCTGTTTTATCAGTCTGGATAATATACTGGCAATAGAAATGTCTTGCGACAGTCGTACCTCAATGACAGCGAGCGTGGTGGAGATGTATCCCTTTGGGTCAGGACACTCCCTCTCGGACATGCTCGCAGACATCTCAAGCGTCACCTGTCAAGCAGCAGCAGTTGCTTCGGCCCGTAAATCTCGCGGAGAATTAACTGAAACACGCGCGTTGAGCAAGCGCGTACGTGTTCGTTTTGATATTTTGTCTTATGAAAAATTGTTGTGCGCCAGATGCATGCTGCAAGTCCTTCACAAGATGTTCTAAACCGCACCTTTTTGTACGGCCTGGAAGTCGTGATGACAGCTCCAATTGAGTTGCGCCCTACGCCCACCGCCGCAACGCCCGCCACCAGTTCCACCCCTAGACCTCTGTTTCGAGGCTGCGACAGCACCTTTTTTGCCTCTGAGATGAGGGCTTGTTGATGAAAGCTGCCGAGATAGACCTGACGGACACCCCAGGTTCAAACAACATGGATGGTTGGTTCCGATGGGGGGCTTCCTCACAATCGATGCGTTTTGTGGGTAGCTACGGCCGGCTGAATCAACCAGAGACGACACGCACCCAATCTCACCTCGACCATTTCGTCCCCGAAAACATCAGACAGACTCCCGAGGAACTTGAGACCATGCCCGTCCTTGTTGCCCTGCAGTGCTCCCCCTTCTATGCCAAAGCCGGAGCTTGACGATCCTCCCGTTCTAACGCGGGTGGCATAGGCACGAGTATCCGGAGCTCCCGCCTGGAGGCTTCCACTCAACTGGCTCCCGTAGCTAACACGCCTTCGGTTTAAGGACCGTGGACGGCTGGGTTCCCGGGATGCCGAAGCATTCTGGTGAGCGGTGGTCAACCCTGAATGAATACAAGCGGGCAGACGTACACCACAGCCCATCGCATAGAAGAGAGAGCGTGTGTGTCGGAGGCTTGCGGACAACCAAGGCACGTAAAAAGATTGTATATTTTAGACCAACCGGTACCAAGCTAGGTGAGGTGGGTCGCTGTCGTCTAGGCAGCCCCCCTGCGTTCCCCGCATGATCCATAGAGATGTCGTCTAGCTTCTGCCACTACAGCTACCTCGTGCCTCCCTTGTAGTGACCCGGCAAGTAGTTAATGGGGTAGCGGTGCTTCGTAAAATGTTCGTAATCCGAAATCGTTTGGTGAGAACTCGTGGGAGGCTTGTTCGCTCAAGGAAAATACAAAAGGTGGTTCTATAGACTATATTGTTGAGAATCAAGTGCGCAGATGCCCTGCGTTGGAGAGAAATCTAGTATGTTGCTCGAAACCGAAGGCGTGCTGCCCGCATCCAGACTAAAGCATGAACGAGGATGATGAATAGTATCTTCGAAGCGGAAAGCCAAAAACTCACACATATAGTTCAGCCTTTCCAGAGACGAGCATGTACCCAACACAAAAAAAAAAAATGGTAAGTATGTAAAACAATCATGTCTTAATTATTGATACAATATGTATGGCAAGTTGGGATGCTGTACTTCACCATGTATCTACTGTAGCTGATTAACGTGAATCATGCCCGATTCTCACACCAAAGTGTACATACGATTCATCGGGTTGGTTTTTCCGAACTTAAACCTGACACATTTATGCCCGTCGAAAGAGTTGTGTGTGCATCGACAACAACGGGGTTCACTCCTGAAGCGCTGGTCAACACAGCCGTTCAAGCTCATTCCTGTAGCTGACAGGGTCTGAATAGCACGCTGGGGAAGGCTTGTCAGTTTCGTAAACTATGACGCCGATCGATGCATACGAAACGAACTGGCGCAAGTGCATCCCTCACCAGGTACGGGAGAGACCCGATCTTGACCAGGTTGACCATCATACCCATGTCGTGACATCTGAACTCCAGGAACCGCCAAAGTACCAGGTGTAGTACTGGCACCATGACCCATCGCAGATGAGACTTCCCGTGCCAAGGCCGGCCCCAGGATTGCATTTGACGATACGGACAAGTCACTGGGAAGTGTGGTGAACCTATCACGGCTCCTGGTGGTGGTGGCGGTTATGGAAGTGGCGGGAAACCGTTCTTGACCAACCTTAGGGCTAAGCTGAACCAGCCTTAGGGTGAGCACCGAACCGAAGCGGTCAGTAGCCTCCACGGTGTCGCTTGTCACTGAATTGGAATTGGAATCAATTGAAGGCACAGGGCGGATCGTGAGGGAATGCAAAGGTAGCGTTGCGCCTCAGGTTTTTTAGAGGTCGGGGCTTTCCAGCGAGTGCACGCCAGACGAGATGTTCTTGAATACATATATCATTGTGCAGGGACGGACAAGAGAATGGTTGGAAAGAACAAGGGGTAAGAGGGTTAGAGACGGGCTGCAAGGAAGGGCGGAGAAGACGAGTAGAGAGCGGGCCACAGGAATCTACCGGCGGGTCCTGAAAACCTTTGTCGGTAGCGTTTGCATGTTGCCCGCGAAAGAAATACTCGGGCAATCAGCGCGCATTATTTCATACATGATCTTGCCAGGCTGGGCTAAAAAGTTCTTGGATCCAGCAATATCATCTTGTAGACGCGCAACATGACTGCAGACAGCAGCAACACTGCACCTGCTCCAGTGTCTTGAGTCGTGTCCGTCACAACAATTTCATTCGTATTGTTCCTGCTGCGCAGCAGTATTCTGTCGATCTTTCTGAGCATGTGCAGTCGCTCCTGCCACTGCGATACCCCCGTTCCGGTGAAATCCTCCCTGGAAACGCCGCCCTCGGCGTCGAACTCCCGACCGCCTTCTTTGTACCTGGCAACGCCACGGCGAGCTTTCGCATTGGATAGCAATCCACAAATTCTGTCTTGTGTGCACGGTGACCACATCACAGCTATTCCAGGCAAGAGTCCAAGGATCATGAATTGATTTTCGGGACTCGGCTGGCGCGACAACGAGGTGAGGCATTAGGGTGGACGGGGTGGTACTGAACGACAACTGCGGCAAGTCTGAGGGATTTTATCTGGTGCGGTCTTACATGTCCCCGTCGTTGCTGTAGTCTTGTTGCTGAGGCCTTACATAGCCGCACTGGACCATGGCTGACGCGGCAAAAGCGTGAAGCCGGAGGGCTCTGAGGCTCCGCAGAAACGTTCCGGAGACTTCGGGCGAGGCATGAAAAGGAGCCCGTGAAAAGTCTGACCTAGTCACCATTAAGAGACGCTGGCCAGCCGTGCCAATCTTCCTCTTTAGTCCAATGGCCGCCCTCTCTGCCTCCAACCAGCTGCTGCTGATGTTTCGGTTGATGGTGGATTTCCTGTGGCTATTGTTTACACCGGAGGCATCTGGGCCTGATCTTTGGCATGCGCCGGTCGTAGCGCATTGAGCCATCACGCGAGCTGGTTGTGGAAGATGGGTTTCGTGCCATTGCTGCTGCTGCGACCGCTCCCATGCCGTTGCGCCATGTCTCGGTATCGATATTTCGGTCGCATCGTCAGAAGATGACACTAGATTGGTTTTCCGCGTAGTGTTGCTTGTCCCAGACACCTAGAATGATTCAAAGGACATCATGAGATTGCATACTTCGAAGTACATAGTTATGTACCTTGAAGAAGGGCGTCCTGGGTGCTGTAGGATTCGGAGGAGTGTTTTGTTCCAACAAGCGCCCAGTCCGAAAATGCGAAGGGCAGCCTGATTTAAACATTGATCGCTTTCGCCCTACCCTGCGGTCGCCCCAATCTACGTCTGTCTTTGTACTCTGTCCTAGGAACGTGTTCTGTTAATCCGGGTCTCGCAAGGTCCTTCCCGCGCTGTCAAGGTTTGATGGAAACCTAGTTAACTAGGTTTGGCGCGTTCGACATGGGGCTTGGGGACAGGCTTCCTTGAACGGCGACGCAAGTTGGGAAAAAAATAGTTTGTCCCGTTTGTCCGAATAGGCGCTCTTCCCACGTATATCTGATATAGGACCTACATGAACATCGACATCCCGTCGCGAGAAACCGAGCACATGCAAGACACCACGAAAGCTGCAGAATTGCCCCATGAAGGCAGCCGCGGAATCTGTCGAAGGCACAAGTATCGTTTTCGACGAACCTGTCGGTCCAATGATGTTCCTGGAGCCATGTGCGATGATTTTGAGGCAACGCTGCTGCTGCTGCCGGTGACACGCCATGGGATTCGGAGTCCCGGCCGAGGGTCATCGGCGGCATCTTGAAGGGCAATAGTGTCAACGTGTTCAGGGCGGGGGTACGACAAACGGGTATGGTTAGCAAGCGTTTTTCACCGCTACGTTAGGAGTGCCAGCTTCGGCTGTTGTTGCATTGTAGCGGAGATAGTTGTGTGAGACTACTACCAGGTAGCGACAAAGGGGGGCAATAACCATCCAGGAAAAGGGTAAGCGCACGTAAATTTGGCAGGGACTGTATGAAAACCTCGTAACCCATGGCGAAACACATGTACGCCTCAAACATGCTTTGCAGCGGGAACACTTCGCACGCGAACAGGCGAATTGCATTCGGCGCATGACAGCGACGTGTAGAGCTTGACAAAGGAGACACTTACAGTCATACAGAAATACGTGCGCCGCACTGCACATCTCATCGAGGTCGACACACGAAAGCCATTGAAGGCAGTCCTGGACGCCCCAGGAGGTGGGGTGGGGAAGACTCCGCTTCGACTGTAACCTGTTTATGTTGATTTCCGGCGATGCATCGAAGGACAATGAGGGAGAGTTCGTTTTCGTCGCAAACTGTTACGAATTTTATGTAATCTTTTTCACAAACCGCAAGAGAGCGTGCAACAACAGGAAGGTGGGAGAGGGGCGCCCAAGATGCTCTGTTCAACTTTCCCGTCAAAGTGCCAGTGTTTTATCAGAATTGAAGTCAAACGAAGACGTGTAGACTGCTTGCCACGTATGGTACCTCCGCAGGGCCAGCTTTGCCTCTCCTCGAACGGACTTGGACCAGTGAAACGCCGCCAGAAAAAGCATGCCCCGCTCGACGGCTTCCCGGCTGGCCGGTCGCATCGTCGACCCTGTGGAGTTCAACGCTAGCCCGGAAAGAACGGAGATGCACTGTCGCTGTAGCCTTGTTGCCGCCCTCTTTCGTTTGGTCGTTTGCGCTGAAAGCCCGAGGCTGCAGATGCGGAAACAAGGCGATTGACAGGTTATCTCCCTGTCACAAGTGATCTCGCGGCATTTTGTGTTGCGAAGAAAGAAGTGACATGCGAGAGTGCAACCGTAGGGTAGTGTTTGCTGAAGAGTGGAATTGTCGCCCTAGCTTCGACTTACACTGCTTCCTCGCCGCCAGTTTGACTGTTGTACAAAAACCAACTCTCACCCATCGCCAGTGTTGGCAGCAATTCCCCCTGTTGAATCTTTTTCACTGCTGCTCTTCCCAGCAAGCACTTGGGTTGGGTAGAAGTCATGCATCTCGTAAGTGTATAGCTGCGCTGTCAAGCTCTCTATCACGTCGTACCTGGAAAAAAGAGGGAGGGGAAACGATAAAAGAAAGGCCCGCAGGGCGGGATGAGAACAACCGGGCACAGCGATTCTCGTTCTACACCACCAGTCGTCCATGATGCCGAGAGCCAACCACCGCTACCACCTCCACCATGGCCGCCACCACCAACAGCCGTAGCATCAACACCGAAGATGACGGTAGCAAGCACTGAAGCTAGCACCAGCATCATGAAGACCACCAGTTCCCCAGCCTCCGACAAGAGCGATAAACGGCAATGACAACAAGGAGATTCATCGGGAACAACAGCAACGACTATACCCGACAACAACAACTCCTTGCAGCATCAAAGACGCTATCGGGTTTGCTCACGACATAATGTCGTTGACGGCGGTCACTGATTGGCTCGCCAGGAGCTCCAAGCACTGGAAAGCTAACCGGACCATCTCGGGCATATCTTCTCGGAGGGCGAGCGCCACACATCCCACTTCCTTTGCAACCCTGAAAAAAGAAGAAGAGAAAAAGAGATTGGTTCCGCAGGTGTTAGGACCCCTTCCACCATCTTGTACTTCACGCGAACAGTTGTTCAACCAATTTAATAGAGCGCGAAGAAGATTCGAGCAGAACCAAACGGAAATCTGGTTCAAGACCATTGGTCAGAACCCGTCCGTTGATCGAAAGGGAGCTCGATGGAACAAGGAGATGAAATTAAGTTGAAAAGGACGACAACGACAAGACCGTGCTCCTGGAGCTCCATCCTATCCGCAACCTCTATTGCTGAAACTCCTAAAATGTTGGTTCATTGGCAAACGCCAATAGATGGTACCGCAACCGTAGACCCATGGAAACGTTGAGGTGCTCCACACCCAAGATATTGCCATGACTTCGGTCGGGGGGAAGTGTCGGGGTAGAAAACACGATTGACGCCTTGCCCTAAATACAACGCGATTGACTCGGTGGAATGACCCTACGAAACCGTAGCACGCCCATCGTCGGGTTGCCGCCGGGCATGCCCACCACTCCACACAACCGGATGTGAATAGTAAGGGTTCTCCATTTATCGATTGCTTGAATCGAATCCGTGTCTTCGAGACCCCACGATACTCGTTTCAGGGCATAGATTTGCCAGGAGCTATCGTCTGGGAGAAACACCTCGCACTGATGATGCACTGAATGACATGGGGTCTCCTGGGTACCGTGCGCGCTCGTGGTCCTCATTCAAACGAAAGGACGGGTGTTTTTCTTTGCATATAACAAATAGGCCAGATTCACAGGGGAAACAACTTTCCCGGCACAACACAACGCGCACGCGACCTACCATGGTTCGGGTGTTGGCCTAGCCGCCATCCCTCCTCCTGTTTGCTCCCGAATGGCGCTTTCGATGCGCGGCAGTAAATGTTCAGCGTTATCAGTGGTTGAGGGTCCGACACTCGTACCATCATCACCGCCTTTGTTGGGCAGAAGCCGCGCTTGTTGTTCTTGCTGTTGCTGTTGCTGCTGCTGCTGCTGATGATGATGATCATGATGATCATGATCTTGTTGATGTTGTCCTTGTTGGTGGTGTTTGTAATGATGATTCGGTGACTGCGAGGGCCGTGGCTGGCTCACGCACGCCTGTCTGGCATGGTATTCTTTGAGCCTCGTCTGGAGCAGGCGAGCTGCACGCTCTCTGGTAGGCCTCACGAGACAAGTCAGCTGCAAGATGGCTGCTCTTCTGTCCTCCTCGCCCATCGTGTCTGAGAAGTGCTGCGGGAATTGTGACAGCCGTGTACAGCGCATGCAAAATCCAGCGAGTGTTTGGGGGTCGCTATTCGTCGTGCGCAGCGGTTTCCGCCGTGACAGCCGCCGTATACCTACATGGTTTGCTGGTCCGTGGCAACCTTTCCAACTCTACAATGAGACGACAGCTAGTGGCAGAGTCATGTAATAACGTGTACACACAACAGGAAAAAATAAACGCCTTACAAATGAAAGAAAAATTCATCAATGCGTCGTACCAAATCTGAACAACGTCACCTCTCCGTTATGCCGAATGAGATGGAGGAGGGCTCGGGTGCACGAATACTGAACGTCGAAATCCCTGACCCTCAGCATGTCAAGAATTAAAGGCAGCCCTCTTTCCGAGAGAATGCTGGCGGCCGAGGTCTGAAGGAGACAGAAAGGCGGGCAAGTCGCGCGAAAAGGTGCAAAATCGTGCCTCTTCGCTGCTATTGGAGAGGACATGTTGACGATCGAGATCTCCGGGAGTGCTTCATGTGCAGGACGGATACATGAGCAGGGAGTGAGGGAGAACGAAAGTAACAAAAGCCGTGGTAATGTGTACCTAACAGCAATACTACTCCCAAGCTTCCCCTCGGGTGTTGAACACGTGCGGTCATGCGAAACATAGGAAAACAGCATATCCTCGTTGGGTGCATTTGGGTAAGCAAGGCCTCTTGTTGCAGCTTGAAGACTGCCGACGATAGGAGCTTGTGGCCATCTCATACTTTCAGAGTCAAGCCGTCTTCCTCCTACCTTGTGCATAGCGCACACCGCAAGACCCTCCGCGGCCTCCCTAAGTTGTCTGTCGTGAATGGGCCTCATGAGACCTCGCCCTACAGTGTTGGAGCTGCCTCCCATCAGAAACAAGTTCCGAAGCACCTGACAACATCGAAATGAACCACACCAAAATGAAAAAAAAAAAAAAGTGTTCTGGCTCAAAGGAAACGCCAAATGACCGGACGGTGGTGACCCTTGCCTGCTGGTATGCGATCATGACATAACAGCCGTGGAAGTTGTCATGACGTGCGGCAAGAAATTACCCTTTGGAAGGATAAACGGGTGTACCGACCTCAATTGAACTGGGAGCACTTTCGTTCATATCGAATACAACACTTACCTCCATGCTGGAGCGAGCGATGGCAAGGTGGATCGAAAGAGCGTCGCTCCCGAAGTTCTTCAGGGCCAGTTCTGCTTGGATTCGTTCGTCCGGGTCCCTCGATCTTCGGGTGGAAAGTCCGAAGCAACGAAAGGATCAGAATACATCCATTCGATGAACATGGGCTTGCACAATGGTTGTACAACAAACAAGTATTGGATGCAGCAAACAAATACTCGATGCAGCAGGATGGTGCACGCAAGGCGTGAAACAACGTCCAGATGTAACGAAGCTAGAGTACACATCTTCTTTGTAACTTGAAGTATATAGAAACAATTATATCATGGCAACTAAATATCATGGTAACACCAGGTGAACGTGCAGATATGCCCTCTCCCTTGCCTTTGAAACTGAAGAAGGAGAAGGAGTCCGCCCCCTTGCTTGAGCGCTTCTCTTTGACCCGGGCTGATGCTTAGCTCCGCCAAAAGACCTGTAACGTTTATGCGCTTAGCGTTGACACCTTCAACATGTGGTGCTGAAGCCAAGGCGGGGAGTGTGGATTTGACTAGCCTTTTCCGACTGAACGAGCAACGAAGTGCCTTTGGGCCCCGTTCCCCTGTCACCGTCTTTCACCGATCACGAATGCACAATCCGTCCCGGCAATAGAGCTTCAGCGCGAAACGGGATCCGCTTCCGCAACGATTCAACCGCAGGTGCTTGTCGGAAACTATACCATACACAAAGTCAACACCGACATTCATAGATTAACCCTCTTTGTTCGTGTTCCTCTGTATTTGACGGAGCTCCCTCGGACTCGAATTTCTGTGTGTTGGAATAGCCACCATACAACTAACGCGATCGTCTGCACTAGTGTTCTCGCAGTTCTTGAATGCTAATGGCGTTTTACCTGCGACGGCTCTCCTAGCCCTGGCAGAGTAGTTCTCGGGGGCCTGCAGAAGAACCGGCACGCCTCCATGGCAGACGATTGCTTCCCTACAGAGATTGTTGGCGCTCGCCAAGTCTTGCAGCACGCAGAGGGCCACCTGCAGCAAACAGCGGTAGAAGACCAAGACAAGGCCTTTAGCCAATGGCCTACCGTGACGGGAATGACATAGCGGTCCATGGCGCTAAACGTTGAATTCAGTACAACAGATGCTCGTCAGTGTACTGCACAAGCCTTTTTTCTGGGGGTAAGTTCCCAACATCCGTCCACACACCCGTCGACTCTATGTCTGTGCATCGGCACAGCTCAAGATACCGTAAACTACGGAATTTTCCCTCCCTAGTACAGATTCCCCCCCCCCCATTACCTTTTCGGCCTGGAAGCATGGTTTCGTTGATTTAGCCCCGGGGTAGATCGTTTTCGACCAAAAACAAAAAGATCCTCAAGGGAATTTCAATTTCCCCCCGGGGTACCAGTTTCCCACGAGTTCCTCGCGGGGGGGATGTATTTCCCTTATTTTCTGAGTCGATTTTGTTGCATCCCGGAGCACAAAAAGCATGATATGGGACGAAAACTCATTTGCAGATCCACGCTTTGAGCGAAATTTAGGTGCACCGTTTGTCACTTGGCCGTCGCCGTTGTCTTATGGGTGCAATGCTTTCGTTTTCTTGTCTATTTCTTGCATTTGTCATCCCTGGAGTCAGCTGAAACGTACCATTTGTAGCATGCTGACGAAACCTTGCGCACAAGGGAAAAAAAATAATCGTGTTCATTTTTGGATCTCACAACTCAAGGTAGAACCGAACCATAAGAATAGCGTATTCCTGCGGACAAACTGCGAATTCTTGTGCATGAGCTTAGGCAATGGTACCTCTTGCTGTATTTTTTCTCTTCGCCTTCGTTGCTCTCACGTTACTCCTCCCTCTGCTTGTTGAAACCTTGCTCGTAAACCTTATCCATCTCAGTTTCCCCACTCTCTGTGTGTGTGGTATGTGGACCATCATTATTTTGCCCACCCCCCCGGGGGGGGGGCTTCCCCCTGGGGTAGCGTTGGAAAAAAAAAAGTAACCCCCCGCCGGTACGTCAATTTCCCCGTGGGGGGGTTGGTTTCAGAAATATAACGATCCCCGGGGGGAAACTCCGTAGTTTACGGTAGTCAAGGCGTCATTTCGACCAGTCCCCCCCTCACCAACGCTTACGGGACACGAGCAGTTTACCACGGCACACCCAAGAAACATCTAACCTTCCCGGCCAGGACATCTGTCCTTGCAGTCGATGCTGGGTTGAGTTGGACAACCGCAAAAAGAAACGCTACATTGTAGTAGTACCTCTTGCTCCATCGAAGCTGCGCCTCGTTCCGTGTTGCACCCGCCCGAGCGCACCATGGCCAGCAGAGGAGGGATGCACCCGTCTTCTGATCGCTGACGCACGTCAAAATCGCCGTCCATGTCTAACGATGCCTGGGGGTACGAAATAACGTGCAAATGTGAGTGTCATCTCGCCGACGTCCCAAAACCAAGAAGAGACAACTGAAAAATGGACAACCTATATCAAGATGCCTCGATATCCATTTCTGGTCTAAACCAGCACCACATGGTGACGTCCAAATCAGTCCAACATCGCGCGGTAAACCAAAAACGGTCTCAAGTCTCTGCATCATGCCAAAGGCCTTTGCGTATGAAACGACAGCGTCCTTCTCCTTACGTGAGGCCAAAACCTTAATACCTCTGAGTCCCATTCCGAGGAGGACTGCCGAGTGAATGATCTCCGAGTGCCGGGCTTCCCGTCAGGAGTGTTTGCAGCCGAAGGAGCACCACCGCCACCGGCTGCGGGTGTTGGGACGTGGGGTGCAAAATCATCACGTGGGGGGCAGAAAGCAAGTCATTGGCCTTCGGTGAGATCCCGGGTAGCCTATTCTGTCAGGAGAAGATACAGCAGGTGCGCCACTTTCAAACAACGAACACCCGGACAAGAAGGAGTGGGAATGGGAAGAGCGAACAGGAAGAGCGGGAACAGGAAGCCTTCGCAACGAAGCGAGTGCTCAACAATATCTGCAAGTCAGAGTGGTGATAGTAGAACCAAAGGAAGCCGATGCTGACCACTCACGGGTTAAAAGACGCTGAACGAATGCAACTATTCAAACCATTTCCAACGAAGACGGCAACGGTATGGCGCAAGCTACCCTTGACATCTGTAGCTGCCGCATCGGTGGAGTAGCAAATCGTGAAACCTCACGCACTCTAGGGCCCGTCTAGCGTTGGTTCGCTCACACATAGATAGACACCACAATCGAAGTCTCTAGCGTCAAAGCCTGTTCTGCCTCACCACCTACGGCGGAAATGTTGGGTGTTCCCGCCTCCGGAAAGACGATAGATTTGCTGTAGAAAGCGTCCTTTGCAAGCACGCCCACAAGATTTGCCGCGGCCAGTCTAATGCCGGTGTCGACGCTGCTTAGGCAGGCGATCACCTGCCGAGACCTGCTCGTGCAGGGGTCAGTATCCAAGTGGTTGTGCAGGCGGAAGGCGACACTTTTGGAGTCGGCCAAGCGTACACCGAATTGTCAAATATGGAATTTTCTGGGTGGATACGCTTGACACCGGGGCGGGGGGTACGGCGCACAGAGGCTGAGCACTGGTGTTGTGGCGCAGACCTTCATGGAGAGGAGGGTAATCCAAGCAAGTGCAGCTGGGAAGATGCTTACTTGGAACCCCTCGCGAGACCCACAACGCCCCCGAGATCGTTTCTCGACGCCATTCTGTGCAGCAGCGTCAGGCAGGCGTGCTTGACCCACAGACTTGACCTCTCGAGAAAGCTCGCGACCGCCGGAACAACCCCCTCGAGCTCGCTCGCGTTCACCCTTCTCCGCGAAGAGATGGACAGAATCTGAACGCCCAGAGTGGGGTGGCAGACGGGGGCTGGATTGATTTCGGAGCTGTATCCAACGGCCTCCAACGGCCCAGAGTTTCTCGTAGTTCTGATCGAGACCCACGGAACATGAGCAAAGACTGCATGTGAAACCAAGCGCTCTATCTCCTGCCCGAGACGCCAAAACGGTGACGCTCGTACCTAGACATGGATTGGAGGTTTTGACAAAGGCTGCAACACCTCGAACGATAGGATAAGGCGATTGAAGCAAACCCAGCTGCACTGAGCGCGGGCGTAAGGAAATCTACCGCAACCTACCTTGCCGATCGCTTGCAAGGATACGTGGAGCACTCCATCCCCCGGCCCACACCGCAGGAGGCGACAGCACAAGCGAAGGATGTCGTCCAACCGCCCGGCTGCCCCAGCTGGTGGTCTGGAGGTGTCGTCGCCCCGACCCTCTTTGGAGAAAAAACGGAAGCGTCGGCAGTATGGTCAGCATGGCCCATGAATGACTGTCACGCTAGTGCTTGACGTCAAGGCTGTTGGGGAAGTAGAGCACGGCGAACTTTGAGATTGCGCGCCTCGACTCGAGGTGAGCTGGACCTCAAACAAGAAATAGCGTTATTGGTGTTCCCCGTGCCAGTACATAGAACATTGGCGGTCAAGCACATCATGTGCAGAGTGATCGGCGCGAGAGCCCTAACAATCTCTTAACCATCGTTTCTGTTTTGCGAACAAGTGCAGCTGAAGAAGCGATCAAAGACGGGTGCTGGAAGTTGCACGATCCATATTCAGCGTAAACAAGATCGTTGGAAATGGTTCTCGGGGAACCCAGATATTCAACCACAGGGTTGGCTAATGAACTTTCTAAACTGCGAAACTGAAAGCAAAGAAAAACAAAGAAACGGGTCGTTACCAGCGCCGCCAGCGGAGTCCCCGGCCGCCTCCACCCCGAGCCGTGACTGCCGTTCACGTCCACGAAAGCTTCCCCAACGGTTCTTGCCCACGGTTCGGGACTGCTGCCGTCGTGGGTTTTCTGAACCATCTCCAAGGCGTGAATCTTCAGCTGTAGTGCACTCCTCTTTGACGCTTAGCAACGACAAAATTGCTCGAAAAAGCATTTGGACGACCTGTGAATACCAATAGTGGGGCGTACAAGCGAGTGGGCTTTATTGTGTACTTGTTTTGCGGGGGGAGCACTCCGAAAGCGGCCAAATCGAGTTCTATCGAGGCGACTGACTTTGCCATTCATTGGCTCTACTTCGTGAGTAGCCCAAAAGGAAACGCGTTACACCAAAAAAAAAGGAAGATGAAATCAACGAAAACCTCGTCGGTGACGTCTAGCTGTGTGGTCTGCGCGCAACTCATTTTTCTCTTGGTGAGAATGAGGAAATTTAACGGCGGAAGCACCACAAACAAGCGCATCTACGCCAAGGCACATATCATTAGCTGGCGGAATTTTAAGTATCGAAAGGAGAGAGCGAAAGCATGCACGATCGCGTGAACTTAGAAGGGACACAAGGAGGACGGACAGTCCAGGCCGGGAACCGTTTCTTCTTCTTACGCTAGTGGCGTCAGCACTGAAGAGATACTCCAAAACACGTGAGAATCGTGGTGTGCAACGAAGTGCTTGGTGCTTTCGGGACGTCATATTGGGAGACACAAGTGACGGCGGAGCAATTAAACAGCGTGGTTCAGACGGATCCTTGGGGTCACTGGTAGACGAAACGCCGACCAACATATGGTAGGAGCTCACGTTGCGTATAGGTCAGAGAAATCGAGTAGTTCATGTTGATCCCTAGAAAGGCGCCTCGACAACCCAACAATGCGCAGATTGGTCGCTCCTGTGGGTGTCGCTTTGATACCTGCTCTTCCTCCGGCAGCAGGAAGGCCTCAATCCCGCCCCGAGTCTCCGCACCTCCCCCAACGCCGAGCCCAGACATCCCGGACAGCGCCGAAATGGCTCCGGCGCTGTCAAAACTGCGCTCCTGTCTGAACAATGCCGGTTGTTCCCTACCATGCCGACGATCATCGCCACCGACACCAGCAGCAGTCATGCCACCATCAAAACCACAACCACCGCCACCACCGCCAATTTCGTCCCCGCGACACTTGCCCACGTCCGGGTTGATTGAGAGACCCAGGCCTCGCTTTGGAGAAGACTTCGTGTCCGGTTTCTCCGGCGGGTCGGTCAAAGATTCCCTCTGAGGTCGAGCTCGCGGCGATTTTTCTTCGGCGCTGTTGTTGCTATTGCGCTGCGTCGCCAGGGGCGAAAGCGCTGATGGTTCGGTTGTGGCAACAGTTTCAGTGTCCGGGCGGTTCTGGAAAGATGCGAGCTCGGCCTTGTTGACGAGAACGGCCATGTGGTCGACGCACAGCTCCATTAGGGCTTTCTGTTTGTTGGCAGAAGGGTGACACAACCGGACAACGTGGCAATGTCGGGGTAAGGACAATCGACAACCATCCAACAACGGCGCTTTTCTGAAGCAACTTCAGCTTTAACTGAAGCACACGGTGGAAAATTCCATGGCGTAATATGGCAAGTAGTATCGATGAGCCAACGATACGCACAATTGACAGACTTGGTCAAGGAAAGCTACACTATCTCCATGGCCTTTTCTTGACCTATGGCCAAAGGCGTGGCACACAAGACTGCTCACCATTGCGTTTCTAGCGTTCGTGCGATTTCCATCGAGGGCGAGCCAATTCCGGCGAACGGCATCAGAAACGGAGCCCGCCAGCCCTATGCAGAAATACTCCAGGCGTCGTTGTGCCGACAAGACCGGCGCCGCCAGTGACGCCGATAGTACCCTTCTCCATTTGTCTTTTGACTCGTCGGTTGGACTGGAACACAAAGCAAGGTATGGTACGGAAGGGGGGATCGTTGTCATTGTGTACGGCCGGTGATCACCTGGTCAAAGCAAGTTGGGGTCCGCTTATCGGCGATTGCTATGGTAGATCGCGTAAAGCAGGCCATATACATTTGTCGATTAAGTGCTTCCTCTGTCTCCCGTACCCTCCTTGGGTGCGCTTGGCTGATTGAGTCTAAAGATATGGTATATTTTCTTAGTCGATTCTGCTCCCGTGCGTGTCGCAGGCAAGTCAGGCACAATCAGCCCAGGTCTGAGCCTGTCCGTGGAGATTCCGAAGAGTGCCCTACGTTCTTGGAAACAATATTGAACACTGCACTCGGTTTTTGTCCCACCGGGCTCCATGATATCAACGGCAGGGGCGAAGGGTCGTGGGGCTAAGATTGAAAACAGATTCAAGTTCACCCAACGGGGGTATTGTTCAACTGTAGCATTTACCTGGTTTCGTCTGTGCACCGCACATCTCAGAAACAGGGGAAGAAAAGAAAGTGAAATCATCACAAACAAGACCTTTCCCTTCTCCCCCTCGTCCCACTTCCCCGATTCTCACCTTGCCAACACGATGATCCCAGAAAGGAGGACCTGTTGGCTTAGGATGCCGCTTACGGTGTATGCCCTGCCGGACGTCATCAAAAGTGACTGGCGTCTGAATTCGGCAGACGTCCGCCTCCCAACGTCCAGCACCTGGCGATGTCACGCACGTAGCAACCCACGGTGTGGGGATTTCGAGAGTCCATCGCTCGAACGCGATTCTAGTGTGGTTTCATGCTACCCACCTCAGGCTGGCCGACTGAAGGGTGGTCGAGGTTCATTGGGTGCTGCAACAAAATACGTACTTCCAGCCTTGTCAGTGTCCGTTTCGTTTCTTTCTTCGACCCTGCAGTACCGACCGATACTAGAATCGTTCTGTAGTCTTGGATGCCGATCTCAGGTACATGGTTGTTCGGATTCGATGAAAAAACGCCTTGTCTCAAAGCGGGGGGGAGCTTTCTTCGCTGCTGGAAGAATACCATCCTCGGAGAGGTAATACGCTTCAACTTTCGTCCCGTGTGGGTACACCATTTTCACAAGTCGTGCTAAGGCGTCAACAACAGGCCACCCTTTCCCGGCGCGGTTCCTAACATTGCCTGATCTCGCTACGCCCGCGCGTGAAAGAACTACGCTAGTGTGAGAACGTGGACTCCTTCAGATAATCTGCGACTCGGTCTGCTCACCGATAGAGGAGCCGATGCACCAGAAGACCTGCGGCGCTTGCTTTTGGCGCCTTCATCGAAAGAGAGGCCCTTGCCACCGCCAGGCTGTTGGCTGTCCTGCTCGCCTATTTTGTCACTGCCCCAGCTACCATCACCACGAGTAGAGGAGCTTTGGGCAGGCTCGAAGGCGTCCTCGTCCGCTCCAGCCACCAACCGGTCCAGCACCCTCACGGCCAGAGCTTGCTCCAGCTAGGAGTGGTTCATTTCACGCGCGCAGGTCGAGAGAAGCTTCGTCACGGTGATGAGAGAAGCCACAATAAGTCAATCTCCCGGTTGCCCTGCCGTCGTTGACGTGGGCCGTGAATACTGCACGAGGAGCTGCTGATATCTAGACAAGCTAAAACGCCGACCAACTCGGGGATTAGGCACGCCGGCATCTTCGTTAGTATTGAGTGTTTGCCGAGAGCCGTGCAGCACTTTCGCCAGAGTTCACGCCGCCATGATGGGCTATCTGGCGCATGGGCCACATCCATTCTGGTCATGGGTCTCGCCCGTTGGTTGCAGCTAGCCACAAGTAACCCTCTGACGTTTTGACAAGTTCGACACCATACGATGTGACAGCAGCTTGCGTTGTGTTTATCTCCTGTGAATCAGTGCAACCGGGTCCCGGGTGTGTTCCAAACAATCGGTGGTGTTTGGAATGAATCCAGCGATACCGATGTACAGGATATCCCCAACCAACTGTAAGCGGCGGTTTGTCGTTTCTCGGCACCTTTTTCTGCACGATACGGCTCGACCAAGAAGCGGTTTCGGCGTCCGACTGCCGCCGCCTTTCAGCCTTCGGCTCCACCGTGGGATCTTAGAATGCAAGACCGAACGAATATCAGCGTTTCAGAGATGCAGTCGGAGAAAAGAAAGGACGTCGAAGGAAGCCGAGCTGTTGTAGTAGCAGATAAACTGTCTGTTGGCTCCCCATTTTCAGACCCATCTTGGGCTCAAATGGACGTCACCACATGGTGGGTAGGGATCACTACGTTAGGGATCGCTACTTTCTGTTATCATCTGGAGGGGTGGGTGAGGGGGAAGGGGAGGCAAGTCGTGGGTCTTCGAAAAAACGTTTGGCTTGCTTGTGACGCGACTAAACTACAACCGTACAGCACCAAAAGTGCATAATACATCACTCTACCACAACAGTGCTGTGCAACATGCATATCCGCTCACCACCGGCACCTTCGCCTGATACGTCAATACCGTCTCCTTCTTGAACCACGGCATCTTCTCCGAAGTTGCCCTCGGTGTCGTCTCCTTCACTCTCAGGAGCGTCGGTCTCGGAATCCAACACTGTAGACGTAATTAGGCTCCATAGATGTCGCATCACCTGGGCATGTTGGCTGGAGTCGGGAAAAAAGCGCGCGAGGCACAGGGTAGTATCCGTCAACGGCATCCGCTGTTGACGTGATCTTTGGTGTCAAAGAATCCGTCGACCGGAAGCCCTCCCACCGGGCAGCCGAACTGTTCCAAGGTTCGGCGGATGGAACGGTCCCAGCTCATCAACGTCAGCAAGGTAGTGTTTATTCCGTTCAAAACCCATTGGTCGTACGCCGAACGAGATGCTGAAGCGCGTGGTAGGACCGATAACACCGCTTTACCTGTACGCCTTTACTGGAGTGTCGAGGAGGGCCGTGAGGCACGTCTCCCTAGGGACCAGCTGCTCGAGGCTCAGCTCAAGAAACGGCCCAAGCACTCCGGAAGGAGCGAACAGCTTGAGGACGGACGAGTGCATGGCGAGGGCGCTCAGACACGCCGCAACTTCGGCGAAGACGTTGATCTGGTGCGGAACTTCTCCCTGGCATATCTGCAGCTCTTTCCGTTCAACCATCTGGCCGCGTTTGACGCGCCGTTGGAGAATTCACGGAAGAACAGGGACGCGGGGATTTTATGATGGATGTGTCAGGTCTTGCGACTCATGTTTCCTCACGAAGGACGGAACGAGCGACAGCTTTTTGGGACGTATTTTGATGGCGCACGTACCTGAAGCGATATTGTACGCGCACCTGAGTTATTTGGCATCCACCTGTAATTCTTGGTGTATTGTACTAACTTCCAACTGGCTTGACCTCCGCGTTTTCCCACGTGTCTTGTTTGATGTGAGGTCAAAATTACCATGCTCAGGTTGTTCGTTTCGACGCCCTCATACAGAGTCGGTGTTGTTAATAAATGGTTGAGTTGTTGTTGTCATTGTGTTTGTCGTTGATACTTCCTTCATTCTCTCGAAGACAATTGTCTAACCAGAGGCAGCAACGAAGGGCTCACCAGGGGCGTTAGTTTCTTGGACAATTCGAAGCACTCGTTATTTCCGGCGGGAACCTCGTAGTGAACCGTCAAGGAGCCATCCTCGTGCACCACAGGATCCTTGACCACGGGTCGCCACAGGTTTTCCTACAAATTCAAGCAAACATGATCGAAAACAGCGACACGTATCTGCACTTGCCCATGTTTCCTTTTGGAAAACCGCTTGTGGCGTAGCACCAATCTGGAGTGACGGAAAAATGTTTTCCAGAAAACGGTGTCTCTCCTCTTCCATAATTCTCGACACGCGTTCTGCACAGTACGAGTTCTACATGTATCCTACGCTTTGTTATCCTGACACTGCTACCTCTCGAACCTGGAAGTTGTAGCCGCCCCCTACGGAGAAAATCACCCCTCTTTGAAAGAAGTTTCAAGGAAAGCGCCCCAGGGCGTTCCCTCCAAATAAGAAGTAAAGCGGCGTGTACCTGGATGACGAGGTATGCCTTCCGGAAGTCGGGGTCAATCTTGTACCTCGCTGGGATGCAATTCATCTGAGCTCGACCGTAGGCCGAGCTGGTAGAAGGCTGGGTGCTGGCGCTGGTGTTGCCTACAATGTCGTTGTTGTCCGAGATGTAGGCGTAAAGTGCCTTTATGGCAGCGAGAGCCCCCGCGGGCTCAACCAACTCTGCGTTTTGAGGCGCCTATTTTCACGGCAGTATTCATTGTTTTGTGCGCGGGATATCGAACAAATCAATGGGACGACCAACATGCAGCGCCTCAGCTTGTGAGTGAGCAGCGAAGGAGCAAGTTCGAGGATAGTCAATTGGTCAATGCCAAGTGCTTGAAGCTCTGGACGTGATAGTTCGTGCACCTCACCAAGGTTAGCATGGTGATTTAGTGGGTGATGGTTCCCTTGCCATCGAGTGCGCAGCGAAAAATTACGCTAAAAAGAACAGCTTTCCCCCAAAGGACGAGGCAAAAAGGCCGGCAACATACATTTCTTGTCGCCCACTGAGGTCGTCTTGGCGAATTATCGTTTGGTTTCGGGCCCCAAAACCTCAATGATTGGTTGGTCCGCGCGTTACAAGACAGGTTGGCCCGCGAAACAAGACAACAGAAGTACAAGTTCACAGGGTGCTGGCAAAGATTTTGAAACTGACAGACATTGCTTGGCCCGTATCCTTGGAAACAAACGCCCGTCGCATCAACGATTTCACCGTAAGGTTCTTGCGTTCCACTGTGTAGGATCTACACAGGAAAAACATTACATCTACCATCCACAGCGATGAGACCCGCTACTTCGGCCCACCCTACTGAATGTGCCTGGGTTCAGGTGGAGTGTTCACGATGCATGTCTTGTTTTGTTCATAAATATCATCTTGTTATTCTGTAGTACCTGGCACAGGTTGGCCAAAGCTTTGGCCGCGAGCTTGAGGTTGATGAAAGATTGCTTTGAAGCTGGTTTGCCTCCGCTAGCGCCGCCGGCCTTGGCAGCTTCTACCAACCCCGTCGGCCCCATCAAGATAGACGTCAGCACCTGGACGAAGGCGAGAAAATACCAAAGTAGGGATGGAGATTCGCGATATAGCCATTGTATTTGCAGTCGTTTTCCAAGATCGCAAGCACAGTGCCGACCAATCTCTGCCACCGAACAGCCATGAGCGCTTGTTGCCGAGAGCGCAAAACCGGCCGGCGTATGCGTGCCGTAGCAGTATTTGGTGCTTGTGCTCTGACAACAGTTTTATATGCCGGTGGTTTTCGTGCCCCCGTCGTCTCAAAACCAGAACAATCGAACAGCCTGCGAAGCACAACAAAAATTGAAAGGAGGCCAATAACCACGGCAGACCTTTCTGCCGAGAGCTCACCCACAATGACAAAAGGTGTTTCACCGGCTTGCTCACCAAAACCCCGACCAAAAATCACGTACACGCTCGGGGTCGGCGTACGAATATTTACCGTAAGTCCGCCGTGACTGGCCACGTGTACCCTGTCGTCTGATCGCCCCGTGTAGTGCGCCAAGATCCAGAGGGCAAAGGTGCGCACGGTATCCGCCCTCATTTGCTCGGAGGCGTCGACGGCGCGCTCCTGTCCACCGAAGCTGCGTCCAGAGTGCTCACTCGCCACGGCAGTATCGTATCCGTGACCGCCCTCGCCTCCGGAACCATCGCTTGCATACCTCTCGCTAGGCGTTGCAATACACTGAATTGGGGGGTGCGCGTAGGGAAAATAACGAAGCCCTCATGGCGTTCTGCACTGCAGACCCGAGTGGAATCTACGGCTGGCCCTTGATATTCCTTTTACGCCTGCTCTCTAATGTCTACGCGTTGTATGTTTCCCTAGGGATCGGAAGCCGGGAACTGGCGCTCTTTGCTTTACGCAAAGCTTGGCTCCAAACGATGTTGTTCGAACAAGCAGCGTGTTGGTCCCTTGACTGGAGGACAGACGCGTTGTGACCGACCCCGCTTTGCCTGTGAAACGTTCCCTTGCCGCCTTTCCGGGAATGGGGCCTTCCACAAGCCCCAACAACGAGTGCGGTGTTGGAAGCCATCGATCCGACTCACGCTAGGTTTCGTTCGCGAATAGCATACTACTGCGATCCGCAATGGTGAGACATTTGACGTGCCACTACTCCCTGGAGCAGATTGACCCCTTCGTGTCTCTTTGCCAGGTTTGATTTACCGAAAGTTCTATTTGATACCGCTGTTAGATTATGCGGAATAACTTGAAAGATTGCCATATTTTCAGACGAGTTGGCAAGTTGTGCTCATGCGGTCGAAACTGCCGTTTCACCCGCCAAACCAGCCGGTCGTTTTCCGTTCATTCCCCTCTTACCTGGAGCAGATCGACGACCTCATGGTGCTTCAGGCAAGTTCGTGGAACATTCTCATAAAGAACCCCCGCAGAGGCTCCGAGCAAATCGAGTTCGCCTGCTTGAAGGTGTTGTGAAAAATTGCTGTAGGCGATCGTCGAAACGTGGCTTTATGCGAACAATCAAATGATATATTCCATTGATGGAAGTACGTGGCATTGCGGTCGCCTGCATGGGCCTCCACTCAATACGGGGAGTAGGATGTTGACGCGAATGAACCACCACCAACAACAACAACAAAACATCACCAACATCATCAACAACACCACCAACATCAACAACAACAAGCTACATCGACTCACTTATATAGGCGGCTAACCGATCCACAGAAGTGCCGTGGCAGAGATCCAAACGGATCATGCACCACAGAAATCTCGCAATCTGCGACATCCAGTGTGTAAGAACGCGGATGGTATCAAACGGCCATTTCATTATGCCAGTGAGATGAGGCAGTAAAACTGAATAACCATGAACAGGGAACAAATGTTCATCATCGAACCTGCAACAACTCGGTGAACTCATGGTTGGACACCCACGGCGTGTTCTCGAACTGTGAAACAAATAGTGAGAGGTAGAGAGCGGAATGGGCCGAAGGGGTCGATTGTTGGAACATTCGTTTCCAAGTAAACACGGCCTCCCCATTACCTTCATGTTGCTACTACGACATGTTAAAATGGCCCTCCTTCCTCTCGCATAGCGATGCTGGCTTGTGTTTGTTTCTCCGGGGTACACAATCGAATGCAAGCGAATACCTCGAAACGTACGCCCTGAAACTTAAGCTGCCTGTCCTGCGCCTCCAGGGGGTCGAGGTTGAAGTTGCCAAGCACGTCAGATGTTTCCGTGAAATGTAACAAGAATTGCTTCAAACTCTCCCTGCGGGTAATAGTGGAGAAGCGAGGAGGCAGTAGAGGAAGGGGAAAGGGAACGGGCGAGTACAGGAAGAATTTGGTTCGAGATGGTGCCAAATACAGTAGAACCGAAAGGGGGAGACAGCCCGCAGAATTTGATGTGATTTTTTCTGTGGCTCTCTTTCGGGCATCCCTGCGAAGACGAACGCCCTCAATACCTGAGATGCCCGGCCCACTCCGTGGAGGCGCCCCCCGCCACGCAGAGGTACGCCAGGTTCGCAAACGTTCCCATGACTCTCTGGTGCATGTTCTTGGCACTACCTCTGGCCAGCAGTCCGAACAGAGTCCCGAGAAAGTTGGACACAGAAGGATCGCTCGCTATGTAGTCCGTCAAATCCGAAGCGCACCTTCAGGTTCCGATGGACAACAAACACGGAAAATGTATTGTACTCGGGCAGGAGATTTCGAGAGCAATAGACGAATGAGGCACACGCACCCTTGGGAATATCAGGTGACATGCACTTCTTGTTTGGAGTCGAACTATGCGCACAAGATTTCATGAAAGAGACACTAACATCACCAGATCGGGCGTCCCTATCTAGGATTGACTGGGGTAACCAGTTGGGTAGACCACCTCTTGCGGAATGTACACATTAACTCGTGCGCCCTTGCTCGCCCTTGTCTCATAAGCGTTTTGTATGTACGAGTTCACCCCCTACCCCAGCAGGTAGAAAAGACCCAGCTGCACAGGTTTAGAGTTGAAATGATCCAAGGCGGATAACGGTATAGCACGATTCTATTGGTATGGCCCCTTCCGCGAGATTAGGGCATACCGGCGCATCGAAGCAAGGTTTTGGATGCAGCTGACGATCCGCCGAAGCACGTCCCCCTCTTCCTCCTTCTGGCCGAGAAGGTAAAAGAGCATGTCGAATGTCTCTGGCTGCACGAGCCCGGCGGCGTTGTCTGCTCGTTTGCTCAGGTTCCAGATCACTGTTCAATGTGTTGGAGAGTAATTGTTGGGGCCATGTTCGGAAAGGAGCTTGGACCATGCATCTTGCAAAGAACAGTATTCGGGGCGTCGTCAATTGGTCCATTCATCATTTGACACAAAATACAGATGGGTCGAGGTGTCTGTCGGGTGGTATGTCGGATGTCTCACCTGTCGCCATATTGAGCCTCGCCGATGCCACGTACTTGTCTCCCTGAGCCAAGTCCTTCATACCAATGTCACACAGCCAGGCCAAGAGCACGCGAGGTATCACCTGCAGTGCGAGTTCGATTGGATGGATAGGACACGTACAGAGATTAGGGTTTCATGCTCTTGGAAAAGAGAGGACTGCAGGAATGTATCTCACAGTTGCGATGCATTCCTGAGTTAACTGTGCCCACCATTGTGCGGCAGGAACTCGCGGTGTCTTATCCGCCGGTTCTCCGAAATGTGTGCGTATTGGGGACAATACGTCAGAACCTTGCATTCACAGCGAGACTTACGTCCTGTGGAATCGGTATAGGGGATCAAGCTCTGGGCGTACGAAGTGCTTGACAATACGACATGAACACACTAAAGCGCTTGAGTGAGCATCGGCCAAGAACCTCTTGAGAACGTTGATCACCTCCTCTGCCGCCTGGTACATCTGAATCTTGTTGTCGTCATGCCAGCTCAGTTTTGCGAGGAAGCTGGCCATCACGCACTTCGTATGGGTCTGTTGCCACCGGACAGTGCAGGGGGCAAGCGGTGCGAGAGCGGGGATTGTGTAACGCACAACAATTGGCTTGCGACCGGTAGCGACTCTGTCATACACATATGCATTGTGGCATACAATCCGCATTTCTTACTGCTTCCGTGGGGATGGGATAATCTTGAAAACTCCGCAGCTTGTTGGTTGTCGTCCTTGTCGTCTCGGTCTCCGCCCTTTCTATTCCCAACCAACGAACGGTTTGATCCCTACGTACCAGTTGATACCTGCCCAGCCCAGGGCAGAGCACAGGGAGAGATACGATGCACACGTCTCCGAGGCGCCTGCCCGCCTCGCTCGTAGACGCCGTGTCTCTGGAGTCTCCAGAGGGGTACGGGCAGAGCGCACAGAGCACGCCCACGAACGACTGCAGGCACCGCTCAGTGGCCTCGCTACCCAGGGCCGTGGCGGTCTTGTTGTTCTTGTTCTTGAGTATGAGCTCAAGAGACCCCGAGAGGGTTTTGGCTAACGCGGTGCCCGTCACGTCGTAGACCTGGCGCAGGGCATGGTATGAACATCCCCCAAAGGAGCGAGCGCCAACGATGCAGTTTGAAAAGAAAAAGGCACTTTCGCGTGCGCGGATGCAGTCAAGAGTATTATCGGGGCCAAGAGCACTCGATCTGCACCGTGTGCCACCACCCATTCAACCTAGACACCAAGGTGTCACCACGTACTCGCCTGAGATGGCACCAAGAGAAACCTCGCGTAGTCGGCGAAGACGCTCAGATCATCGAGGGATACACTCGGACCGTTGATCCGGAGCCTATATAGAAGAGTTCTTACGAGGCATCTCAGCTCCATGACGCCGTGGCAACACCCCCTGGCTACCAGCTTCCAGGTCGCGGACCAGACCTGCTTGTGGTGGTTGATCTTCCGGGCGAGCTTGAGTGCCTCGATCTCCGCCAGTTTTCCCTAGGAGGGCGACAAATTAAAGTTCGACAGTAAAAAGCACACATTCGTTCAAACAGATGCCTCCGCCTTCTCACTCACTGAGTAGCATCAACGATTGGAGGAACCCCGGAGAGAACAATGTAGATAATGTTGTTACACGCTACAGCAACAACGACAACGACAACAAACGGCAGCAGCAACAACGACCCATGGATTTAACTCACGGAGCTTTCCGCAAGGGTCCTGACGAGGCCCTCCCGCAGAGACTTGAACCTTTCGTCCTTTATCCTCTCCTGAATTTTCCCCTCCCCGCACGTGGTGGGGTCGAGCCAGTCTGCCACATCCTCCGGTGCCTCGTGAAGAGCACGAAGCAAGTCCTTTCCGTTCACCCCCAGAACTCGATGCTGCATCTTCCCCGCTGTATCCTCGCTCGCAAACCATTCCGTGATCTGCCCGGTGGGAAACCCGTGAGACGAGCAATTGACGTACATTACGTGGTTGGCTCCACTGTGTCCAAGCGGCTCCCTGCACTACAGTACTCCAGAATATCTATTTCAAACACATTGTCCCGATTTGCATACATGGGTTCATGTCAACACCCAAGCGGTTTAGCTGTCGGCAGCCTGCCAGGTAGAACGAGGGATAAGTGCATAACGATGGGCACGCTGCTGGCACAGTAATTGCCAGTTGTTTCACCGAACCAGACCCGCCTGGGAAATGGCTATTCCACATCCTGCAAGTACGTATGCTCAGCCAAAAGAAGTTCCCTTGTTCCCCTATACCCACGCTCGCTGTATGCTACGATTGGCATTTGCTTATTACCTGCTCGCACGACATCCGAGTGACGTCCAACGCCGCCACCTGTCGCATCAGCTCTCCGGTCATCCCCTTCGGCAGAGGCACTGGCGATCCTTGGCGAACCTTGTTCTCCCGGTCTCTCTCGTACTCCCCTCCACCTAGCCGAAACCCACCACCACCCCTACCACGACTTGCTGCTGCTCCCCTCATGGACGAACTGGGGAGGTTTCCCCTACACTCTGATGCTGTCGCGTCGGTTCCAGCAGGAGCACTGCCCAGAACATTACCCGTTCCCCCCGTGGTGTTTTCTTGAGAAGGGCGGTGGGGGTGCGATGTCGGTCTCCTTCCGTCCAACGAGGGTCGTTGGCTGTTTAGAGGGCGGGGAGATACATCTCTCAGCCCTTGCGTAGGCGCCGTTGCGTTGGGATCCAACAGGCCATTCCGAGGATGCACGTGTGCTATCGCAGGTGCGCCGACTGTTCCCTCCGGTGGCGGTCTACTACGGATCGGTAGACCACGACTGCTATTTGGAGGTGGGCGAAACGTGTCACCCGCTGTGGAGGCCCCCGGTGGGACTGACGTCAGTGCTGCTGGTGGTGTCGGGCCTGCATAGGACAGCAGAAAATGCACCGGTGTTCACTACCACACGACCAGCAACGTGTTGACTTTTAATGATCCATTCAATGGCGGGAAAATAACTTCGGTGGAACGATCTCAGTCAACTTGAAACTACCACGGGGAGTAAGAATTCGAACACAAAAACTTGTAAGGCGACATCTGTTCATGGAAGAGGTGCGGGCACTTGTGCCGTCGATCTGGAGTCTTGATTTGCTCGCCGATGTGAGACAAGAGGCAGACAGCCTAGCAGTATAGCTGGTACATAGCACCGACAGTGATGAACGCGTCTCCGGAAGAACAGGGCTGATGCGCACGCAACAACATATATACACTGAAGTTGTATTTTCAAGGGTACGGGGCAATTCTGTCATACAGTAGTGGCACCACCCTATGGATACGCCCGATGTTCTATTGCTGAAATCGTAAAGTGTATGCATAGTCCGTTGTACGCTTTTGGTAGTCTTGCAACACGGAATCTGATGGAAAGTCCAATTTAAGCACATCCAGAGACCCACATGTACATGTACTACTGGTATTGTAGTCAATTGCTTGTAGATACACGGTGGGCCTTCTTGGAATTTGGAGCAGTTGTGCAGCATGGCAACATACACTGACGGCAGAACTGATCAGCATTACGCGCAGATTCGGAAGGACGACTCGCTCGCCTCCCCCTGGTTCATGTTTGCATACTGGCGGAAACAATTACGTTCGGGGACCTACGGTACTGCTGTACAACGAATACGCCACGAATAGCCGAATAGTGCAATGGGTGGTATCTTGTTTGAATTCGGGTCTTTTATTCTACTATAGATACAAATTTGCTCAATCGCATGCATGCGTAATCGTGAACATCACGATGAGGCAGGTGCCTATTTCTCCTCTGTGGTGGTCGCACCGGTGGGCACCTTTAAACTTTCTGCTGCAAATCGGTGTCTATCGACTACAGCAGTAGGTTTGCGAACCCCGAACACGAAAAGCGCAGTGAACCCCGGCAACACCGCAGACATTCAATGGTTGTTCCATCTCACCAGGATGGAAGTCCTCACGTTGATCGTTGGTATCATCTTGTTCGGATTGCATTGTGACACATCACGTGCTGAGTCCAACCCGATGGTCCAACCCCGTCGTTGGATAGTGGGTGCGATGTGAATCTCCGCTACACTCCGAAAGTCTAAATGCGCAGAGTGCGGCGGAATTACGTACATCTAGCCGAGTAGAGAGTAGAGCCGACCGAGTGCAGCAGCGCCGCCGTTTTCACTTTAATTGTGCCGCGTCGGACCAGGTATCCAGTATCCAGCTCGTTTGCGCATGGGCGTCTGCTGCAGGTCAGCATTGCGGGGAAGTAACCCCTAAGGCGAGGGAGGCGCTCACACCCAGGACCTGCTGCAGTGCGACAACAAGAGGATGTTGCTGTCCACCACAGGTGTGGGCAACGGCCACGAATCGGGGAACTCGGGATACGATGACGGGACCTTAGCAGTGTGGCACCCGCAGGTGAGGCCTCAGTGTACCCAGTGAACGCACAGCGTACCTGCTGTAGCCCAAGCTGTGTACCGCAAGCATAAATTGCAGTGTTTTTTTGCCAGCATGCATCTTTCGTGTAAGGGAAATATCTGAACGTGTGTGAGAGCAGCAAACGATAGGATGGCCTGGGTATCAACTTCGACGACAGCAGCAGCAGTATGACATGTAGACTTAGCCGACTTCTCCGCCCAGATTCAGACGAGATCTCCGTTGTTCGCTGTCCCCATGTTTGCTGCATAGCCTAGACATTCCCCATTGGACGCTCCTCGGAGAAAGCATCGAACCTGAACAACTCTATGTATGTCAACAGAAGATGATGTCAATACGGACAGGGCTCAATGGAAATCCAACCTACATGTACGCCCTGTGACACGCCACAACAAATTGTATCATACTGTAGGCGTTCAGCAAACACGTCGATCCGGAAACCGGGTACTGGTTCTATGAAAACCTCGCCACGGGAGAGCGGCATTGGGATCGTCCCCTGGAGGGAGTGGCGCCTCTCCGGCCGAAGTCTCCACGCCCGGACGAGAAACTTGTGGACGATGCGTGAGTCGGTTTTTGCATAGTACATATAGACCAATGGGAGGGGGGAAGGAGCGCAAGCACTGATGCTGCAAGTCTCGAGCTCCGTCCGTCGAAAAGTGGAGATTTTTGAGAGCGTGGTGTTTTGAAGGGCGTTAACTGGTAACCATGAACTTATTCCCGAATTCACCCTGAGCTTCACCGAGAAGAGCTTCAACAATCTGCTATTTCGCTTCCCTCTCATGCGCCCGTCCCACAATTCAAACCCTTGCTGGCCGACCATTAGACGACACAAGCGGCAACGATCGGAGCGGGAGAGCCGTCGAAAGGACATGGCGATTCGACGGGTGCAGTTTGACAAGCTTCTTCTGGAGGAGGGGAAGAGCGCCGAAATTAAGGAAGCGGAAAGAGTGCAAGGTCTATGGGATGAGGCCGAGCAGCACGCCGCCAGGAAAGAGGGCGATTTCTCGCTGGCTTGGAAGCAAGTCCCGAGCGTTTCGGAGAGCCATATATTCGGGTTTCCCGAAAGGAACGGGGGTACGAAGGTGAGAGGGGTGGGGGGAGTAGTTCCGGCGGTCATGTGGGAGTGAGTGCCCGTGTGCACATATTTCGGCACGGCATGACACACCTTGTGTCGTCATTGTCCTCGTTGAGCTAAGATTCGCATGTTAGGAAGATCATTTTTGCGACTTTGTGCATAAGACCACGGAAGAAGTGTGGGATGAAAAGGGATACACCTGAAATGCATGCACGTTTAGGTAATTGGTTTGCTGTATCCCCTACCTAGCGGTTGATATAGCCCGGGTAGCCCAATTCGATTGCGCCACCTATGTCCGTTGCTCTTTTGCTTTGGGTCATCGCGTCTGATAACATCGTGTCGAGTTCCAGACAATCACCATCAATTATCTACTTCAATACATATGCATATTCGCCCCTACATTTTCACGCCTACGCGCGTGTCTCTAGATTGTCAATCTCCGGCTGGTGGGTCTCGGGCTGACGGAGGTTCCAGGGGCCATCGGCCAGAACCTCTTGTCGTTGAAATCTCTTTCTCTGTCCAGCAATGCTCTCGAGGAGATCCCCGATGGGCTGTGCGATCTGACGGCATTGACCGAGCTTAACTTGGTTAGAAACAAACTCAGCGACTTACCGAACAGGTGAGAAAAGTGTACAGGTCTACGTCGGTTGCAGGGCCGCCGTCTTCCAGTTGAACATAGGAGTAGAAAGCATTTCACCCATTCCGCTTCTTTTTCGAGATTCAAAGCAGAATAAATGTCATGTGCTGGGAAAGGTGGGATGAGTGTTTGCTCACGTAGCTTGGTTAGTTTCTTGATGTACAACGCCGTTGACCCGGTTTAAATACCGGGGACTGCTTCATCAAGCTACTTTCAAATGAAAATGATTCGCTTTAGCTTAAAACAATATTTTAAGTGGTTGCGCAGGGGGGGGGGGTGAACTGTAGAGGTGTGGAACATGAGAGTTTCGTATCGTAGGACGTGTACAAGATCTAGCATATGTATTGAACCTAATATGGGCGAGGGATCGTATGCAACCTGCAATCCAACCGTGTGTTTCTCATGAAATGGAACAGCGGGTTATCTTCTGTATGCTGGCACCAGGAACTGCGACACAAATGTATCTAGTCGCATCTGTAACCAGATACCACACGTCCAGCTTGAAGTCTTAGGCCAAGCCCACCCTGGGCCATTCTTGTCGGGCCAGCTGATCGTTGCCCTCGGGATCCAAGCGTCTGGGCTTCCTAATGGTTGAAGTGGTCTATACATGGTCGTCCGACGTGCTGTGTTGCTTCTTTCTGTGGGCTGTGCGTGTTGATCTGGAACTTAGGTTCGGTAATTTGCTGCGGCTGAGAAATCTGTCACTGGCCGGAAATCGGCTAGAAACGATCCCTCCTTCATTTGGAAACCTCCTCCGCCTGGATCAAGTGGTGCTGGACTGCAACGCCTTGCGCAGACTGCCGGAGACTTTGGGGAGAATGAAATGCCGATGGCTCAACGTCAGCAACAACAAGCTGGTGAATAGAAGTATGAAATACTAAAGCACACCCCCGGGACCGGTCTTGAACGTTCGATCGCTCCACAACCACGAGGGTGCTCATGCCGAAAAGTGTGGTTGTGGAAAAATATCGTCGAGAGCGTTCCTCGGACACGACAGTAGTTGGGTTTCGCAGTCGCTTGGTCGCGTAGCGTGGAGCTTCGTTGTGGAGCACTCAGGATTTTGAATTTGGCCAAGGAAATGTGCTGTCGCCCGCAGGTTGGTAGTAGTTTCATGCCTCTTGTTGGTTTCTTGCGGTGTTGTGTCGTCTGTGGTAATGGTGATGGTGATGGCGGTGGTGGTGGTTGATTCCAATCGCCCCATTGCGCCTGCCGCCCAGGCCGGTCTCCCCCATTGCCTGAAAGATATGCCACGACTGACCAAGATCTCGGCCGTCAACAACGGTCTACGGTCCCTCCCCTCGGATATCGGAGATTCCAGGTGTGTTACACACGACGTTCGGTGCCGACCTCTATCTCACTCTGTTCGGCCTGTAAAAAGATCCTCCTTGCGACCGATCAGCTGGAGAAGAGGTGCTTCCACCCAACGAGAGAGCTGGTATATCCAGCTACGATGAATTCCATCCCGATCGCGTACCCTTTCGGAGCACTTTCTTTCCACCCACATCAACCTGAAGTGCTGTCGGTCCACCTGGTGTGTTTTGAGTTCAGTTGAATACATGCTGCCATTTCCAGCAGTGGTTTTGTCCCACAAAGCTCTACGGTGATTGTCTTTAGGCGGTGGCCAAGAATCTGAGTCCAATAGCCTTTAATAAGAGCGAAACCTACTCGCGGTTGCATGAACTTCACACTGCGAAAAAGTGGTTTGCTTTATAGATGATTGCCTTCCGCTGCTTTCGTTGACATGGGCACTTGATTCGCCGGACAGAACTCAATTCTGTGGCGTCGCCTCTTCGCTAGTGATGACGCGTTGTCCACCCGGCATCAAAGTGACTGGGCAATAATTAGTTGCGCCGGATTGATCATTCGGAGAACTATGCACTGTTATTGCGGAACAAGGTGTCGCCATTTTGCCTTTCTTTTCCCTCAGGAACCAAAACGAAGCACTCAAACAGTGTCGATGGACTCTCCCTCCCCCTCTGGCAGGTCACTAACGGCGCTCCACCTGGCGTCAAACAGACTGAATCAACTGCCGGATAGCATCTGCCGACTTAAGACTCTGAAAGTCTTGTGGCTCGACCACAACTACATTGCAGGCACGTGGTTGAGCCTACTCCGTCGATGCACAACAGTTTGTTGGATTTTCCGTTTGGTGTGTGAAGTTTTCGCACTACGCGACGTTCTCTCCTACGCCTGCCTGGTCGAGCATGCATCTGCGCTAAGTAACTCAAGTATGGGTACACCACCCGGCGGCAATCGCTAGTGCAAATCATACCTCTCTTGCGGACCTTTTGGTGGCTGACTACAACTCAAGAGATCAAACGCCCCAACGCACGCGGTGTTTCATGTATCCGTCTGCCACGCAGGCTTGCCGATGATGTTTCACCAGCTGGGAGGGCTGCAACAGCTGATGCTCGAGCAAAACGACATGGTGTATCCCCCCAAGGAGGTCATCCTGCAGGGCTGCGATCGGGTCCGCGCGTGGTGCTACCGCCGAATGCATGACCGTGTCATTGCGAGGCAGCACACCATCGTTATGGCCGTCCAGGATATCCTCAAACAGGTAAATCGGCTGTGGTGCGCGAATGTGGCATAGAGCCGGCGCTTTGGTGGGAAACCCCAACCCTTGACCCTTCCTTCGTGTTGTGAAGCCGATGGAAAGTACTTCCTATACAATAGTATTGTTGAACTCAGGGTGGCCCTCGCCTTGGTGTCTCTTTCCAACTGCTGCGGGCAAAGCCCACCTTATTTTGCTAGGTCACTTGGTTCTGGAGTGCCTCGGCACTGTCGAATTCTGTACGGGGCTCTAAATATCGCGTACTCCGATTCGAAACAACCGAAGAATTTGGTTTATTTCGGCACGATCGAGATACCGACGGGCGTGTCGTTATCTTTCTGACCAAGCACGCTACTTCCGGCAGGGTTAGGCGCCACCAGTGGTTGTTTGTCGTCGTGGTTGTTGTTGTAGCTGCTGCTGCTGCTGCTGCTGCTGCTGCTGCTGCTGCTGATATTGTTGAAGTGCCACTTAACGAAAACACCATCACCCTCAGATCCATGAGCGGGGCTTAGGCCACCCTGCTTTCTTTGAGCCGGATGTCGAGGTCGGGATGAACGAAGGCACCGACCACTTCTACGCTCTCGTCTACGAGCGGTTCTGGGACACAATGCTACCCGCCCTCGAGAGGGTGAGTAAGTTCTACCGTCCGAAAGGTGCGCATTTCTTGGCACGTTTGGGCCCAAGCGGGCTGCGTGAGTCTCACCTGTTGCTTACGCTTTGAAATTGAAGTTTCCAAAGCAACACGGAACAACCACTCGTGGAGACCGTCGGAGGAACGTGGAGGTCAGAGTCACACGATCGAAGAATAGTGAGTTGCCTCACGGGGAAGAGGGAACCTCGCGACACAAACGTATTTTACATTCCACGATCGCAACCCTCCCTATTTCTACGGATGCCCAGGAGTGGCAAACCGGAACGGCGGCGCCAAGAGGTGCCGTCACGTCTTTCGGATACTCGAGGGAAGAGGTAGATAGCGTGCTCCTCGACTACAGGGATCCCACGGGCAGGGTACTGAGAACCAAGACCCAAATGTTTCGGAGGTGTGCACGAATCGAGGTATTTTTTGTTTGGTTTGCGTTGCGTTCTTGTTCTCGCTTGCCTTGTTACAGAAGCAATGGCGAGCATCCACGTGACTGTTGATAATTGGGTTTTTTCCCGTACCACTATTGGCGACATGGACGATTTGAATGGTGCTTGCCCAATAACCGGGGAGATATTGAGAACCGGGATAGCCAAATCCGCTGTTTGCCTCGGAAAAGGAACTGAAACTCAAGACACACTAGCGGCTGAGGTGCGTGAGTTTACGGCCGTTGATTTATTGCTAATTTATTTGTCGATTTTTTCATAATGGTCTTGCTACCGCTACACAGGAGCACACTTTCAAACTTGTTAGTACAGGAACATGGCCAGTGGCCATGTTGTTTCGGCTGAGCAATTTGCAGGGTCATATGCATATCTTGCTTTCCCGTTGTCGTCAGGTGTGGGTGCATGGGCGCCAACGGGAGGAGGAGAGTGTGCGTGCCTCCGAAGGTAGGGTGGATGTGTGAGCGAAAGGCTACTCTGATCAAGCACGACATCATCCTCGAACGCGAGCAAGAGGAGCGGTGAGTTCTTGTACCAGTAGCGGCAAAAACTTGACCTGTGGAGCAGTCTGGCGTGAATGAAAACGAGACATATCACACCAAACACAGCTTGTGTGGCCAGTCAACACATCCTTGGTGAAGCAAAATACGCTCGAAATACATCGATTGAAACTGTTGCATATATATCGATACGCCTTAAGGTATTTTCGCTTGGTAGGCTATGCACTTAGAGCCGATAACCCATGCGAATACCGTGCCTTCCGTGTACTGATCCCCGTACGAAATCGCAGTCTTTGCCAGAAGGACTCTGCCTAGCTCCTTGATAGATGGAAAGTAAATAGCACAGTGGGAAAACATCGGATTCCGCCGGTCTGGTAATCTTCGTAGCAGGAGTGAACGAACACGAACGAAGAAAACTGCGCAACGCGCCAACACGTAGAGGCAAGGATTGTGACTTCTTTCTGACAATACCCGTTTCGGCAGGCGAAGACAAGCAACCGAGAGGGAGGACATAGAGTTTCGTGTCACTCTCGCCAGGAGGCTGGTCAAAGAGGGCTCCGAAACCATCGAGGGCAAGAAGAACTACACCAAGAAGGCCATCCGGATGGCCGAGGCTCTCAAGAAGAAGAAGCAGGTAGCGCCCCCGGTTTTCGTTCAGCGTTCCCATGAAACTTCTCATGTGTGGAGGATGCTCCTGTTTTCATTCCATACGACGGATTGATGCTATTTTTTCCGTTGAAACGAGTTAGGGGCATTAATGTACTTGAGGTTGCGAGACGATCGGCATACACAGCGTTCACCTACCCCGACACTCTGGGTAGCTCAAAGATCCTATAGTAGTGCGATGTACTCTCTCACATGGCGTTAAAAAACATTCGAACTCGCGACTTGCCTATTCACCTATCGATCAGTTTCAAGTGATACCGACATCATCTAGGCTTTTTATTGTTCCCAGCAGCAGTACGTTTGACCATTTCATCCTCGAGGGTGCCCTGCTTTTGTGGGGGCCAGCAAAAAAAAGCGTCACGAAGATACAACAAGAATGGCATTTTTTCATTGCCAAACCCGCGTTAAAATTTCTGTTTTCTTCGTAGATGGGGGACTTCGAGAGTGAAGCGGAAGCAATGAAAGCCCACCGTCGCCAGGTCGTCGAAAAGAAGTTCTCCAAACGCAAGGACGCGCTGAACAAAGAGAGGGAACATCGGCTGGCGGATCTCAAGGTATCCCTACCAAGTGTGCTACGGGTTGGCATTTCAAAAGAATGGAATCTGGCTTGATAAGGGTCATCAACCCACCGGGGATACCTCGCGGAAGTGCATTGCTTCCACGTCCTGCATGCATGTTGATATCGAAGAATGAAAGCCTTGAAGTTATGGTAGATTACTTACGGGTAAGAATTCCTGATCGAGCTGATGCCATGCTGCCGAAAGACGACTGTGCAACTGGCCGAAAAGGTATGTTTCCCCGAGAGATCTCGAAGGGGGAACAGATGGGTCAAAACGAAATGACCCTGACGTAACACGTGAGCAGGCTCCGCTACGACGTGAAGAAAAGTCCGCGCATATCGTGTCGGGGGAGAATATACACGAGCAGAGTAGTACTCGAACACGCTGAGTGCGGTTCTTACCGCAAAAGAGCCGGTCCCCAATGAAACTTGACACTGATCATGGGGTATAAGAGCATGGGGTCAGTGTAGCCAACCCGCTGGTACTTCCCATGTCCGAGAAGCTCTACGACGAGGCCACCAAATGTTTTAGGCCTCGCAGAGGGGGTGGCGCGTGCCGATAAGCACGAGAGTTCGTGGAAAAGCGATAGGGCCACACAAAAGGAATTATCTCGGGGGGGCTGGGTGCAAGAGTACGAATACGGCACGGATGGTGGCAATATCTTTCTTCGTTTCGGCCCCTGACCCGTTTTGTCTGTCCCCTCAGCTCAAGGTGGCAGGTCTCCAGGAGGAACTGGTGTCCCTGCGAGGGTGGGGAAAGGAACAAAAGGAAGCTCAAATAGATCAGGTACCGTGTACATGTGTGCAATAATAAGGTTGGATAAGGTACAGGCTAAGGATTGTCATGTATCAATGTCTTGTCTTGTCGACCACCCTCTCCACAATCGTAATGCAATAATGGCCCTACACCCCTGATCTTCGTACACTATGCTCCTATTCCCGCAATGCCGAATACATGGGTGGATTTCGTTCCCGTAGAAGCCGGAGAGAAGTTAATGCGAATATTCCACCACCTTGCTCAACGACATGTGCATGCTTTGAAGCTGAAGCATCCGGAACTTGGACGTCAAATATCATGTCCTGGGTGTATTGGACGACACAATACAAGCTTCTTCCGCGCTAGTCAATACGCAACCGCCTGTGTGTGTTGCACCTTGGATGTCATTGAAACCACGAGATATTAATACCTGTAGGTGTTGGCGAGCATGGCAACCCTACCTGAGGACAAAAAACTGGCCGAGGTTGAACAGCAGCTCGAGGAAGAGGTGGCGAAGCTGGAAGAGAAGGTGCAAAGCACGCGATGTCAAGTGCGATTGTTGTCTCCGACGTGGGCACATTCGAGCAGTTCAACTCGCCCCGTTCTGCGACCGAGTTGGCCTGCCTCTTTCGAAGGCCAACATTGCACTAGTGATTGTTAATGGCTCGCGCGCACTCGTCGTAGTATTTCTCTTCCACCGGTGGTTGGGCTAGGGTTCTTGAACTGTTCGCGTAGGTTGACAGTAGCGCTATCGAGAGCACAACCCGTCGGGGCAAGAAGCGACTCTAATTCAAGAAAATCGTCGATAGAAAAGTCCCTTCCTTAATACCCGGGCGAACGCGTATGGTCCTGGTATGATCATGTCTATCGTACTTACCCGAGCCTCGGAAAAATGCCCTCAAGCGCTGAGGGTCTAGCGCAGCATATGGTAAGCGCGATTCCCTAGCCAACTGTGGCATGTTTCCGTGAACAGACATACTGTGCTACACGCTGCACCAATCCACCGAGTGGTTTCCGAAAGCAACAGCCATTTTCGAAGTGGGTGAAATTTGGTTGGTTGTACGTGATAGTGGTGATTGTGGTCGACCCACTTCTTTTTTCTTCTCCTCCTCGAGTCCTTTTCCGTTCGAAGCCTGATCTTCTCCGCACTTGCTCCGATTTCGTCTTTGAATAGGAACGGAAGGTTGTACTTGCGCTTCGACTCGTCTCAGAGAGCTTCGACAGCATGTGCATATATGTACATCGTATGTCATGAACATAGCTCATGTACCGGTGTTCGTGCATTCGAACAGGTATCGAGAGAATAGAAGTTCCACATGCCAGTTTTTAGACCGCCTTACTCACCCGCTCTATTCCGCGCAGCACGTGTTCCAGCTGGACCCCTAGATCTTGGATTCATCCGTGCACTCTATTTCTATGCTCACTTCGTGAAACTCAAAAGGCGGCCATGGTGGCGACGCAGAAAGCGCGCAAAGTGATGGGGAAGAAGGTGAAGCGAGGGGACAAGGAGTTCCAGGAGATTGTTGACGAAATGGTGGTCGACCTCGTGCTGCAAGACATGGAGGCAGCGGGGGAGAGCGCCAGGCGGAAAGCGGAACAGGAGCACGAGGCGAGACTTTGGTTATACCGGCACATTAACTTTCCCCTCTTCTACTTGATCACGCAGCTATTGCATCACGCATGGCCTGGGCTATGTGCGTGTCCGAAGGCGCCATTCCCTCACAACGTTCCAAACACGCGGCTGCGAAACTCTGCTGCGTACCTTCCACGTTTCACGTCGGGGGAATGAGGTCAAGTACCTCAACGTGAACTCAAACGAAGGAGTGCTTGCACGAGAACAAAATTCGGACAGGGAATAGTTTCATCATTTCCATCATTTCAATCGGACGCCCCCACGGGTCTTTACTTTCATCCTGCGCAAGCCTGAAGTTGGCAGATATCGAAACATGCTGCCACTGTCTCGTGACGCCATGGCCATAAAGCCAAAGGGGCACGTCGAAAATGGAAAGGGTCATGAGAATGGACAAATATAGCGGCAGCTCTCGAGAGGGAAAGTGTAGGTTTCATTTCCCGTATGGATGAGCCACGACAAAAGCGTACCTGTCCCAGTACCACCACCATCAATTCGGTCTTCGTGATCGCTAAATCAGGTGTTCCGGAGGATCATGGCGATGTGGTTAGGGGTGGGGATGCGGGAGTCGTTCGCGGAATGGAAAATCTGGACAAAGAAAAGGATAAGCCAGCGCAGAAAAGACGCACGGAAGGTACTCAGTTTGGAGCTGACTACGCGCTTTTGTCTCTGTTCTGATCCGCGGTGTAAAAGAGCACTGACACCAAAACGCGTGTCAGAAACAAATGACGTTGCACAGCTGAAAGGTGAAAGGGTACAGGATTGCCAACGGTAGGCTAGTGTGGACTTGGTAGCTACGGAATACACAGGATGTGTCGTGGTCTCCCCCTCAACGTCGTTGTCGGATCTCTCACTTGGACCAGCTAGACATTTCCAGCCAGAGCTGAGAATCGGAGCACCCAGGGCGCAGAAGGGATGCCCTTGATGTTTGGCGGGAAATCGATCACTCTTGGGCGTGGTGGTTGCCCGAGAGGAACACCTATGAAGCGCAATACCATCCTTTTCGTCTAATTCTCCACGGTGCCGTATTTTCTTGCTCATACGCTGCAAACGATGGCCATTACCGCAGACACGTGAGTCTGGTGAGGCTTGGGGAGAATAGGCAAATATAGAAGTGTACTTTTACTGTAATTGTTTTTGTTTCTTTATCAGGCTCTTCGAGAGGCATGGCACGACTACGAGGCGGCTGGGGTAGTGAGTGTGATGGCCGAATGGAAAGCAAGCTTTTGGGAAGAAGAGTACGACATATATACTGACACGCAAACTTGGAGGCACAAGTGAGTTGGTGTCTCCGTGAAGCAATGAGAAAGAATGGGGATCTTCCACAAGGTGTTGCGTGCGCGGGTGCCTGCACATGGTACGCATTACATACAACGGAAAAAACTTTGAATACTAAGAGGTCGCGCGATCAATGGCCAAAGAATATCAGGAGGACGCCCAGACTGTCCGCAACGCGTGAGGATATTCGATCCCATCCCGGAGCTGCGACTTCGATTGTATCGGGTGTGCAATACAATCTGTCTGAAAATGAACAGCTCACTACTTAGTTCGCAAACTGTTGGGATGCCTTTGGTTACAGTTCAGTTTGGGCTAGGACGGGGATTAGGCCAGGCCTAGCCGGAGAAGAATAACAACGCATGAGGCCGAAGTGTGGCAGTACTGAACCCGCTTCAAGAATCGCTTGATTCGCCCCATTTGATTTGAAAACGTGTGGGCATCATCCAAGCCAGTAATAATGGGTGCAGGGGGTGAAGAGAGCCGTCGAGAAGACTATCGATACAACGGGAACTCGTTAGACAAGCCGTTGGAGGTAAGAGAAGATGAGGAAACTGCATTTTGGCTCTTGATACCCCGGCGTTAGATCGTCGTTATCGTGAGCTATTGTACGTTGAGATGTAACATGGCTGCCTCGGACGTCAGATCCGACAAGAGGGACACGGGGGGTAGCCCTGACCAGTTCCCGCGCTCCTTCTGTGCTTGAAATTCGCTCGGTGCACTGTTAGGGAAACGGGTGAAGTGCGAACGGTGCGTCCGACGGTGGAGGAGTTTATTCCGGATGGTTACGAGGTATGTTTGCTATATGACGTTCTCCGATTGCACATTTCAAGCGCCGTGCGTCCCATACTGGCGCCGTGCGCTATCCAAGTCAAGTGGATGGATGCATAGTTCGACATGAAGACTGCCACATTGAAGGATGGTGTTCCCTCTACGATTCCAATACGAGAGGTGACCAATGCAAGCTAGTGGGTGACGGAACCTGGCGCCCTCTCGCCCTTCGTAAGGCTTGGTTGAAGTCCATAGCCGTCGCTTCCCCCCGACGGAGCTTGCGTTCACCGCTCTCGTGGCCGTGTCCCATGCAGGTTCCCAAGCCTCCGTCTCAACGGCTGGAGGACATGAGCAGCACCGGCAGCAGCAGCGGACGTGACAGCAGCGGTGACACCGAGGAGACTGCCCCAAGACGACGAGGTAGAGGTACGGCTGGTGACAGCCGCAGCGAGGGCTCCAGAAGCTCGGGGTGGTCTATCGCCTCCAGTAGCAGTAGGAGGAGCAGCAGCGACAGCGGCGGCAGTAGCGGCGGCGATGACCGCGGCGACAATGACGACGACAATGGCGATGATGGTGATGGTAGTGGATCCTCGGTAAGGGTTTGCTCGGGGGCCTTTTCGCATGTTCTATCCCACGTCGAAATTGTCGGAGGGATAGTTTCTATCTTCTTCACGGAGAGCTACGAAAACCCGGAGAAATAGGGAGTGACCGCAGGGGGGGGCTTACTGATGGTTTTGTCATCGATATCGAGGGTATGTAGCTCCCGTCTGGGACAGATTTAGTTGCGCTTGGTTGTTTTCCACTTCTCAGGTTTAGTGCTATTCTTTGCACATGTACGACCATGAGTGAAAAGAAACCGATGGCAAGGTGACCACGCGCACTGCTTATACTGAGCCAGAAATCTCTCTAACCCGTCGTAAGAGCAACGAAGCCCAATATGAACCCGAGTGCGAGGCTAATTCGGTTGTGGTATCAAGATTAATGACCAAATGTTGCACTCTGCCGCCCCGTTGCACATTGTCAGAGCGACGTAGAAGACGGAGAGTCGTCGCGGTCCTCATCTGCAAGCAGTACATCAGCGGGAGCAGCATCAAGCTTGGCGGCATTCGATGTGGCGGACTCAGAGGAAGATAGGCAAGTGTCTCCAAGCCGAAACGTTTTAAAGACTTGCTGATACCGGATTTATCCATCAAACCAACCCGAACCTCGTGGTTTTGTGGTTAACAATCTATCGCTTTTCCATCTAAGTTTTCGGGGCCGTGGGTGGGAGGTAGGGGAATTCTGGGCATCAGGACATATATAGATATGTGTGTGAGGCACAAGTCACAACTGAACCGATACCGATCATTACTGATTCCAGATCCAGGGAGCATAACACAATGCACAAGATTACGTCCAAAATCCTGAAGACCTCAGTCGAAACGGCGTGAGTTTGCTACTGAAACCGTATGTCGCCAAAATGGGGTCAAGGAGTTTGCTCAGCGACAGCCCATTTTGGGATTTGTGTTCGGCGCAAGTAAGACTACCTTCGCGGAAATCGTAGGGGTGGCACGAGCTGCTCGGCGTGGCTTGCGGCCTTAATTATTTCCGAAAACGGTCGATGATGTGCACAGACACAAACGTTCTCGCCCGAGAAGCGGCCAGTTGGTATGTAAGCTGACTGGACATGCTCCCTGCTATCACGTTTGGTTGCCGAAAACAATGTTCTCCTGGCACGTTTTCCCTCAGGTCTTCGACCTCTTCCTCCAGTTCAGGATCACGATCCGGGTCTGCTTCGTCGTCTGCAGACAGCGCGTCCTACAGCTTGGCCGGTGGCAGGTGTGTCACATGCACGTACCAACGTTTTCGAAGGGAGGAGAGCGATATATTGCGGGTATATCAACTTCTTGGGCCCAAACCTCTGAGCAAGAACTCAGAGTGTGTGCGTATACACAAGATTGTCACAGCCAGTCAAGGATACAAGTGCCATATGCAGAGATAGACTGCAGCGGATGGTATCAACGACGACACTTTTATCAGTTTGAGGTACCGCAACTGGTGCTTTGAACACAAATCTGGCACAACCGGAGGAAGATTCTCTCAGCCCCCTCCCCCTTCGCTATTGCATCAGCGATCCAGCCGCCGTCGGTGCGTGATGCAACTGTTTGAAGTCCAATTGCATGAATGCAAGACCGCAACTACGGTTAGTTTGTTTGTTTAACTGGCGAAAGGTACGACTCCAAGTTAATATGCACGACTCTGAACATGTCAATGTTTCTTCCCAACGGCTTGCTAATCAAGCGATGACGAAAGCACTGGTAGCGATAACGACCGCGAGAGTGTCTCTTCTTCATCATCGTCACCGCTGCTTCTATTGTCGGACGGGGACAATATCGATGCCACCACCAGCGCTAGTCGGTGAGTATCTCATCGGCCGGCCGGCGAGAAGTAAAAGCAGGGTGGCCGTTGAAGGCAGCCGTTGTCAAATTGCAGGTGCACCCGGTTATTCATGGTAAATCCAAATCGGATGCAACACACGTAGGTGTCAGCAGGGGCGCCCGGAGAGCAGCGGGAGACTGCCAGAAGTAGAACGAAAAGCGCCCGAGAGTTGGCACGTACACATGTTGCAGTTGTGACCGCTGGACCGCAGCGACCCCGCGAGCGTTTTTCATTCGTGGCAGTCGACTTGGTTCGCAGCAGCACTACGATGGCATTTCTTATTGCGTCAGGAGAAACGATCGCGGTCGGCGTCGCCGGCTGTTATTTTAGGGCCCATGAAAGGCTGCCGTCCTCGGCCCTTGAGTGCAAGCTACACGTCTTCCGCCAAAGCCGAAATGAGATCCTCCGAGCCGTGGCAGCATTGCAACGCCCAAGGAAATGAAACAGTGAGCGAACCGTCGGTTCCTGAAGTCGCCCGCACCAAGTCGACACGGAAGAAAAAAGAAAACGAGCGAGGGGGCGTCACCCTAAACATTTACCGCAAATGCTGTCGCTGCTGCTGTAGAAAGACACCGCTCAACATCTTCGAAAACCCTGTGAAACAATTTCTACGCCGTGCGTCGACCCGCACATGCTCCCGGATATTCTGCCTTCTATGGCCGGCTCAGAGCGGCTACCAAGAGGACCTCAAAAGACGGAACAACAGCGTCAACGACCCTTGCCACGACCGCGCCCGACACGGGTTCAGCCGAAGCAGTGGCCTTGCAGATCACTTCCGGCGACGTTCACGAGGCAGCAAGTGGCCATCAAGATCGAGCTTTAGCCTTGAAAAAAGGCGAGCCGACCGCTTCTTGGGGCTTTGTACACAGGCCATCTGAACGTTGGTATTGTTAATTCACGTCTTTGCGGTATTTCGGATCCTGCATCAACGAATGTTGTCGTGTAGTGACGATGATGAACCAGTCTCGGAGAAGAGTTTGGCGCACTGAAGGCATGTTTCGAAATCTGCAGAACTTGGTACAGTAGCGATCGCTTCCTGGCTTGTGAATTCTGGAACCTGATGCCCCATGCCAGGTTCTGCCTAATAAGAACGAAAGCTTATCTCATGCGCAATCGCCTTGTCCACAAAGGTTCACTTGAAACTGCCGATGAATTCGCCAACGTGGTTCGGGATTGCATATACGTGATTGGTGCTTGATGCACAGAAATATTTCGTGACTATATGCTGGGTCTCGTTTGCTCTGTAGATACCAACGTTCCGTCGCCGGTGGACGGTGTTGCTGGAAAGGCCATCGTTAGCGGGAACCGAAAGGCATCCATGAGGGTCGACAAGGAACTAAGGTGATCACTCTTGTAAGCAGCATTGATTGGCATGAGGTGTATGCATTTACCTTGGTTGGCATACTCTTGGACGCAGTTTCCGGGAAAATCTTGTTGGACCCAACCCATTCGGTAGTCGCTCTGGAGCATCTGCCAATGGAATCGCTGATTCTACTACACTGACTAAGGGGCACCCATATACACGGCGCGTGCCGTGTTTTTAGCGCGCACGTCGTTGGCTTCCAAGCACGTGTCTATCCATCAACTCTAGTCCGCCTTTCTGATGCGGCACGACCCGGTGTGTAGTCTCGACAATACTGCGACCAACGACGCCTGTTCTGTTGCCATTCGTTTGAACCCAACGAAAGTAGCAGGAAAACGAACCGGTCTAAGTCCAAGGGATTGGCCGTCTTCATCAAAGACAAGGCTGTGGAAGTTTTGAGGGTACGAAACGACTTAGACTAGTGTGCCAAGAATGTGCCGAAACCATGGTAGCAAGCATCCACCATTCTGTTCCGGTACGATTGCATCAAGAGTCTGAACAGAGAACAGCTCCATCATTTTCTTTTCTATGATGCAGAAAGATGCCCAGTAGCGCAGTAAACGTCCTGTTGGCCGGTGAAATAGTGCCAGTTAGGGCTGTGTTTTTTATTGGTTGCACGTCCAAGTAGCAGTGCAGGTCTGCTCCGATTTACGCACTTATCTGCTGGCTTCTGGCAGGATGCGGAAAAGCTGGTTCAAGCCAGCGACGGCGGATCAAGCTCCCCAAGCTCCCTGCGGACGGAGAAGTCCTTGCAGCGTCAGAAAGAATGGGAGGTAGATCATGCCATGGTGAGGGCAAGAAAGCTGCGGGAGGAGCGCATTCAGGAATACCAACAGGAACAAAAGGTTAGTTCCCTGAAGTAGACGCGACACTGCAGGTCGCCGTGTATTAGAGAAGGTACACTGCAGGAAAAGGCAACCCCCTTGGTGGCATTGGGACAGCACAATACTTCCGAATTCCCGCAGTTATTGCTTGGGAAACAAAACGAAAAGAAATAGAATCAATGATCATGAAGATTGAGTCGCGAGGCAGAGGTTACGACGTGTACTATCGAACGAGAGACACTTCCTTCCCCAGATGACGAGAAGGTATATGAAGAAAGCAGCCAGACACAACCGTCAGGAAAAATCAAGCCTTTGTCCTTCCGCATGCACTGCCGGCAACCCAAAATAGCGGTGATGGAAGCCTCTTCCCGCAGTCCGATGTGCTACCCTTCCGTGAAAAAATGCTTTGAACAGCTTTGCGCATCATGAGGAGCGCTACCACCCAGAAAGTACCTTTTCGGCTTGATTTGGCGCCTTTTCGACTTGATTTGGCGTCATTGTCCCCTATGTAACGCCACACTCATGCATATGCAGATTCGTCGAGAAATAGCCGCAATCGAGGCGGCGAAGCTCAGCTCCCACGATTCTGTGGAGCCATCCGTTGATGAGGTGGGCTTTTTCTGTTCGAAACATATTTGATACTCAGCCACCAGTTCAGTCTTAGCGCACGTTTTTCTGTTGCGTGTCGTGAAGCCGTGATGATTGAAGTGAACGTTCTTGTCGATGACAACATGCTTTCAACTAGGATACACTTGCGACATATCCCGCCGATGCGTTGCGGTGTGTCCTGCATTCAGTTATTCAACCGTCATATCGACGGCGTGCTTCTTGCAATACAACATGTTGTAGTCAAAATCGTATGCAGAGACATCTCCATGTGTTGCGAATGGCATTCAATCATGAGCCGGGACTACTCAAGAAGAGGATCGCAAGCCTCATTTCGACACAATGTTCTTTGGAACACTTTTGCTACCTTTGAACGCCGACGTTCCGCCAAACCTCAGGTCATGTCCATGGTAGGGTGGGATCCACAGGGAACCTACACTAACAAGGAGTTCGAGACCTTCGCCAACAAGGCAACGAAGAAGCTTAGGGAGCTGGGCAGGGAGGACACCTTCGAGCTAGCGAAATACGGCAACAAAGCGTTCTGATACCGACGGTTCTGCATAAGCCTTTTGAAGGCATCGCGCGACCGCACAAGAACGTACCGCAAGTAGTTGTTTTCTTGAGTTGGGTTTCTTGAAGTTGTCGTGTGATCTTGGAGCAAGAGTAATAAAACGCAATTTGGAGATATACGGGAAGTTGAAAGAAGGGATAGGGATGAAGAAGTACTTGGACGGCCCCATGGACTATGCGAAAAAGCTGAAATTGCAATTTCGAGTAGGCGATCTGGACTTGCCAGAACGGAGGAAGAGGTATACCAGCCGTAGGAGAGAGGAAGAGGAGGATAGACGCACATGTCCATGTGGCAAATCGGAGGAGAGTAGACCCCACATAGTTGGGGAGTGTGAGTTGTACAGGAAGGAAAGAGAGGATCTCGAGGAGGAAATGAGACAGAGAGGGTGTGACATGGACAAGTTTGGTAAATTAGACAACAGCGAAAAAACGATCGCGATAATTGGGGATAGATGGTGGGCACAAGAGGCCCTAGAGGACGGGGATAAGATGTGCAAGAAATTTTTATGGAGTT